CGAAATGCTTTCCTCGAAGGAGAGCAACACAGGAGCGAGGCAGTCTGCCTTCGAACAGCTCTACAGACGTGGAGATGCCCAGTAAGACTGTGAATGGTATGCGGTCAAGCCATGACCTAATAGAACGTCAGCTAGCAGATCGACCAAAGTCTAGAATATCAATCGCACTTGAATAGGGATAAAAGATCGGTCAAAAGGCCGGGGTCAAAAGCCTCGCTATCTCGAAGAGCCAGGACCAATTTCTTAGTCCCTTTTCTCTGCACATAGTCATGAAGAAGATCTAAATCGTAACCGAGAAGTCGAGGTCCCTTATGAACGGTTAGTACAATAATCTGATGGTTTTGATGCCGTCACATACTGCACGGTCTGTAAGGAATTTTTGATATCCATCATTGCCATCCGTATTTGTAACGGTAGCTCGGATAATGTTCTTCAGCGTTGTTTTCAAATTGGGAGCATCGCCTGATTCCAATACCACGACACTGCCTTCTTCGGTCGATATCAATTGACCATTAAGCCGTGAGAGCAATCTGCTGAGCGAGGACACATTTGAACCAACTGTCACCAAAGCTGTAGGAATACATCCATCACACCTAAAGCCATATTTAGAGCACGTTCGTGGATCGTATTGGGATAGGGACGTACGTCTGGGGTGAGGTATCCCTGACAAAGGATAATACATCTTTCAAAACTCCAGCATCGACATCATCGAGAATATCCTTTAATCCCGGTGAGAAACTCATCACTATGACCACCCATTAATTTGCCTAACTAACCTGGATCTTGTTTTCTTGCTTCGACCAGAGCTCCCGATAGGCATTGTATCGCAATTGGACGGACTCGGCGTTCTCTTCTCCGTTCAAAAGTGGCACGAAGCGCTGTCTCTCAGCTTGCTCATCCCTGCTGACAGTTGACGAGACTTTGCGGCGTTTTGAAGGTCGTTCGCCTGATGATTTTCCATGTTTGGGCGGTTGGTAGATGTACGCACCCTGCAATGATTTGTTAGCGCATAACCCCAATGACCATGCCAAATGTTAAAACAAACCAGGTTTTGGGACTTGTCATTTGACAAGCCCAAGGCATCGTTTAATCCATCAGCATCCATGTTGCTCGAAAGGACTTGGTCAATGGGGAATGACTTCAAGGGCGGAAGCGCGACAGGCACTAAACCTAATTAGGCGATAATTGGTTCTCTTCCGAACTTGAACTTCTTCACTTCTCCAACTTTTTTGGTCTTCGATGACCGATTGAATTCAGACTTCATGCTGCGCCAGGCTATTCAAGGAGCCCGGTGGTGTCAGCATGTGGCCCGCAACCCATCGACACGCGCTCCACGCCGGGCCTTCTCCGCCGTACCTCCGCGGCGTCTTAATTTTGGTGGACCGAACGACAAAGTCACATTCTACGAACAGGAATCCATCGACAGCAAAAAAAGACGCAAAATAGACCCTGAAGCCGAAGATATTGCGGATCGAGATGAGGTCAAAAAGGAGCTCGAGAAGCTCCAGGATGAATTGAAGGTTTTGGAGGAGGGACCTTTCGCTCCCAACAGCCCCTTCATCAAGAGTCTGCCAGAAGAGGACCGGAAGATTGCCCTAGAAGCTCTGAGAAAATTTGACGCAGAAAATCCCAAGCCTGCAGACGAGCCTGGACTGGATCAAGTTTTCGACAAAGAGCTTGATGATATGCTACGAGAGGAGTTTGAAGGCCTTGCGATGGAAGAAGAGAATTGGGAGGATGGCGTCAAAAGCCGGCGGAGAATAGCCGCCAGACGATCTGCCGCAGCAAAGCGTGCAGGGGCAGAGTCTCATCCTTATGCTATAAAGTTCAACAATTCCCTGCGGCAACTCCAAGAAAAGATGTCAGACGAGCGGGCTCGACAAGACTTATGGAAGTGGTACCGACGATGCAAGCAGACCATCCCGGGATTTTTGACAATAATGCCCGAAAGGGCATTTGAAACAATATGGGATTCACAAGCAATAGGAGAGGCTGACCAGGCTACACGCTCAGCACATTTACAAATCCTGGTCCGGGACGCTACATCTATTGGCCAAGAACTCGCTACGCCTCAAATACTATTTTATATTACATCCCTACATGAAAGTGGCTCCACCAACCTTGCGCTAGAACAGTGGGAGGCATATCAAGCAGAGCTGTCCCAGAAGAAGGAGGATTTGGAAGAATACTGGAAGCTGGGAGTGCGATTATTTGCTGCAGACAACAACCCACAAAGAGCTCAAGATATTGCTTTGGCTTTCCTGGCAAACGACCGAACTCGTCAGCCGCGTGTACTCATTCCTGTCATCATAGCATGGGGAAGACTGCCCGGAAAGGAAGCTGAAGTAAAAGCTTGGGCACTTTATTTGCAGCTGAAGACATTCTTGGGCCCAGATATGACCATGGAAGACTATGATCAGATCAGCATTGCCCTTCTCACGGCCGGTCGACTGGATACTGCAGTTGCAATCTTTAAGGACATGATGGTGACCGGAAAAGACCCGGCAAATGACTCCACTGCTTTGTACAAAGCTGCGTTGGGGCTTGCTGGTAACCTTCATGCATCAAGCATCAACGAAAACGAAGTGAACAAGGTCTCTTTGTCGGCGCTCAAGGTGTTGCCTCGCCAGTTTCAGAATCGGTTCTTCTATGCAAGTTGGATGAAGAAGCTCATTGGTATGGGTGAGGTCGACTCTGCTGCTCTGGTCATTGAACTTATGTATGAGCGGTGTGTCAAGCCTGATAGCAAGCACTTGAATGGAATCATTGCGGGCTGGCTCCGTGATGGGAACACAAGTGCACGTGACAAGGCAGAGAGACTTGGGTGGGCCATGATCCAGAAGCGCATTGATGTTGTATGGAGGCGATACCAGCCGGCGGAGAGTTCTCCTCAGCTTCAAGTCAAGTATGGGGAGACAGAATCTGTACGCATACCCCAGTTTATGCAGAGAGAGGTTCCGCCTGCGAGCATCGAGACCTTCTCTATCCTTCTTCTTCATTACACACGCCGAGGTGACGACGACATGGTCAAATACTTGGTCAAATGTCTTGGGGATGCACATATCAAGCCAAACTCTTACTTTATGAACCACCTCCTATACGCAGAGCTCCGAAAGCAAGATGTGAAGAATCTGTGGACCAAGTTCCAGACAATGTCTACCGCCATCCGGCCCGACGTGGAAACGTATGCCTGCCTCTGGGATTGTGCCAAGCTCCAATACGATCGTGGGCGTACTGCCTTCGACGCGAGCTTCCCATCAGCACGTCAGCTCTATGCCAACATGATATCCTGGTACTCCCAGTTATCTCCTAGCGCTCAGAGAACCACCAAAGCGCAGATTCCTAGAGCTCTATTCGATCAGATTGTGCGATGTTTCTGTCTCTCCAAAGACATCCCCGGCACATTGGTCGCCATTTACTCGATGCATTCAGCCTTCGGCTTCACCCCTGATGATACCACCGCTCGCATGATAGTGCTTCAAATTGCGCGACTGGCTGCTGTACCAGCCAACACACCAAAACGGCGCCTCCGTCGATTATCTTCGACGCCACGAAGTAAAGAGAATATCAGCCAAGTCAGCCGTTTGCTAGAACTCTTGGGTGACCGCAAAGCCGAAAATCTGCGATCGCAAGGATTGAGTCTTGAACAGCTGGATCCACGTGAGATGGAACAGTACCAACTAGAGATCATGGCCGGTCTCCTACGGATTGTGATGAGCCGAGCAGATGCTTTGGATCCAGTTCAAGTGGAAAATAAACTCGAAGTGGCGGCGAAGGAGATGTTAGCCGAACATATCGACTTGGGGGCGCCCTTGGGAGTAGACGATAGCAAACTTCTGTGACCATGTTGGTCACCAAGATATTTGACTTCATTGCATTGGGAAATTATGGCGTTTGACAGTCTACACCCAAATCACTAGGGCGATGTATATTATTATTAACATTTTTTTGTATTTATACATAATCAGTTACTTACGTCCAAGTCACTCTACTTGAATATTTCGCCTTTCTCATATTAGCATATGAGCCCTTGTGAAATACATTTCAAACAGCCTCCAGTACTCATCAGACGATGGTCACCCACTATCTCAAACCCCCAACTACCAACCCTAAAAGATATTAAAGATCTAGTCCAGATCCACGCTTCAAACAGGTCTACAGTCCTAGGAAAGAGGCCACTACCTCAACTTCGATGCCTACCTTTCCCTAATTTGGCTCGGACAAACGGCCAGATTAGTTCCTTGTCATCCCACTCCCTTCAACATTTATATCAGGTTGGGGACACCTGACTATAACCAGGTGGTTTGGTGTAAAAGGTGCCAAGGTCACCACCTAGAGATATGCTACAGAACAGCGATTATGCCACACACTTCTTTGATACTGAAGGTGCGTTGTCCAAAATAATCCACTTCTACAGCTCCCAATACTAATGAAATCAAAGGTAATTGGAAGGTAACCGTTCCAATTCTTCCAAGGACTTTGGAGCAGCTTGAAGGAAATTTGCAAGGTGAACAGCAGCAACTATTTCTCGCATCCATGCGCAAGATGTTTCGATGGCGACCAGAGGAAAGAAGTTTCCGCAAGAGACTTATTGTCAGATCAGTGGCTAAGGTCCTATAATATAGCCGTGATCTGCCGGTGTATTGGTATTCTTGATGTTGGCTAGTCATCATAAACCCAGTACTACTTTCAGTATGCCGCCATTGGTACAAGTGGCCGAGGATTGTGAAACTCATACGAGATCTAGGACAGGTGGCAATACGAAGGGCAGTACGAACATTGACTCCCTTGGTCGGCTTTCACCTCGAATTCTCGCCCAACAGACAGGCATAGCATGTTACTGCGTATGGCTTTTTTATCAGGTGGTCCAAGTCTTTTGGTTGTCTGAGCGAGCTCGCTCATAACTGGTATACTAAATTCCTGCGAAACCCGTAGTCCAAAACCCCCTAGAAGAGTGTATTTCGAACCCTAGATAAAAGTACAAAAGAGACTACTCATATCTATTTCTTGCCCTTGCCCTTCTTCTTCTTTGCGCTTGGCGAACCAGGCGTATTCGAGGTTTCTGCCTCCACAAGAACGGCATCATCATCGCTGCCCTGGACAGAAAGAGGGGCGGCAGGGGTGGATGCAGCCTCAGAGGACTTGGCTGTGCTGGTAGTCTTAGCTGCGTCGGTAGAGGCCACTGAGCCCTCATTCAACTCCTTCATGAATCCCTCCTGAATACTAGTCTTCTTCTTGCTCCACCACTCGCGCTCCTCCTCCAATTTCTTTTGTTGATCGTCCATGCGCTTGCGGTAGATATCGTTATTCATCATTTCGTTAGCGGACTGGAAGATAGTCTGACCCCAGCCGGGGACGTATGCATTTGCCTGTTTAAATTTTGATTAGCAAAGCACAAGGCATATATAATCATCTGTGTGCGAAGAAACATAGATTCTTGGCGACGAGGAGAGCGGGTTGTAGTTGTATCCTACCTCTGAAACCACATCCTTGACCTCGTCTTCCATCTCCTTCTCCGCGCGCTGGAATCGCTGCCAGAGATCATCACCGACACTACCACGTTGTACGAGTGTTGTGAGAGCTTGCTTCTGGCTGCGCAGTGCCATAATCCGACGGATGTCTTCAGCTGCGCGACGGAGAAGAGAAGCCTTGAAGATAGAGTCGGGAATGGCGGGGGTCTTCTCATTTGTTGTAGAGGGTTCAAGGTGGAGGAGAGAGAAGTAGATATCGCGCTGAACGTGGGCAGGGAACCATGGCTCTAGAGACGCTGCCTTGTCTGGAATGGTTCACAAATCATATATTAGCCTTCAAGCACAATACACATCGGCACGCGCAGAATGGGTGGATTCTGAGAGGTTGAGGCTTTGGGATATTTTACATACGGGACTTGCGCTTGCGGTAGAGGGAGGAGAATGTGGCAAGCGATCCCAATAAGATGCCTAGGTAGGCGATTGGGACGGCAAGACTGAGCCAGTCCACATCGAACATTGCGGCGATGTGGTTTTTGGGGGAATAGGGGGAGAGAGATTGAAGGTCAGAGAGAAAGAATATAGTCAAGCTGTCATTACTAGATGAAATCAAGAAGGGAGTGAATGAATGTGGTCAACAAGCTCGAAAGGCCAGGGTGTTTAGTGTGGATCATGTCACATGTTCACTTCCCCAAGTATAAAAAAGGTGTAGATCTTATGAGACAACCCTAGAAGACTATTAGGAACATTTCAAGACTATTATTCTCATAGTCTATATACATTTCCTATGTCAAATAACCCGCTGAAACTATCTTTTTTTTTTGCATAAAGAATTAAGAAAATTGGGTGATTGAATACATTTACTCCCCTCCCATCCATCTCGCCACAAAGAAAAGAAAAGAAACCTATCGCCAGATCAAAGGGGAATATGAACCGAGTCAAAATATTGACAATGCAAGGAAAGGAACGAAAAAAAGAGTGGGTGAAAAGTATGGAATACCCATCAAACAGCTCTCACTGGAAACTCAGGTTGGCTAAGATATCCTTGGTCTGTTGGCTGATGGGACCGATCTCCTGCATCTCCTGCATATCTTCCAGGACTGCATTGTATGTTTTGCCGAGACCATCGGCGACGTGAGTGCGATTCCATTCTCCACGTTTGTGCCATACATAGTCCATCAGATTGGTGTTGATTTGTTCCAGCTGCTCTACTGAGAAGCCGCTAGTTGACAGGGTTAGCTGCGTGTGCAGACGCTCGACAACATCAAGATCTAGGACGAATGGCTCATGGGGCTCTTCATTCAGGATAGCTTGCAGATTATCCGAAGCATTGGATGCTGACATGTTGGGTGCATCAAACAGTGGGGGCTGTGGCTTCGACTGCGACTGGCTTGCATTCAAACCACTGTTCTCCTGGGTATCTGCATTGCTAAGCAGTGAGTCCCGCGGATGTGGAGAAGGCTGACTGCTGTCATTTTGCTGGGTGTCCGGCAAGTGGTCTTCCTGTGATACACGATCGGGGTATGGAGTAAGGTCGGGGTATTCGGTTCTGGAGATGTGAGGGCTTTGGGTATGGTAGGTTTGATTTGACAGATGCTCGGACGATTTCTTATCAGAAGTCGTCTGAGTAGTGGATGCTTCATTGGTGTAATCAGCTGGCTGAGATCCCGGGGCCATTGGAGTTATGGGGCCTCGCTGAGAGAAGCTAGAAAGGCCAGATTCTCGACGAATCTGTTGAGAAGGTGCAGTGTGGGAATAAGGAGGCTTCGGCTGCGCAGATGGCCCGAATGAGCTTCCCTGAGTGTCTTTGCTGCCTGAGTGATCATCAGAATTGGACATGAAAATGTCGCCGTCTCCATCTCCATGGGTACCATTGCTCACGCCGACAGCATGGGAACCAATCTCGTTGAGATCCGAGCCACCGGTTTGATGATCTCCATTGCCGAAACTCTTGAATTGGGATGTGGGGGTCACGGGGCGCGAAGCTGCTTTTTTATTATCTCCATTGTCGGGGGACGACTCGCCGAGTTGAATTGGGCCAGTCGGTAGGCCCGATTCAGTGCCATGTGACACATTGGGAGGCTCAGGAATGTGAGCTGCGTTCTCCACCTGGACACGTTTCTCACGCTCCGCCGCCTCCTTTTCGCGAGCTATTTCACGCAGATAAACCTGCTCACATTCTGCCATAAGAGCTGGTTCGGCTAACATAACACCGGCGATATCAACCTCGACATTAGTCAAAAGTTCGCTCGACCGCAGGATGCGTTCCGGGTCACCAGTCTGACGAGCATCTTTGGCCATTCGTTTTATATCCGCCACAAAGTCGACGGCGCGTTTGTAATATCCATTTGCAAGGCGTTTCTCAATTGTCACAATCTCCATGTTGTAGTAGAACTTCCCAGTGGCAGTTTCCCGAAGACCCAACACACCATGTTTGTCGTATGCTTTTTCATAAGGTCGGAACATATTTTGTTGATCCGGGGGAAGATCACTAGTAACAATATTGGGATCTTCTTCTTCCCACAAGTATCGGATTTGGGATTCATCGATCACCCCCGACCTGAAACGCTTGTACCTCTTCACTTGATCCATGATAGGTTGAATTCGAGTTTTCAAAAGATTCAAGGATATGTAATCTTTCTTCCTCTGAGCCTTGATCTCCTCTTTGGTAAGTTCTGCCTCGGGCTTGGGAGGAGGGGGTGGAGCAACTTCCAATTTTTCTAGCTGGCGAAGCTTGCGGTTTTCCGGGTTTGGGAATCCTTTCGGGGGGGTCTTGACGAATTCGATGATTTTCCCAAAGAATTCACGACGCGCATCATGATTTGGAGCAGAGAGATCATACAGGTTCTTCTTAGAAAAGCCGAACATGTTCTTTAGTAGGCCATCATCCACTTCCTCTTCTTGTGATTCAAGGATACCAAGCAAAAGAACTGGATCAGAAGGTGGCACCGACCGCAGAAGACCCATGAAGGTAGAAATAACGGTAGGTCCGACAGTCTGGAACCATAGTTGAATGTTGGGGATGTAAATCACACTTGGCTTGTGTCGCTTGACTTCTGTGAATAGCTGAATCACAGCTGCCTCTGGGGAGCGGGTTGAGTCGCTCAGCAAAGTGGGCAGATCGAAGGCCTGCACGTGGAGGCCCTCAAACACATGTAGTAACGCGGCCGCTAGGTATTGCTGGCCCATGCCGTGGGGCCCCCGAAGGAGCAGTCGGGGTCGGAAGACACGCGAGCGATCAAACTCCTGCAAAAGGAGCTCTCGGGTGAAGCCTGCACCATCATTAGGCTCCTCATATTGAGCCTCCTCGAGAGCAGTGAGTTTCTTTCGTTGTGGAAGAATCTCGGACAACAAAGATTTGATTTCGGATAATGGTTGACGAAGCAGTGGTTCAATGCTCGGGGGAAGGGCAGTCGCGCCAGATGAGGTAGACCGCTCTGAAGAGGGCACCATCTTCTTGATTGCTAGCATGAAATCTTTGGGAGCCACGTCGATTGTCTTCGGATCAATCACAAGCTTTTGGTCTGATTTGTAGATTTGTGGGTATCTTCTTTGTACCGCATTGATTGCAGCCTCAGTGCAAAGTGCTCGCAAGTCAGCACCGCCATAACCCTTTGTCATATCCGCTAGTTCGTCTTTGATCTTGGCCGGAAGAGGAGGATCCCATTCCTTGGTGTGAATGTCTAGAATGGCACGACGTGCCTCGATATTAGGCAGCGAGAAATAAAATTCACGATCGAAACGACCAGGGCGGCGAAGAGCAGGATCAACAGAATCAGGTCGATTGGTAGCGCCGATGACAACTACTTGACCACGACCATCCATGCCGTCCATCAGGGCAAGTAAGGTCGAGACAATCGAGGCATGGATCTGTTCTTGTTTACTCGATCTCACGGGAGCCAAACCTGATGTAGAATATTAGTGACTGCAAACAATGCATTCAGAAGGGACTGTCTTACCGTCAATCTCATCAAAGAAGATAATACTAGGCTGGTTCTTACGAGCTTCTTCGAAAAGAAGCCGAAGTTGTCGCTCAGCCTCACCGACCCATTTGCTCAATGCATCCGCACCCTTTCTCATGTAGAATGTGACTTTGCGTCCTTCTGAGCTAACACTGTTGGCTAGAGCCCGAGCCATGAGCGTCTTTCCGGTACCAGGAGGACCGTGGAATAAAACACCACGAGGGGGAGTAATTTTGAAACGCTGGAATATTTCTGGGTACAGCAGCGGCAAAGAAACCATTTCTTTCAACTGATCGATGTGCCCTTGCAAACCACCAACGTGGTCAAAGTTGACATTCATGTCAACCCCCAGGGGATCCGCGTCAGCCAAAGCCTGCTTGTTATTGAACTTGCCGAGGTTTGCAGGCGTGCCGGAGGAGTTCTGAGCAGGGTCAGCCGACTGGTTGTGGGTAGCTGCAACTCCAACACCAGGAACAAGACCGGTGCGATTTGGCTGTTGGGCACCTTCGTCATCACTGCTATCGCTGTCAGCTCCTCCGACCGCAGTAGGGCCGCCAGGAACACCGAGAATTGCTGAATTACCACCGCCGCCGAATGGGCCCAATGTGGAGAACAAGGTACGCTGCCAGCCTCCACCTCCACGACCACGCCGCGATGGAGAGCCGGTCACTTCGTTGTCGGTGTCATCATTAGGTTGAAGCATTTCAGGTCGAATAATGCGATAATCAACGTTCTTTCGGTTGCGACGTGGTTTCTCGTACACGACTGTTTGCTTCGCACGGCGACGGGCACGGCCAGTAAGGTCTTCCAGTTCTTCCGCGAGTTCTTCTGCTTCCTCTGTGGGCGCACGAGTTCGGGAAGGTCGTTGGCGCAGGCCAGGGCGCCGACTGGCAGAGCTATCCTCGGCTTCCTCGCGAGCTTGAATTTCTTTGCGGGGAGAGGCACGCGATTCAGGCTCCGAGTCTTCCTCCTCATCATTCGATGGCTCCTCCTCTGGCTCGAAGTCACTTTCTTCGTCTTTGCTTTTGCGCTGTGAGCTTCGAGACGGCTGCTTACGACTGGACCGACGTAGCTGTGATTCCTCAGTTGTTTCTGCGTCTTGAGTGGCATTCTCCTCGGGGCCCTGCTCGTGGGAGAGCCTGCCTCGTTGCCGAGTTGTTGGGAGTTCCTCATTGTGTTCGGAATGATCATTTTCTGCATCGCCATTTTCTGATTCAGGGACGACGTCTTCATCCGGCATTTCTTCGTCAATTGGTTCATGCTGTCCGTCATTTACTGGCAATGTATCACCCTCAGCCCCGCCTTGAGGCACGTCACTTTCCACTACCTCCATTTGTGATCCCTGAATAGTCGTTTCGTTGATAACTTCCTCGTCATGCTCTTCAGTGCCTTCAGCATCTTCATCTTCTTCATCGATGATTGTGCGCTTAGCAATGCGGTCGACTCTGGCAATGCGACGAGATGGGGTTGGTATTTCAGCTTCCGGAGTATGTGTACCTCGCTCAACGGTGTGTATGTGGCGACCAGAGTTGGTAAGGGCGTAGATATCCTCTGAAGCGTCACGGGTACGGCGGGTTACACGTTTAGAGAAAGCCAAGTAATTGGGTGGGAGCTTCAACTTAATGACAGTGCTCTTGCGCGGAGAAGGAGCTCGAGTCTCATTCTCACCATCATCGTTGAGCGGATCTTCATCTGAATCGGGTTCCTCGTAGTGCGGGCGACGGCTCTGAGTGGTTCGTCGACGCGCCGTTCCTCTAACATTGCGTTCAACTTCCTCCTCCTCCTCCGATTCTTCTTCCATCTCGTCGAAATCGAAATCCTCGGACAGGTCTTCATCGTCCGAGGTGAGACCGTCATCTGAGTCGCGCCGTCTCCTCTTTGGGGCTTGCCGCGACTTTTTCTTGGGGCTAGCCTTCGACTTCCGGCCGGTCGAACGCGAATAGCGAGCGTGGTCGCTGTAGTCCTCATCGTCGGAGTCGGACTTATTGGCGACCTCGTCCAGGGTACGCTTTGCGCCACGAGCCATAGCGCAGTTCGGTTAGGGGATCACTTTAAAACCACAAAAGTCAGCACAAACCGTATCAATTTGAGCAATACAACGAGCACACAGCGGAAGGGATCAAAAGCCAAGATAACGAGCAAGACAGAAAGAGGTAAGAAGGCGGGTCATCGACGTTGCGCGATGCGGACAAGAGGGACCACACTTACGAATGGTTCAGTTGTCGCCAGCAACAGCTGGACCACTCGGTCAAATAGAAAGAATCTGCCTGTCACAGTAGCAACCTTGACACTTTCTTCCCGACAATTGCTGATCAATATGTTAGCGGAGACGGCACGGTGGTGGAGCGCAATTGGGCCAGAGGTGGAAGGGTCTCACGGACTCGGGAACGCGTGGGAAAACAAAAGTGTTGGAAATCTGTCAGCCACCAGGACAAATGCGCAATACACGAGAAGAATTGAAAGTAAAAGAAAGTAGAAGACGATGGGAACTCGACAAACAAAGACTTCAGGGAAGAAGGGCGGAAGGACTCGCGCTCATTGGGGCTGACTGCCTGAATGGATCAGCCACTTATTGTGGCGCACCACAATTAGTCAACAAAGCGCACGTGCCGCAATCTCTCAATGGGGGGGAATTGCTTCAATAGCCATCATCACCCTTCAGCCCATGAATCAAGCCCTCATGAATCAAGCTATTGTAGTGCTCCATTCTATTCCTGAATTGATCAAATGGATTGTTTTAATCATTTTGATGCCCCAATACTGCAATATGCAGGATCGTGAGTGGTGGGGGGAATGACAAGATACAATGATGACAGGAGGTGTCAGAGGGCAATTTGGGACATGAAGAAGACGAGAATAGGGCCCTTTGTTTTTTCCCTTTCCGTTGCCTTTTTTTCTGCGACGCTTTCGACTGGACCTGATATCATGTGCTGCTGACTCAGCAGTGGCTCGTGCCCAGCCCTGAAGATCTACAGGACATCCAAGCCACCTAAGATATTGTCGTCTTTTGGCAATTTGCCATATTTTAGATCTCCTGCTTTCATATAATGTTCTATTGATTTTATCTCACTCATGTCGCAATACAGCACCGATGAAAGCTATATAGACTGGTCTTCCACCCATTATGGACCGTCGCCCTCAGCGCATCTCTTATGTCGCCCGTCTCTCTTTCGGTGTAGTCAACTCGCTAGAAGCTCATGCAAAATGCGCACCCAGCAGTACAGTGCCCGACTCGCATGCTTTGTCCAGGATACTCGCGTTTTCCACCGCAGCTACAGCTCCGCCCGTAGCAACCACCTCGCCCAGCACAATCCTTGACCAGTTCTTCCCGCATATGCCATTTGAGATTCGCTCGTAATGATTCATAGGCAAGCTTTATAAGTCCACTGGGAATTCTGTAGTTCCATTTGTAGAGCTTTTACTCCTGAAACCAATATCTCTTTCGGAGCGCCTCTTGCTCTTCGTCCAATTTCTAGAGCTATGCTTCGTGTTCGTCTGTGTTATTTATTTTTCGGAGTGTGCGGCTCTTTGCTTTCGATGTTTCCTCCTGCTGGACAAGCTCAAGGGTATAGCAATCACCAATGATAAGCTATACGAGGAGATTGAGCTGACAATGAGCTTCTTGGTTGCCTTTCTATACAAAAATTTGGACCGTTATGGATATATTCCATTTTCTACATGTTCCGATAACTTCTATCCGTGAAGTCTCTGTTTCGCAGACTATAATGGAGGACATGCTTTGGGGGACGATTTACTTGTATAGCAAGTTAACTTCTAAGGTTGGACTACACATTATATATCACATTATTCGATGGTCAGGCGCCGACGACCAAGAATATAAAACCTGTCTTATTAGCAGATGACCATCGAATAAACTGAAAGCTGGTAAAAATACTTTTGTTTGATAATAGATATAAACATCAGAATGATAGACTATGTAGGCTTACAATGTCACAAAGTCACTTGGGGATAATCAAAGTACTATTCTTTCAACCCCATTTCTAGTAGACGTATGCCAGTTAAAAAATGAGTTACTTAGCTTTTGTGTCGACTTAATTCTTGAACTACTTTGTAGTTAGAACTATAATGAAAAAGAGAATAAATTGACACCTGAGGGATCAACGCCAAGACCACCATACCTGAAATGGAACGCGAACTTCAACATCACCCTGGCTCGTCTCTTCGGATGTCAAAGATAAAGAGGGCAATAACTGCTTTAAATCACAATATGTTTTCACACTCAGCTCGTCGTTTTACACCGACTGTGATGTCTTTCCAATCCGTTCGAGCTCCTGTGAGCCGACGCACCTTCACCTCCACACAAGCCATATTCAACTCATCTCAGAAGCCAAGTGCATATAAGGAAGGTGTATGTATAGGTTTTTTTAAGACTGCAGTATAGATTGCAAATCTCTAATTTTCGACTTAGATGAACCAATACCGAACCTTTACTGGCCCCTTCGCCAAGGTCTTCTTGGGGGGCGTGTTCGTCTATCAAGTCCTTTATTGGACCTGGTTGAAATTGGAGATGGATGAGATCAAGGTGGCAAAGAATGGTGAGATCCAAAAAAAATTTAATGCATTGCTCCATCTGCACGTTGCTTACACTTCTTGCAGAGAAAGTGGCCGTACTAGAGAAAGAGGCACGGGAGTTGACTAGCACCCAGAAATGAATACGATCTTGAGAAAGTCTTGAGATAACCTGTACCATATCATGTTTATCGATGCTCAGCACCATATTATATTGTGGCTTTCAATAATACCATGGCTCCAGAATTGGAGATACACTGTCTTGGATGAACCCAATAAACCAAAAATTGCAGACTATTCTTATTATATTACGGCACCAGGGTGCCAATATTCAAAAATGTGATATGTCATGCCGCAGCATACTTGCGTTTCCGCTCGCCGGTTACTGCAGCCTTCTGACTGTGGTCAAAAGTCTGCACGGCAAGATCTTTGGTCTGATCCATCTCGTCTCGATCGAGCGACGAAGATGGGAATCGCCAGTCCTGACCTCTTTCTCCTTTCTTGAAATGCTCAATATCAATATGATTGAACCTTTCATCTGAGGCCTCGGGGCCATGATTCCTTAGCGGGACTCTGCAGTTGCAGAAGCCACACCAGAAATGCGACTGGCCCGCCAGATCGAGCCGGTTATTGCCAGCTGAAGCTGCAACTTGATATTCATGAACCCCATGCTGGTGCAGGTGATGGGTATATGTTTCGGGTCGATAGAACAGTCGTTCGCATGAGGCGCCTGTTTGCACATCATGTTCTGTGCAGAACCAACTTGGCACACTGAGATGCTGGGAGCTCTCGTGGCGTTTCCAATCGGCTTTGCTGCCAAATGACTTGGCACAGTGAGGGAATGTACAGCCATATGGTCGTTCGTGACGCTTTTGGTGCTTCCTGATCACGTCCATGGTTAATACAGTGATAAGAGCACGGAAGGGTTTGGAGATGGCTTACTTCATTTCACAGCGGAGCCGGGTCTGCTTTGGACACGCGTCACATTGGAACCAGCCACGTTTTTCGGTATCAGGCTCTTGTGCGGTAACTTCGTTGTCGTCGGATAACCGTTCCAAGGCCACCGAAAGCACTTTTTGCAGCATTTGTCGCTGAGGCTGGGAAAGCTGAGCAGCGTCGGCTTCAAGGTCAACCCCCTCATCGGTATGCTGACTTGATCTCCGACCGCGATTGTTCATCATTTTCGTCATGGCGTTGATTAAATTATCAGCTGCATCTGTAACCGATCCATCAGGCCTTGTGATTCCGCGTTCAGCAGAGGCTTGACTTGTTGATAGGCCGAGAGAGGCAAAAGCGGGGAATTGAGAAGGTACAGAGTCTGTGAGAGACGGCGTACCATACTGAGGGGGTCTCGGTGTGGCAGCACCAAATGTGAAGATATCAGTCTTCTGTTGTGACGTCGAACTGTATTCTAGGTCGATATCTGCGGCAGACTGTATGGACATTTCGTCGTCTTGCGCTTCGAATACTGAACTATCTCTTGGGCTACGGTTGTCGAGGCTCTGTTCTGGTTGGCGGAGGATGACTTTCTCGTACCAATCCATAGACCTAGTCATAAATTAGTGGTTGGAACATTGGATATCTCTTTTTCAAACTCACTTTTTTAAGAGCGCTTCACCATCCTCTTCATGATGCATCCGGTTCAGGTGTTGCTTGAAGTTATCGAGGCGCGGCCACCTCTTGTTCGGGCGCGGGCAGTTTGTCCCGAAGCACATGTACATCATTTTAGGCCCACGCTCGGGCTCTTTATTGTGAACACATTTTTTATGACGGGCAAGATCATTAATGGTACCAAATCCGTCCTTCCGTGGGCAGTTTGGCACGTCGCACTTGAAGAGTTTCTTGTGACGAGCCTCGTGTTTCCTGTGGAGGTTAATCTCCTGCCATCTCAATGCTCAAATTTCAAAAGGACATACCTCTTGTCCGAAGGACATTTCCCGACCCACTTGCACGATGGATGCTCGCATCGCATTGAGGTATCAACCAACTGTGACGGCGAGGCCACAAACTCCGATGTATACGATGCCTCAGACACAGACCCATACTTGAGGCGGCCAAACGAAGGCCCAGACTCGGCAGATATATTGTCTGCCGTGTCCATCTGTGGGCTCGATGAATCCATGCTGTACGAAGAGGCAACAGCCGATTGCGTTGTACAGCTAGTCCCACCGTATCCGGAATCAGCAGAGTGATAGCTATCCATATACTGGCTTCCAGTCTCAGACGGCTCGCTATAATGTTGTGAGAAACAGCAGTCCTGATCGGGTATCTGGACAGGCATGTTCATGTGCGAGATGGAGGTGGCCGGGACACCGGTGGCCAGCAGCGGATTCCAAGCATCTTGATCGCCCGTCAGACGGGAGTGAGTGTATTGGGAGTAGTGTGTAGGCCACTGGTTTAAGAGTGAATGGTTAAGTGTTGGATCAAGTGATCCGAGTTGGAGATCTAATAGTGGATTTGCGACGTCGAAGGGGATATTTGAGGATTTAGGATCCGATGAATCCTGTCCTTCATGTCCAACCATGATGCCTTGAAGAATATCTGTGGAGTCATTCCAGCCCAGCTGTGTTTCCTATGGGTGGAGTTAGATCGTGAGAATCGGGGGTATAGGAGTAAATAGGGCACAAACCTCCATAGCTATAGAATGTGATATCAAGAAAGTGATAATTTTCTTAAAGAGAGAATTAAGCACCAGTCAAATGGGAGGGGCACAGTATTAAAAGGTTCACGATGCATGCAAATGCCAAACCCTACACGCGACAGACACGCAATCTCCACATCCTCGCCCCAAGCCGGTTCACTTCACCACGCGATAGGCGATTCAAGGGTTGGAATGTGTTAAAACTGCATTAGAAATATGCTCAAAAAAATATATATATAAAGAAAAAAAAGGAAAGAAAAAAAAAAAAAAAAAAGCAATACAGAAATTAAAAGAGGTAAAAGCTAAGACAAAGTTCACCCTCGCGTGTTGCCAGCGTGGAATGCAACATGTCATCCCTTGATTGCACAGCCCCCCCTCCAACACCTTTCACCCGGGTAAATACTCCTTGACCAGGGCTAAAGTTGTGATAAAATCTTCCATATCAATCATGAGGCTGATAGTCCAATAATGCCCTAAGATCATATTTTTTTTCCATTCCAAGCCTCGTCCGGTTCATGATCGGCGGATGCTCCGTATCCCGGAGCCCCGGGGTTGGTTTAGCCCGCTAACACAATCTTAGATACGTAGTATACACGTATCACACTACCACAGCCACGCACATAGACAATGTCGTTAGTCCCCCTGCACGAGGCATGCAAGACAACTCTAGACTATCATGAAGATCCTACGATATGCTCTCAAAAGGAAGGAGGAGCTGCAAGGAAGTAAGGACCAAATTGGGCTGTGACAGGACAGACGATCGGCATGGTTGATCGGCGGCGATATTGGCTTGCCATGTTCATTGCGCAAGGGATAAATAAGATGAATGCACACGTTTATACGAAGTACGCGAGAGCATATTATGTAGCTTCGGATTTAGGAGTCAAGGGGGTTTGACTTTGAAACGAGCTGAGTATTTGAATTTATCTTAAATGACAAAGTAGGTACTCCGTCTCACATGACTATCTTCACCTGGGCAAAATTTAGGTGTGGACTTGATGTTATGAACCATGGAACCATGTGCAAGAGTGGGAACACCCTAGTACAGAAGAGGAAAAGCCAAAACATAAATTTGATCTCTCATATGCCATGCACATCGCCGGTTAGCCAAATACGCCATTCGGTCTGAAACAAAATTCTTGAGCGCCCGAAATATGTACAGGTATATTGCACTTAAAAAAGAAGAGGGAGCATCTCAAATCATCATAGTCATCATTCCAGAGTTGCATAAGATTGGGACTTGCTTGCATAGCTCTCCTGAATAAAATAAAAGTAGAGGAATTCCCCCTAGTGATCACGCGCCATCTGTTACAATGCAGCTGATGTGAAAGAATTGAAAACAGAACAGAGAAGGGGAATAGGCAGTGAAAAGAAAGAGGAAAAAGGAAAAAAAAAAAAAAAAAAAGGGGGGGGGGGGGGGGGGGGAATATAACTTAAAGTCGTTCACTTGGTATAAATGCGCCTACCATCCTCACGAGCTGGGTGGGTTTCAGTGGTCTTATGTTGGCTTAAAAAAGGCGATCTCAAGGGAGCATCGTATCTCTAATCACATTTGGGAGGGACATCCAGAAGAGTAGGTCGCAGAAGTGTAGGGGATGTTAGACTCCATGGGTTGGTAAGCCGGGTAATTCCCGTCTACCGGGTACAGAGAGGGATGAGGCAGAAACTGGGTGAGAGGATACGAGTTCTGCAGCATGGGATCTGCCTCTGGAGATCTCGATCTCGGAACGGCGTTATAAGGCGGTGGGTACGTTACTGAGTTCTGATGCAGGGGATAAGCCTGGGCCTGAGCTGGGTGAAGCGTCGTTTGGGCAAATTGGCCTGTCGAGTGTGTGTAGGCTGGGAACTGATCAGGGACAAGAGAGTCTGTGATGGACTCGGGCTCCTGTGAAAGTTCGCCGCCGGATATGGTGGAGTAATCTGTTAGCGGACCGTTGTTGATTGAGAAAGTAGGGTTGACGGGAGTGCTAGTGTTTCGGATCGCATACTGCGGCTGCAGATGGGTGGAGGCCGTTTCAGGTACTTCGTGTCCATGGTGATATGGGGTGACAAAGGGATAGGTTGCCGATGATCCGCGAGTCGGCTCCACTTTACTGGGGTTGGCGACATGGGTTGCAGTGCTGCTCGGCTTCGCTAATCGCAAAACGGGCAGGGCTAGTTGCTCCAGGTGTTTGCCGAGGTGGACTGACAACTTTCTCCACTCATTACAGACATTCCCGCAGAAGCGGCATGGCTCTTCCTGGGGGGCTTGGGTGGTGTCATGCTGACATTCTTCGACCATTTGCCATAATTGCTCAAGCTCCTGCTCTCTTCGGCTATTCGGCACAGCCTCGGGCTCCACAGTGCTGGAGGCTTTACCCGTCTTTTTGATCTTGGGCTCTGGCATTTTATGTTCCCGGACCAAATGCTGAACGAAGTTGTCCTTACGGTAGCATTTGTGGTTGCACTCGGGGAATGCACAGGTCCACCACTCCAGATGCCGGTGCTTCTCATTTTCATGGCGAACCCAATCTGCCTTGCGCTTGAATGACTTAGGCTCGGTGCAGTCGGGGAATGTGCAAGTAAACGGCTGCACATCTTCTTGAACGTGCTTGGACCAGTCGGAAGGTTTTTGGAAGGTTTTTACTTCGAAGCAAATGGGGCACTCAAAGCGCGCAGGAAGACGACTGACTGGCGGAGGGGGAACACCAGGAGGGAACTGTGGCGCGGCTCCCGTACCTTCGCCTGATGTATATTGCTCTTCGTGTCCGTAACTGAAATTTGTCACTTGGAACTGTGTCTGTCCTGCCTCGGGATCGGTTTGGGCCTTGAGATCCTGCAACAGAGTTGGTTGCCCACCCTGAACAGTACAATAGTTGCCAGATTTACATGTGTGATTGGCAGTTGCAATAGAATGCTTCTGTTGCAAACCAACCAAGATCTTGTATCGACGGTTCTGCTCATGTGCTAGGCGGTGAATCAAAGCTGGCTCAAGCCTTGGATTCAACTGCATAATCTGCGATCTGAACCCTTCGATTGTTGGCACTGGGAGACTCTGGATAGCAGGAAAATCCATGACGACGCCTTTCTTATTGCCCGTGTTAATATCGTTCTCATCTTCAGCGCTTCCCGTTTCAGGACCTAGAGGCGAACTTCTGGGTGATTGATCGGCGTCCGAACTAATTCGAGGCGAGGTGATGCTTGGAACTGGTGGACCGCCATGGGTAGTCATAAGATTTATCAGCCCGGGGTTACTTGGTCGGGGAATCTCGCTTCTGCTTCGAACTCGGCCCTTGAATTGAATGTTTAAGGAACTCCTCTCTGGATTTGGTGAGGGTGCAGGTGACACTGCTCGGACAGGCTGGCTACCCCCGACAGCGGCCATTTGGCTGGTCATTGAAAGAATTGCATTACTCAAGCTTGGTGATCGCGAATGACGACGGGGCAAGAACACATTTCGTGGTGAGTAACTCGGCTTTACCGGTGAGTCTTCTGCATCACGCTGCGGAAGCCCGGGGTAGCTATTAGATTGACCGATGGAAAGGTCAGATGCTTGGCGCTTTAACTTTGACGACGCCTGTAGAAATTGACGCTTAAATAGACTGTGGCGTTTCTTCGGTTGTTCGGCAAAGGAAAAATTTGAGAGAGACGTTGTAACATTGATAATACTATTATTATCAATTGTTGCCGCGAGCGATGCCGTTTCGAGATCCCGTACACGTCTGTTAAAAGCTATCATAGCGTCGGTAGAACTGTCCGGCTGCATCGCTTGTGATCTGGGTGTGGGATCGCGAGGGGGGTCATGCCAGGGGTAAAGACAGATACTTTCCTCAGCCTTGGTCGGTGAGAGTGATGAATAGACCTCAGGGGTACTCCGATCATATCTGCCAGGCTCATCGGCGTCGGCTGACGGTTCGTCGGAGTAAGTGCCAATGCTTGCTTGATCTTCGCTGAGGTCTTCGCTGCTTTCATGAACTAATATCCCGGGGCCTGGGAATGACCCGTCTCCGGTACGAGATTTTATATTGAAATAGTCTTCTTGTCTCAAAGGGTGGTCACCGGTACTCCTCGCTCGAAGTCTTCTGGAAACATGACGTGGGCGTGGACGCGGTGGACTAGGCGAGTCCCCGTCAGCGTCACTGTTCGCAACACTCACAGAGACAGACCAGTGGGAAATATCCTCATTTTTCTCGTTCCTTTCTCGCTGAACATAGATGTCATTGGGACTTGACACGAGTTCGTCTCCACGGGAGCTTGGATCAATACCAGCTAGGTGGGTCGATGGGTTTGGAATCCATCCGCCGTCCTTGGATCGCTTGACGGGAGCAGACGAGACCGAGTGATGATCGTCATCGCCTTCGTCTTCCAGCTCGCTTGGATTCGCAGATAGGTGTGTAAAGGAGCTGAGACGTCTTTGCGGTGACATGCTGCGTTCCTTGGGCGAATCGCCTCTCGAGAAGGTTGTAATCTTGAAGACGGGGCTTCTTCCCCTGTTTGCATTTGACGCTAGCCCAGTGGGAAACTCCTCGCTGGGTAAGACACCAAGTCTGGCAGGCTCGGTGTCTGTGTTAGAGACACCGAGGCCAGACTGATATGAGGTGGATATCGGTTGCTGCATGCTAGAATTGCCATGATGTTCTAGAGCTACCGGCGTGGATGATGGATTTGAATTCGGATTATGGTCCGAACTAGTCCACTGAAAAGCATTCGGTGCCATAGATGAACCCCATGCCGGGTCGACGGGCACATTGGCCTCCTCAATCCTGTACGACGGCAGGTCGTCCTCCTGCCAGGTTGAAGCACCCAGTTCGATATCTTTTGGTTCCACGAAGACACTTGTATCAGAAATAGGGGAGGTACAATTGCTTGGGTCGGTATAATCATTTGCTCTCGGGTCCAGATAGCCCTGAATTGTGGAGTCGATCTGTGCGTCCTCGTGAGGGGATGAGCCAGGTCCCGCACTTTGCCCAGGACTCCCCCGCGATGGCGTTAGTCGAATGGCACTGGCCCGAAAGAAGATTTCCTCTGGATCGGATGCGGCTGACAGATAAGGATCGGGAGCATATCGATCTTGGATGGCATCTGGCGATTGCCCCTGAGCGCTGGGTGGGGATCCGCGCGACATGTTCGAATGGCGGTCAGCCTAAGATAGACCGCGAGAACTGGAGGTTTCAAATCAAGCGGATTAAAGAAGCATCGAAGTGTATACTTTATGCAAGCAGGTTTGCAATTATATGCCCAAGTGGTGGTCCAGCTGTGATGTGATGATGCCCTATGGTTATTCTTGAAACTCTCAATACACAAGGTGAGTTTGGATAGATGAGGTCCCAAATAGTGTTAAATTTTGAAAACAGGCAAAGAGTGAAGGAGAAGACTAAAAAGAAAAAAAAAAAGATGATGGGGGCCGAAGATTCGGAGATGAGGGGGGAACAGCTGAACAAGCGCCGGGCGCATCCCCTCCACTTATGATTTTATGCAATGTACCAATACAATCTTTTTTAGCCTGTCAGCCTTAGAAACAGGAATCAAATTGCTCCGCTTTTTCACAGAGCCTCACGGCTCGCAAAAAGGCCCTGTGGCTGTGCGAGTTACATTCCAAGTTCTTTGACCTATATAGTATTGGTATACAGTGTTGTATATAGTCGCCCCAGCCACATTCCATTTCTATTCTTGTCTCTTCTGTAAGCCATTTGATCACATAGGGCGAGAATTGGATTGTCTGATTAGTATAGGGGCCAGCAATGAATTGCTGAAATCAGTGTACATTCCCAGGTTCTATATATATTAACAAAGATGTAACAGCCCTGGAGACTCTCTCTACGTGCCCACCTCTAGCCTTTCTAGCCCTGGAGCCCCCGGCCTGGGCATATCATTATAAATCAGGATTATGTAATTTTCTAAATTCCCCGGGGGCCCTCCATAGCATCAATTTTAGAACTAGTTACATGTGGTTAGTTACATAGTTACAAAAAAGGCAATAATCTTCACTTCAAATCCTGTTATCCCGCAACTGAGACTACTTTACTCCGTACCTAATCCAATCACAATACTTTTAGGCCCCTAACAGAAATGTTGTAGATTTGGGCTACTTGCCACTGTCTTAGATTCCCTGCCCCGCAGTAACGTCTCAGCCTCAATAATAAGAAAGCCCCACAGCTTTTATTCTAACCACAAGATTCATCGCCTAAAAGTTCTGAAATGGTACATAATCTCAATCGTGACACATGGGTAGTCCAGAAGGATGCAGTCTAGCGTAGGTTTCGCGTGATGTCCAAAGGTCTTTGACGTCAAGGCTAAATCTAAGGACTCATAAGACGTGTATAATGTCTATTTTGTCAATGTAGTCGTCTGGCCGACATTAATGCAAAAGAATCCTTGGAAACTTGTCGGAAGATGGGGCTGTGGGGGCATTTATACTTGGCCTTGGCTTCCTTTAATTTCCTTTAAACACAATCCCATATTACTTTCGGGTATTCAAAGTCCACAGTACATTATACTCTCAGACAACGATAGATGTTTGATAAGAAGAGCCTAAGCGTTAGGTCGTAAGATCCGGGGTCGACACGGGAAGCAGACGTTATTGGATGATTGTGAGTCTATGAACACATTTTCTTGGATCATTATCTTACATCAGAATGTGATCCTCCTATAAATAATTGACCTAGCAGTTAAAGAAATCAAGGGAAAACCGGGGATTTTCTATAAATTGTGGGCAACTACTATAGGTTTAAAGCTCATTGATGTAATGGAGTCCTGGCTGTTGTCGTGATATAGATAATGTCATAAATCTCTGTTCTAACTATTATAAGCTACATAGTATACGAAGGTCGATTCCAGTAAAGGTTATACGTACTGTGTGGGCTTGAACCAAGGATTTAGGATTGCAATCATTCTAGCTCTCATCATGGCCGACGCTCTAAGCTTAATATGATGGAATTAAACCTGTAAATAACCGACAGTTATATAATATAGCCAGTATACAATACATCTACTCTGATAAGTAGAGGTCCACTTGAGGTCAATATATTTTTTTTTAATTTAATAATAAGTAAAATATGTAAATGCTTTATATGTAGGCGTCGATTGGAACTATACCTACATTATCCTTTACTCGTTCATTGTTTAGTTGGTTATCCTTGGGATTGATCTTCTCTATAGTGGCCTTACACGGAGAACGTCAACGCTGACATTGCTCTTCGAGGGTTACTCGTTGGTCTATGCTAAGGGTGCAAGTCTATTTTTAATTAGAACTCTTAAAAATTCCGGTCTGAGAGGTATGATAGTGGCACACATCACCTGGCTTAGCCGATCTTCTATATATTGTCTGCTTTTATCAGCTTGTATTCGGCATATGTATAGTAAATATATGTGAATCATAATAGAATCTTGTGGTAGATCATGATTGTTATTGGTGGAGGATTTGAACTAGATAATATGATCCCTTCGCTGATCTTTCTTTGGCTTCTACTAGGCAGTTATTGTCTACTATCCGTAGCCTATTAGTTCTAGAAGTATAGCGTGTGGCTGTATAATCCGCTTGATTTTGCTGGTAGGGGCCCGGTTTATATGGCATCTGTTCTAGGGAGCGCACCTATGCTTTTCTATTTTTTAAGGCGGCTCACCTCTTAATGCTAGCGTACGGGCCATGCTAGCGGCATTTTAATACTAACACCACGGCTTACACAGAAGTACTAGGATAAGTGCTAGTCGACTATATTAAACACAGGAAGTTCTCCATAGTAGGAAGGTGTGAAGGCGCAATTGCAGGGTTAGTTGGCATCACGCCAGCCGCCGACTTTATACCCGTATGGCTTACTACCTCTTGTCGGGTTTGTCACGAGTATATGGTTACACCCGTATAGACGAGGGGATAGGCGTATTCAAGCTGCAGGGTATTGGCGGGATGCTTTCCAAGGCGGGGATCTTTACGTCGTAGTGCCGCGTTAGATGGCGTGACCGAATGTAGTGGTAAGGGCAATAGAGTGCGAATTAGGAAATAATTAGCGCGATGTGTGTGCTATAGCCAACCTAGGTATATACATATTCTTTTATTGTTTCCTGTATCTCCATATTCTCAAGTTTATCCTGGGGTGGTGCATAAGGAGGCGGAAATGATTGGCTTAGACCACAATTTGCTGATAAGCGGATTGGTGAACGGGGCTCGACGATCTTTGCGGGTCTTTATCATCCTTAATGGACAGGGTCTTGTAGCGGTTTTTTTAGGAAAGGAGAAGGGTTACAGCCTGACTTTGAATTGTAGAACATGTAACCTGTCTGGGATCAATTCCAATTTTTATTGTCATTTTTCAGATAAAATATTTTAATATCTAAGAAGAACGATTGTAAAAACTGAAGTAAGGTATGTATTTATTTCAATGTTTTTTTTTTTTTTTTTTGGGATCTTTTATTGAAAAGTCTTGGCCAAGAGACCCTGAGAGTGACGCAACGAATCTCCGGCTTCCAAGGCCGGGCTGACGTATACTTCCCCCCCTCCGACATTTTTACTGTTTTCCACATTCCAAGAGGCTGGAATACATATATTATATATGAAGTTGAGATAGTATTGTCCCTGGATTTAGAAAAAAAAAAACGTTAAACCTGCAGTGAGACGTGTACACTGCAGAAATTTAGATGTACAAATTTTAACTATGTTGTACTTTAAAATTGAAATAATTGAAAAAGAAAAAAAAAAGAATTTGGTCACGGATAGTTACATTACCTATAAATTACCCCACTTTCCCTAATTCAGACCAATCTGGGCCCAGTTTACCGTTTAAATGTCACAGTCTGGCCTGTCATGTTTCGTATCGCCCCGGAGTCGTCGCGTCCAGGCCGCTTTTGGCCTCCTTATCTTTCTTGGCTTTTGGTTCTTCTCTCTCTTCCCTCTCTCTTCTCCTTCTCTTTAGTATTTACTTGTCACTCGTTTACCCTATTGCACTTTAATTTTTAAAGTCCTTTTGACATGATCTGCGAATAATCACAAGTCCAAATGGGCAAATGTATGCAGTCCCACCTCAACTTCTTTGCGGACAAAATTAACCTTTTCTATTAGGGCGTTATGGTGTCGTCCTGGACGCGGGCTCGTCTGTATGTCGACCTCATTATAATATCAGAGATATGCCACTAACCGCCATAGGGGACTCGGGTACACGTTTACCGATGGCTGCGAAATGCCGCTGCACGAAAGAAAGCCCATGTGGAGGAGTTGAAATCGCTACCGGAAATCAAAACTAAGGAGGAATGGACGAAGAAGATTCACCCGGGTGAGCCCTACTCGAGCCACTACTAACTCACTAGTAACCCGTCGCTAACCTAGTAGCATAAAAGGTGTTTCTTCATTCGCCAATAAACCCGAATTAGTCGGATCGGACCATCTCGCCCAACTGCTAGATCACGCCAAGGGAATAATTCCCGCCGAAGATGCCAAGGATACTCCCATATTTCTCCTGGCCACTGCGGGCATGCGACTACTGGGAAACCTCGAACGACAGTTGCTTCTGGATCGGATCTGCTCTTATGCTCGTGACAACTCGGAGTTTCTGCTTCCAGACTGTGGTGTTCACATCCAGGTGATTCCGGGCGTGACCGAGGGACTCTACGGATGGATTGCGACAAACTATCTGATGGGATCATTTGATGCCCCGGAGAAACACGATCATGGAAAAGGACACAACACCTACGGATTCCTCGATATGGGTGGCGCGTCAGCCCAAATTGCGTTTGCTCCTAATGTTACCGAGACAGAGAAGCACGCCGAAGACCTTAAATTGCTGCGATTGCGGAACATTGATGGATCAATTCAAGAGCACAGGGTGTTTGTCACTTCCTGGCTGGAGTTCGGCGTGCATGAAGCCCGACGACGTTACCTGGATGCTTTACAGACGGCAACTGGGCCAGGTATCGTGGAGTTACCTGACCCTTGTCTTCCCAATGGGTTACGGACTACGATTGACGGAAAATTTGCCTCGGCGAGCAAGACGGAACCCTATCTGCTAGGTACAGGCAAATTTGATGAATGTCTCCGTCAGACATTTCCATTGCTCGACAAGGATGCTCCATGCGCAGATGAACCGTGTCTGCTAAACGGTATCCACGTTCCGGCTATTGACTTCGATGTTAACCATTTTATCGGGATCAGCGAGTACTGGCACACTACTCACGAGATTTTCGAAATGGGGTACAAAGACAAAGCATACGACTTCAACACGTATCAGGAACGAGTCCAAACGTTTTGCTCTCAAGACTGGGACTCCATTGAGCATGGCCTTGAACAACACAAATGGGGAAAGAAGGTTGATCACCAGAAGGCCTACGAAGTATGTTTCAAGGCGTCATGGATCATCAATATGCTACATGATGGCATTGGAGTGCCTCGAGTGGGCTTGGAGGATACAACTGGCTCTTCGCACAACGGCACTAAAGAAGTCTTGGCCCATGGAAAAGAAAAGGGATACCTTGATGCTTTCCAGGCGGTCAACAAGATTGACTCGACTGAAGTGAGTTGGACTTTGGGCAAGATCGTTTTATATGCATCTTCTCAAGTCCCTCTAGAGATAGAAGGGGAAGGCCTGCCAGTAGGCTTTGGCAGCAACGTCCCGGGTATCCCGGCCGACTTCCAATATCCCAGTGTTCAGCTACTGCCAGATTCAGATAGCTTCCACAGTGAACACTGGCATGACGCGCTATTCGATGGTGATTCTCCGCGCCGGATCCCAGGCCTCGTCCTATTCATGCTTATCGTTGTCATGGCTGTCTTCTTCTTGTGCGGACGCACCCGTCGATCCCGGATCTTCAACCGCGTGAGTAACGTGTTACGCCGTGGAGGGCCATCGCACCCTAATCACCCGAAGAAACGAAAGGGCCTCAAGTCGATGCTGCCATTCATCGGTCGGAGCACCGCCTCTTACGAGCGAGTCCTCGAGGACGGTGCTCAAGATTACGAGCTTGGTGCCATCGAGTCCGACGGGAGCGAGGACGGTGGACGTCTTTCCGAAGCAGACTCAGCTAGACTGGTACCACCGAAACGAGCGTCAAGCTGGGGCAGTAACAGCAACACTCCCAGTTTTAAATACGCGTTAGATAACAGCTCGACTGGGACGATTGGTCTCGGAATCAGCGGAGGTGGTGGTGGCTCCGGCATCGCTATGGATCGAGCAGGCTTGGTAGTCAGGACGGAAAGCAGGGACCACCTCGCTCCTATTGCTCTAGGCCCTACAACTAACGGCCGTCGATCGAGAGCTGGCAGTCCGACAAGATCTCACCAAAAATCACCCAACATGACGCCCCTAGCCGATGACTAACGTGACATATCTATCTACTTGACCCGAATTATGCATAATCACTTATACTGCATCGCATTCTCACTTGGAGTTTGATTTTTTGACATGCGTCGAGTCATTTTGGCGCTGTCCTGGTTTCACCTTTTTCTCCCCATATGCAAAGGAAGTTCATCTTACCGAGTCGCATGTGGCAGGCTGTTTTCGATTCTTCATATCATATTTCCACCCTGTGCTCTGGAGTACCTTTTTGTTGGTTGGCTGCGATGCTTTTGATCTTCGGCAGGTGATTTACACGTAATGAGGTGTGTACTATTAGCGGATAATGTTTTTTCTGAATATAGATTAATAGTTTGCTAAGGACTGTTCTGCATGTAAATTGTACATCTTAGCAAGGAGCACGGCTTCATCAAAATGACTTGCTTCCTAGTAGCCCTAGTCGATATAGATTGCTCCTTATAACATACTATTTTTTTAGTTAATCTCTAGCCTCTTCAAGGACTTTATAAAAAGAATCTCAAAGCTCAAGGTTAAGGATTAAGATGGCTAGCTACATGTATAGGTTCCGCCGAGGCTGGGAGGTAAATCCTTATCGATAACTACAGGAAAAAGATATATCCATATCACGTGACAATTTTTGTCAGCAAAAATGATGTACCTAGAGAGAAACTGGCGCAACGAGCTTCCGATTCACTGTACTGATTCACCAAGCTTGTTCAATATTTTTCCACAGCACAACCATAAACCCAATAAGCCCAATCAATTGGTGTCGTTGCCTTCAAACTCGCCATCCCTACTACACCCTTTACCCTCAACAACCACCGCCATCATGCGATTGACCGTTGAGCTTATTCAAAATTCCCTATCATACATCAATCCACTCACAGATCGCGAGTTGGATCTCCGAGGTGCGTTGGCCCATTTTTTACCTGCCTGAAAAGAACAGGTACTACACTTTTGTTTAAGAGCTGGATTGATATCGTCTTTTTGTGTGGTCGTGTAGGTCACAAGATCCCCACAATTGAGAACTTGGGTATTGCCAAAGTAAGTGATGTGTTTCTATCAACCAATCCTTGAGTCAGATTTGTCTCTGAAATGTCTATTCGTGTTGCTGCTAGACCGCATTTTGAGTCTACAGTCAGCTCAATCATACCCTTTGCGAATCCGATGCTGATAGCTCCTAGGATCAAGATGCGATTGATTTCACTGATAATGACATCTCCTCTTTGGGAAACTTCCCCTACTTTCCTCGCCTCCGTACCCTCCTCCTCGCTCGCAACCGTATCAATCACATCCAACCGGCGCTCGCAACCTCAGTGCCTAACCTGACGACTCTTGTCCTGACTGCGAACAATGTGTCTGAACTTGCGGATCTAGATCCGCTACGGAACTTGCGACGGCTCAGACACTTGACCCTCCTACAGAACCCAGTGGCTCGCAAAGAGGTTTGTCTAGCCATGGTCCAAGATTTGCTGGAAGCTAAGCTAACTGGTTCACGCAGAACTACCGCTACTGGGCTATCTGGCGCATTCCCTCCCTCCGTTTCCTTGACTTCCAAAAAGTAACCGACGCTGAGCGCGCCACGGCTAAAGAGCTCTTCGGTACCTATGATGAACCATCATCCCTCGCTTCGAAGATTATGGGTATCAAGTCCCACACCTTCGATGTCTCCACTCCGAAGGAACGCACCCCCGCCGAAAAGGGCGTGCGAGTACAACTCACCGACAAGGAACGCAACCGTGTTGAGAGACTGATTCGTGAGGCGAAGAGTCTCCAGGAGATTACCAAGTTGGAGAAGGAACTTAACGAGGGACGGATACCCGGTGGAGCGGATGCCGAGGGTGATGAGCCCATGCAGATGTGAGAGATGAGATCTAGGATCTTTTCTCTCGGATTTCTTTTGTGAAATGAACATACAATCACGTTTCATCGTCTTCGTTTTCTTTTGGGGCTTTGTTTTCAAGGGATTTTCTTCTGGCCGGGTGGGGTTCAGTGTGTATTGTGTTTGGGTATTCATTTATTTTTGTACCCGTTTGGGATCAGAAAAGGATCCTTGCTATGAATTGTCAGAAAATCGAAACTAAAAGCTCGTTTCTTGTCCCTTTTCCAAGAGAGCATATCATGTTAGCCTGTCAGGCTGCGTCTGGAGCACCAATCATGGCGGTACTAAACCAGAATTGAGCGTAAATGGATGCCCGGCCATCTCTTGCTTAACGACTCATCCAGCTAATGGCTACATGTAGAAGCACTTAGACGAAGCAGTAGCACAGATGGCTAACCATCTCCAATATACTGAGCTTGGGGGTGGGATCTGCCGATCCAATAGGGAACATCAGATCAGCCATTCACGGCGAGGAGCAATAGTAATGATCAATGTTAGTATGAAGGCATACTAAATCAGTTATATCATATGAAGTCCATAAGGCTAAATTGTACAGAAGTAGAAGTACTTAAAGAATATAACTGGGTTGAAGATATGTCGAACAAGTCTTCGACCTACCCGTGGACACAATATCAAATTAATTGTAATATACACTTTTGCTTTAATTTCAGATATATAATCCAACTTGATATCATACCAAGGGATCATTCATACCCAGCATCAAAGATTCTCGCCTTGTAGAACTCGGCATCATCCCACCCTCTCTTGTCTGTCACGGTTGTAGGTGCGCTCTCATCACTAAATGACACATACTGTCCCATGTCACCCTTTGCCCCGCGAATCCAGGCATATTCCCCAGAAGAATGCTGAACCAGAGACTTGAGCTTATCAAGCTTCATGAGGCGCTCAAAGTCGCCGCTGGTCGTGTTGTATTTATACGCAGCAGCGGTATGCGTCAACAGCAGGATGTCTTCATGTTTGTAACTGGCAGAAAGATCGTGACCATTTCTCGCCCTGCCTTCCACTTTGTCCAAGGGGATTGGTTTCCCATCCATCTTCAGTTCGATGTCCTTCCCTTTTCCCACCACATCATACCTATAGAGGTAATCTTCCCCGATAGCCCACAACTGACCACCATGCCAGAGCACCCCGTGGGCCTTTTTAACAGTATATTCATGGCTCTTCTTAATCTTTTTCAGATTGTTGACATCTGATGCATCAGTTGGAACATACAGTGTCAACTTGTGCGAGGCCGAGCTTGCGGCAACAAATGCGCCGAGATAGGGGATTCGTTCGAGGGAATGCGGGTTACCACCAGGTGTTGCTGACCAGACAACGTCGTCTATCGTCGTGGATTTCTGCCCCGATTTGATATCGATCATGCCGACTTTGCCACCCGAGGCGGCAACGAGGGCAACCAGGCCCCGGTCAGCTGTCTTGCGGATTTTGACTTCAGAAAGGTCGGCCCAAACGTCCTTTTGCCAGGGCCATGGGTTTAGGTCGGCGGTGAAAGACCAATGAACGGCATCGCTGTTCCATTTTGAAGCATCTCGTGGGAAGACCCGAACAGTTTTGGAGTTCTGGTCGGTAACAGCCAGATGGTAGGCTGTTGCAAATGGGACTGCAATAGAAAGAGAAAGGAAGGATTTGAAATGCATTATCGTGGTGCTAATTGAGGTTACACCAAGGAAGAAGTCACTGGAAAGAGAAAAGGCGAGGTAATTCGAGGATTTTTATCTCCAAGCTTGGACTGGATGCCATAAATATAATTCGGGCAATGCTTCACCAGATAGGGGAAATTAGTTCGTAAACCTCGTATACGAGGCATTATGTTAATATGAACTAAAATGGGGACAACTATCCCCTATCCTAGATAGGATCAGCAAGCTGTACAGTATACGGGTCAAGTGAAGGTTAAATTTGATGAAGACTCAGGTAAATGTGAAGTATAAAAAAAAATGATATTCTTAGAATCCATCAAGAATAGCATCACTAGGCAGGTACGGGCTGTGCAATACGAAGTTTTGGCGTTAGAGCGGTTTAGCACCCAAATTGGATCTTTATTTCTACTATAACATCAATTTGACGTCTGCTTTTTAAAATCAAAGAGTATGTTTCTTGTATGGATATGATTTATTGGGAGTAAAGAAAGTAATATAATTCGAGAGCCTTGTTGCCTGTGTATGACCCATCTATAGCTTTGGGTAAGACTTTTATGTCTTCTATGTTTGATAATACCCCCGTAGTCTGGTGGTAGGGTTGCTTCACTAGACATTTTGAGGAAACAGATTCTAGAAGTACCATGTAAGTTTCAATCGCTTGTTCACCTGGGATTTGGAGTTGAGGTCGTGGAAATGCAAAAGAAATATAATATTGACTAAAATCTATGTATATTCAAATGAGTGAGTTGGGATCGGATGGCTAAATTGGGAGCTTCATTACACCAATGTTGAAATACGAACCTCTCTAATGTGATGGTCTGACACTAGTCTCATTCCTCGTGTTGATCTGAGCCCACCTTTCATGTTTGAGACTATTTTCAACATGCAGAAGGGGCTTGGCTATTCTAGCTAGGAAGATCTCGTATTCCATGGCGATCATATCCTAATATGAGCGAGGGGAAATACTCCGGCCTTTCACGGATGTACATCGAGGTTACATTTCATGATAATATATTCAACTAGATGCTGTGGACCTATAAATTGCATCTTCCCAGCTGTACTCCCTCAACCTTGTTGGTCAAAAGAAATTCCCCCTTGACTTCGATTACCGAAAGTTCCATCATGCGGTATACATTAGTCTTGACTACTCTTCTTTCTCTTTGCCTCCCCTTCACCAGTGCGGCAGACCCTCGTTATTGCCAGGGAAAGGCGACTCTGGACACCAAAGATTTCACCCTTGAAGAAAGAGAAACTCCTGACCTACCTAAGCTCGCAAAGTACTTCGAGTCAAAGGGTAAGGTTGCGACTGTCACTGCAGTTCTTCAATCTGCGAATCGCGAATTAAGAAAGGGTAAGCCCTCGAATATTGGATCCGGGTCTCCCGTCGAATCATGGGCTTGGAATTCAGGCGACGACAAGACGACGAAGTGGGTTCCGCAAGGAATCACCAGCTCTGCCGATGCTTTCGGGAAGGGTACCTGGAATGATCACGAGGCGTGGATTGTCAGTTGGTATCAAAAGGGAGACAGTGTGCGGGTCAGCTTTATTGATCGCAAAACACACAAGTATCGCCATGTGATGCTCGTGTATCCGATTGCCGAAGATGACTTCAAATCCGTCGAAGTTCACGCTGGTGGTATCGCTTGGTATGGGAATGTGCTATATGTTGTCGATACCAACAATGGTATTCGTGCATTTGACCTGGACAATATCTGGGAGGTTGATATTGGAGATGGTGTTGGAAAAACCAAAGACGGAAAAGGGCATACTGCGGATGGGTATAAATATGTGCTTCCTCAGATCCGGTGAGTCTATTATCTTCAATATTCCTTTTGATCAAAGACTAATACCACTCTAAGCTGGTATAAATGGACTCCTGGCAAGGAATCCCCCTTCCGCTTCTCTTGGATTTCTCTAGACCGCAGTGACTCACCCGACACCCTCATGGTAGGTGAGTTTGTGCGCGATGGAGAAACTTTCAAAGATGCCGAGAAGACGCCAGTTCCTATTCGCTATGTGAAATACAATCTAGATGCTAATACCCGGCGGCTGCACACCGAAAACGGCATCGCTACCGCAAGCTGGGCGCACTGTGTCGATATACCCAACGTACAGGGTGCTGTTTCATATGGCAGCAAGTTTTACATCTCGCGCAGTACAGGCAGAGCTCCCAAGAAGGGTGATCTTTTTATTTGGGAAGAAGGGAAGACGGCCAAACCGTACAAGGGGTGGTTTCCGGCTGGAAATGAGGACATGAGTTTCAATCCAGTGCGCAAGGAGTACTATACTGTCACTGAGTATGATAAAGATCGGTACATTCTGGCTTATAAGGGAGCCTAGTTGAGATGATTTCAACTCCAGGGTGGGTGTGCCAATGGAGATTTTGTATAATATATATATCATGGTTTCCAGTTCTGGCAAACTGCGTACAAATTATTGTTTTGGCTGAAGTAGATGTATATTCTAGCAATTATATAAAGCCTCACTACCTTCTTTTGCTCTTCCTCTCCCGTCTGTATCACCTCTACATCCCAAAGCTAGTGTCATAAATTTGAATGACCTGGTACACAGAATATACTAGTTGGTTATTTCAATTTCATTTCCCTAAGTGACTAGAAATAGCAGAAACTGGCATTTGAGTTTTGATAGAGAACAAACAGACCAGTCCCTCAAAAGATATAGATCACGATTTAGTTTGAGAGTAAAGAGTAGGTACATGATGACAATATAATAAATTAAACAATGAAGGCAAGGAGTCTTTGCTTGTCGAGAATTTCTCCTTCCACCAATCTCCCGGTCTCAGTGACTTCCCCATTGACTTGCTGATAGCGTACCAGCGCGGGAATGTTCTTAGTACCCCACGTTGTTCGGTAGACGTTCTGAGGATTATTCCACCTGATAGATATCAGCTTAATGCACCTCGGGGGGGCTTTTTGGATATAATTTGGAAGCAAAAACATTTGCAGTTTCAGACATGACTATGGTGAAACTTACTCGGGTTTTTGTCCAACCTCGATAATAGCTAATTCTGGTGTATCATCTCCGGCAAATGCCTCGTTGATATGTGGCAGCGCATCCCGTACGTCTGGGCACCAGGGTTGTTTGGTAATTGGATCTGGTCCAGATATGAAGGCAATGAATAATTTCGAGGCGGGGCTTAGTGTTAGCCCCTTCACCGAACTTGGTAGTGTGAAATTCTTGACTATCGGCATTCTTGTATACAGTTTGAACTTGAGTTCAGATTGTGGACAAGTATGGGTAGTAAAAATTTTATTGAAAGTCCAGGATTCCAGGCATTTAGAAGATACAACACAGGTGGCTTTTATGACTAAGCACGCAATTCCGCCGGAAGTGCGTTGAGGCTTCCATGTACCTGTATAGATATATACATTGATGTTCGATAGACAACCGTTGGAAAGTCATCTCGACAGTTTATACTCTATAATGACTTATATTCTTCTGTATTGTCGAGCATATTCTGTGCTATTTTCCTATTGTGGTAGTTCTATAAGCATTTCTCTTTAGCTATATCAACGGGAAGAAAAAGATGAAAAGAAAAAGTCAGAGTACTATACAACCTAGTAGATAACATCTAGATAAAACATTAAAACCATCAAGGACTTAAATACACTAAAAAAAAGTATTAAACATAGTATTCCCACGTGATAATTCAATATCACCATGTGGTCAGTGCTGAAATTGTGGATATTCTCGTATTCTGTTTTTGACGGAGGATTTGTCGATGTAAGCGAGGTTCAGCCGCAGTTTTCTGCATTTGTCCTTGTCTTGTCTTCCGTCCTGAAGTCGTAGAATTCAACTTTTTTCAGTATGGATGAAGCAGCATCCACATTCCGCGCACAGTGGGTCAATCCATCAGACTTATTCTCGATTCTTTTAATTATTGGCGGAGATGTTATTGGTATTGCTCTGGCAGCCGTCTCGGGCGGTCCCATTACCCCAGTCACCTTCTCGTTCGGATGGGTATCGTACGCTATCTCGGCGTTACTCACTGCTCAAAGCGAGGACCGCCTAATGCCCCCGGCCCCTGACACTTCGCTCCGGGTAATCAACATAGGCACGGGGTATATGCGGTTCAACCGATCCTGGACTTTAGGGCGGGTGTTTCAGAACTATGAATACTGGATGCCAGCAGAAGTGGAACAACGGCTGCAAAACCACCCTGTCCTATACCAGGACGAAGAAGCTGGGCTCGCAGACACAGATGTACCAGGAAAGGCCACGGCAACGACAGAAGCATACCCCAATCCTCGCAAATTTGTGAGCCCCTACCAGGCGCGTCTCTGCGTTAGTGTTTACGAATGGGCACTGGATGGGCCAAATGCTGTGGCAAAACCTGGTTATGACTGGGTATATTGGCTGGGAATTGTCGTGACAGTGCTCCAACTAGGTATCAGTGCGATACCATTTGGCCTGCACCAAGATTGGAGTATCTTCCTGGTGACAGTGGCCGGGACCATCCTGGCCTATGCGTCTGGTGCACTGCCACAATGGCGAAAGGAGAAATGGGCGTGTCGAACTTTAGAGAGGCGCAAGGATGTCGCGTTGACGCTTGGTAATGGCACACAGCATGTGGTCGTGGTGCTGGGGGCAAAGGGTGGACTGGATTTGGAAGACATGGCTGGGGGACAGTTGATGGACGACGGGGAGGCGCGGGCACGTAGGGGGCGATTGATGCAACTGATGAGCCCCGGCAATACTACGCGCATGATGACGTTCCTGTTAGCGGTGTTGTGGCTCATGCTTCTCCTCACCAGCACAGGAATCCAGGAACACGCGTGGTATCTACTCGCGGTGGGTGGCGCTGGCATGCTACAAAATCTCATCACGGCCGGAGCTCCACGTCAGCCGGCGATGTTAGGGGTTCCAGTTCGACTGGCTATGCGCCCGAAGCCAGGGACCGAAGGAAGTCCGATACCCATGGTCTTTGCCGAATTCAAGGTCATGCATACACTGATGGAGCTCGAGTTAGATCTCAAAGGAGCTGGTCGAGCTCTGCTCCCAGAGTTCTTCCCTGGCGGCGGTCTACAGCCGTGGGAGGAAAAATGGTGGTCCAGCAATGAACCGGAAATTCGACGCGATCTACTACGGGCGGCGAAAGAAAAAGAATTTAACAAACAGATGCGCAGGACGCAGGTTGGCTGAAAAGAAGCGTGCAATACAGCAGTATGTAGCGGTTTTTCACCAGGTCCTATCCCGGGGGTAGTAGCCTGTGCGGAAGGGCGATTTGGTACTTATCTGTCTTAATCCAAGTAAAGGTCAAACAACTGTCGTTATATGAGTTATGCCCCGAAGTCTTGCTTTCCATATCCAAATGACTGTCTTTTTTCTACTCCGAATAATACGAGACTTGCACATTTTACAGTTCCAAGATTTACCTTTTCTTCTATGTTCAGGTCAGAATACCACATAGTAGGAAACATAATATATCAAATCACCAAACCACAAAGGTACTTCTATACCATTTACTAAAGATACCCGCAATGAACATTGGCAGCTGAAAGGCTACAAGGTAAAGAATACGAGTATGTCTTGGCACTGGAACAGACCAACCAGTATGAGACTAGCGTTTTAGGGCTATGCTGACGCGGGGCTTCATCTGTCTGAAAAAGTGTTAACTCTCAAAGTAATTAGGAAAGCAATCAGCAATAATGGCGGAGCATTTGTTCTTTCCTGGGGAACCCCCAAAGCCTTATAAAGTCGAGTACAATAATTCGCTATATGATGGAGGCGATTGGGACCAGTTCCCGGCTCGCTGTGGCTGGAAATCGGAAGAAGGAGATCACAAGTTCCCTTTAAACCGAATCCCGGAGAGATTCCACTCTGAAATCGAGTGCTGGCTTTACTTCGGCATGCTCCACTATGTGTTTGGGGATCAGCTGGACCAGTCCGATTTCCTCCTACGCAGGGAAGACGTTCAATGCTTAACGACAAAGCATCTCGATAAATATGTCGGTAATGCCAAGGAATGGAAGAAGAGGAAATTTGGCGAGCGAGCGGTTGACATCGTCAAGAAAGTTTGCCAGCAGCTTTCTATATACTCTAAGTTTTGTGTGCGGGATGAGATGCTTGTGGCCATTCGACTGATCTGCTATGTTCTCTGGTATACTGCAGAGAAGCGAGACGGTCCTCAGACCAAGACCCCTAGTGTTCACCATTGGCTGTTGAGCGTAGGGCCTGAGATTGAGCAAATGGTTGCAGCAGGATGGTGCCCTTTGGAGGCAGAGAAATGTCGCACGACGGGTGGTGGACCGGATACCCCGGTGTATCTGCTTCAATTAATGCGTGTCAAGGCCGACTGGTACACAAAAACGCATGAGTCCTGTAAGAAGATAGAATGCGTGGCAAACAACGTCGATGAGAGCGACTATGTCACTCGACACGTGCAAGAAGATTGCAGCTGTTCGCATGTCCAGGCAGATGTCGAGAAGCTGCATACAATTCTCCGGGAAGGAGGGGTTCCACTTCTGATGATCACACCTTGTGACGACGATGTTAAGATTGAGATCGTGAGAAAGCGTGTCGGCAGACAATACCTGGCTATCTCGCATGTGTGGTCCGATGGACTAGGCAACACAAAGGGTAACAGTCTCCCGACCTGCCAAATGAAGTTCCTTTACGAGCAGGCAAGATGTGTTCTCACTGGCGATGAATATGTCCCTCGCTACAATAATGGCCCATTTGGACCACTACACACGGGTACATCTCGACTTGCCCATTTGGTGAGCAATAAGGCTCTACGCAGAGATGAGTCAGTACTTTTGTGGATTGATACCTTGTGTATACCACATCAACCTGATGTTAGAAGTCTGGCGATTCAGCGCATGCGTGAAGTATACTTGGACGGTCAGTACGAGCTATGAACATACTACTTCTTAGATGGTGACTGAACCGATTATAGGGTATCGGACGATGATCATTGATTCAGAGATGAGAAAAGTTAACGCCAGCTCTTCAACTCATCTTGAGCTTCTCCTAAGGGTACTATACTGTTCAGGCTGGATTCGCCGATTATGGACACTCCAAGAAGGATTGGCCGCTAAAAGTCGGCTGTATGTGATGTTCTCTGACAAGGCAGTCAACATTTCCACTATTGCCGACGAGCTCCTGACCAAACTTGACCGAGACAAACTCCCCATCATGCAGGATAGGATTATCACCTATGCCATTGGTGTTTGGCTCTCCTTCTTTCAACAAACCCTTGAGTCCGCGTCTAAATTCCAACGTTTCGTCAACTTTGTTGTTACTCCTTTCGAACCAACCGAGATCCCTAAAAGTCAACTGATCAAATCGAATTGGTTTAATGTAGCCACCCGAGCCACCAGCAAGGCAGCCGATCGCCCCATCATTCTGGCGGGTGTCCTCAATTTTGACTTGAAGGAAATTATAGAGGTCAAAGGGTCCGACGAACGAATGCGGAAGTTCTACAGCCTACTTGATGATTTTCCCCAAGGCGTGCTATTCCAGCAGGGGCCACGATTCGAAGAAGATGGAATGCGCTGGGCGATGAAAGTGTGTCAATATACCGAAGACCTCCGCTACCTCTCGGGCGAAGCCGGGAAGATCACACCTCGAGGACTTCAGATCACTTCTTACTCGTCATGGCTGTTCCCATCCCGTATGGCCTTTGACCTCGGCCTCTTTGATCTTGACCCCTACAATGCACAACTGGCTTGGGAGAAGTGGCTCGATGAGTACAATCCTGGAGAAGTCAATAGCCTGGATGGTTACTGTCTGCTGAAATTTAAACCCCCTAATATTTTCGAGCCAGATGGGACTTACGGGATTATTGCAATGGACTCAGAAAATTCTAGACCTGGATCAAGGACATCGTGTGCAGTGGTGTCATTGCGTACGACAGAGGATGCAGTTCATTATGCACAATATGAAAGCGTGGGAACAATCGAGTCTATTGTCAACTATGCAAAGCAATCAGAGGAAGGCGGCTATGTTATGGCAGTCAAATGGGATGACCAGCAAAAACGTGAATGGATTGTTGGTTGAGTTAGTGACTAGATTAGATTCTCCTTTCTTTCCATAGTCAACTATCAGAGCCTTTTCTCCCATGACTTCGCCATCATTTACCATTACCCTCCCCATCTCTTGATAGAATCAGCTCTCATTGTTCTTTCTCATGGTCAGCCGAAGTGCTCAAAGATATGCGCCCAACCAGAAGCGATATGGAGTCCAAGGCATCTATTCTCTTTACAAGTCATACCAAAAATGGAATCGAGATGACGATATGGATGCTTGAGTGCCATGAAGGACGTCAGCTACGTGTAAATAAAATTTGGTAGAAGCCTAAAAAGAAAGAGCAAGTTCACGATCTCATGCGTGTACAATTCAAGGAGCCATGGGGTCTGAGCCACCTAGGGCAGCGAATAAAAACATAATTGAAACCAATGGACCCCAAAATAGCAAATACCCGCACCTAATTGACCTGGGTTATGTTAACCTGGTGGCTTTCACCTTTGGTCTCCATGTCATGTCCCTCATCATTTACCTAATCAGTATTTTCATTACGCTGCGCCCATAGGCCATCGGTGGGCTCATTGGGCCATAAGGTAGCGCAGAGGTCACGCGCTTCGTCCCAGTCCTCATAACCACCATCAGAGCTATACATCATTAGAATAATTCTCTGAATGGATGCCACATGTACCATACCCAAGATCAAGGTTCTTCGGTGCCAGCATCCAAATCCTGAGAAGGATGGATGAAACAACCACATCATACGGCTTTCGAGCAGTCTTGCAGAAAGTCCATGTACCCGGCTTGCGAAGTATGAATGGTTCGTGGGCGTTTCCTCTAATCCCATTCAAGTATATGCCGTCCTCGGGGTCGTTGATCACCGGTGTGATTGTGTCTTCATCATCGGTTGGGCCGCTGAGAGGAACGCGGGCTTCTTTGATGATATTGGGGACGTCTTGGATGAGCTGATCCCAGGCCTTTTGCCATTCAGGTGTATCCCAGCCAATAATGGCGTAGTAGTGTGTGTAACTGTGTTCTTGTTAGCAAGTTCTGCTTTTTTTTTTATGATGGCTAAACTGACCCCATGACTGGAAGAGTGAAGAAATGGAAGTAGAAGTGGGAGGTTAAGGAACTTAGGAACTTAGGCAGCCGCAACCTTAAGAAGTCACATGCAGGTATCCATACATCAACATCTAATAGCCTGAGGTTTCAATATATTCATTGAAAACATGCAAACTTCACGTGAAGTTTTACATCTTATCTCGTTTGAGAAGAATCCAAATACAATCTTTAGAGTTCTATCAATGTCTCTTTGAACACTTCATCTTCATTCGCTTTCTAACTCAGAACTTTCTTTCAAGCTTTCACAGAGATGGCTGAAGTGAGAATTTTCGTCTGGGTAACCACCTAGGCAAGCCTGACACTACTGTACTAACATCTCCTCTCTTGTAGTCAACAGCTGATGAGCGGTGCTTGGCTCCAGAGCTCCGCCAGGCCGTTGATGACCTGAAAGCTGCTGTCCATTCTGCAAATTGCTGTCTAACTACCTTTCGCTTCCTGGACTCGTTCCCCCACCTCAGTACCCAACACCCGGAGATCCAAAAAGCTGTTGAAAAAGTGGCTCGGCTTGCACAGGACCAGGAGGAAAACACCAATCAGGCCGTGCAAAAAGCCCAAAGAACATTCGAAGCTCTGTCTCCTGAACACCAACATGGCTTGATGCAGTACTATGGGGAAGACCTCCGTTTCTACCTCGAAATCACCATTCCTCTGGGTCTATCACACACTCCCACCCCTCTCAAGGAATTCCAGGTGTTGTTATTTGACATTGAAAATTACCACCGTGCACTCGCCCGGGTACGTGGAGTGGAGGCGAACATTGCGGATATCTTTTTCGGGCTACCATCCATCCAACGACTGATGCGGGAAAATCGAGATGAAGAACTGCGACTGTTAGAACTACGCAGCTCGGCTGAGGTTCAACTGCGTAGGCAATTCTTTGCCTTGAATCGAGAGCATCAGGATATGCTCTGGCTATGGTATCAAGACTTTATGGGGATCAGTGGGATCCAGAGGGATGACAATGCGCAATACCCTTACTCGATTAGGACCTGAAAAGGAGATGACGGTATCCTAACGTGCAATCCTTGAAATACGAATGAGAAATAGGAATAATATTGACTGTGGCCATCTCTCTACCCTAGAGTCAAACACGTAATCCACCATGACTCAACCCCCCGTAATATAATTTTCACTCGTATTCCTAAGATGGTAGGTAGTATGAGGGTTAGACACTGCCAGACGAAGAAAAAGGTGCTTCACGAGTGGCTTGGCCTGTGGAAGGTAGTGAGCCCATCATGTGTAAGCAAATGTCTTTCTGACATGAAACAGGGAGCAATCGGCTTTTATTCAGGATACTGTATCTAGCAGCCTCTCCGGGTCTAGCATCCTTATTGATCCTGGCGTATCCACTACATCAAGCAACAACCAAGTCCTACTACATGTAATATGGGCATATAATATGTCTGAATACGCTAATGTCACACTAATATTTTATATTATTCTAGTTTTCGGCCGTCTACCTCGTTATAAAGCTAAAAGGGAAGAGAATACCTCGAAAGAAGACTTCTATAGTATCTAAGAATATCTAAAAGACCACTGAAAAGACCACTAAAAAGACCCCGGAAAAAACTATACAGGGATGTATAAGCCGATTCTTATTATACTTGCTATACTTGAGGGTTATAGGGAATTTTATATAAAAGATAAGGTTTGTGTCGTAATCCCAAAATCTGAAACCTCGGGACTGATACCTGACTCCGGTTCCTCTTCTTTCTTCAACCTCTCTAAAATGGAGCCTGCCAATAACCAGCTGGCTCGACCCCTAGCTGAAATTCGGTACACACGGGGCACAATTCATGTCTCGTGCGGGAACGATCGTTTGTGTTTGGCATATATGCATCCGTGGTATGCCTTCCTCCAAGATGTGCGCTTCATATTCCATGGGCACAATTTCAACCATGAGATTCCCCTCAACGACGAAACAGAACCAGACACTGTAGGGAACGAGTTAGGTCTCACTGGCAGGTTCGTCTGCAACCTATGTGATCCTGTCATCAAGGCAATCACCCCACTTCTCAACATGGCTGGTCTTACGTTTGCCGATATCCAAGCACTTGCATACACGGAGGACGTTATCCCAGATGTGTGTCTTGGGATTGTGAGTTCCAGGGCTAATATTGACAACGTTCTCATGGTTGGTGGAATAGAAACCCCGTGGACGACCCGGCTGCAAAATATGAGACTCAGTAACTTGGGGCATGCCCTGGGCAATGCATTCTTCCAAGGTTATTGCCTATCATTACATAAACAAATCCCATAGCCCTGGAGGGCTCGTAGGGCGTAAACGGAGAATTATTCTTATTCACAATAAAAATACTTATATCAATATGCATACTATGCGTACAATATTTCCTCTAAGAGCACGATGTCACATTACAGCTCGCCCTTGATGATATCGGCCGCACGCTCAGCAACCGCATACACGGTGCTCTGAAGGTGACCACAGACCTGGAAAGGCAAGACGGAAGCATCCACGACACGGACGTTCGAGGTTCCGTAAACCTTCAAGGATGAGTCGACGACACCACCAACCTCCTTGGGCATCATAGCAGCTGTGCTGATCGGGTGGAAGTTTGATCGGTCTAATCAGATGTCAACAAACCAATTCTCTCCAAAGAACTCTTAGCAAAACGAGGAATAAACTTACAGTTACCCTTGATGAAATCAGCCCAGCCATCGTCACCAGCATCAGCACCAACAGCAGACAGACCAGGGCTGGTCTCAGCACCAGCCATATCGGCAAATGGCTTGGTCTTGAAAACCTCACGAATAAACCGCGCTGCCTGCACCTGAGCCTCGAAATCAAAGTCGAGCATAAAGTACTTCGGGTCAATGATAGCCGCGGCCGTGGGGTCTGCAGAAGAGAGGTGAATGCTACCGCGAGAGAACGGAACAGACCCCCAGTATTCAGTGTCGTACATGGCTCCAAATGGCTCGAGCAAAATCTCCGCGACGGGAATACCATCCTTAAAGATCAGATCCCACTGGATCTTGAAGAATTGTAATAGGTCGCTGGCTTTGGTAATGTTACCGTTGGCGGAAGCAACCTGGGCTGCATATGCAGGGAGCTTGCGAAGAAGCTCGGCTCCAACTGCGGTAGAGTTGGGGAAGAGCTGGGCTGCAGAGGGGTAGGCGACGTAGTCGGCACTCTTGTCGCCGCCGTAGGTTGTCTTTGAGTCGAACTGGAGCCCGTTGTTCATTTGGTCCTGCAAGTTCTCGCCGACAGTTGGCAGGTTGATCTTGGTGGCGACTCCGTACTTGGAGAGAATGCTGTGAAAAGACGTATGGTAAGCTTTTATCAAATAATAAATGGCATGATACTCTAGCACTTACTCTGGATTTCCTACACCGGAAAGCTCAAGCAGCACGGGTGACTTCAGTGCGCCGGCAGCGAGAATTACCTCACAGGTAGCCTTCACGACGATGGTTGTGCCGTTGGAGAGAGTGACTTCGACACCATCTGCGGTGGCCTCGTTGCCATCCTTCCAGGTAAGCTTGTTGGCGTGTGTGTGGAGCCAAACGTGGAGATTGGTTCTGCTTTGGTAAGGATAATAGTAGGCACGAGCAGCATCCTCACGGATGTTGAGATCGGCATCAACCGTCTTGGGATACAGACTGTAACCAACCATATCTCCGCTGTTGGGGTCCCGGTTGTACGGAACAGGAACCTCGAGGTTCTGGTAGGTAGCATTCATTTTCTGAGCAAGACCATCATTCAACTGTGTTGAAGACCAGCCAACCTTCAAGGGCCCAGTAAATCCGTGGTATGCCGGATCGAAGGCAACACCCGATCCATCCAAGAAAGGGTATTGCGCCGGATCTTGCAATTTCTCGCTTTTCTTGAAGTAGGGGAGCATGCTCTTCCAGTTCCAGCCCTTGTTTCCAACAGTCTCCCAAGCATCAATCTGGGCTGCCTGGGCACGGAGGTACACCATGCCGTTGATGGTTGAGGTTCCTCCCAGTGCTTTTCCAGCGCGTACTGTCTGTGGGGCACCACCGGCATATTCTTGGCCTGTCGTTTTATAAGCCCAGTCAATTTCTGTACCGAAGGCTTTGCTGTATCCAAGAGTGTCGGTCACATTTGGGTTGTTATATACGGGGCCGCCCGCTTCGATCACGAGAACGGTGGTGTCCTTCTGCTCGGACAATCTGTTTGCAACAACAAGGCCACTGGTGCCACCCCCGACAATAACATAGTCATAAGTCGAGTATGAGTTGTGTGAGGCATGGGGAACTGCAGCTGCTAGTGGAAGCAGTGCAAGGCCGACGAGGCGCATGATTGATATAATTTTGATGAGAGAAGGCTCAACTGGCTGAGAGATACAGATCTTTCTTTAATTTTCTTAACAATTTGTGAGTCTACACGGATGATTTATACTTCGTCATGATATGCTTTGCAAGTATCGCAATCCACTTTTGTTTCAACGTGAAGAAAATCTTTGTCAGATCAGACAAATCTCAATATATGAACTACAAAGTACGAATTAGGAAAAAGAAGAAAAGAACAAACTTTCTACTAGGCATCCAATTGATTCACCGGGTAGTCTGACCACAGCCAAACGGGCTGGATTGGCGTTAGAAGACCGTTTCAATTTATTCTAAACCTTCTCGAATGTGGCTATATTACTTTTAAAAGGTTGTTACTCAGTTTTAGTCAGGAATCAATGGCATGCCGATCTTATTTTGTTTCAGAATATCCCCCGTCTCGGCATGCCGACCGGACTCCGGTCTCCGTGTCTCATCCTTGCTTATTCGAATGGTCACAAATCTCTTTAGCTTTTAGATGTGTTTTTTCTTTGCAATTCTATAGTTTTCTGGCTTGAGAACTTTAAATATAGTTTTGATCTGATAAAATAAACATGGCTAGGCTCCTATAGAATGTTAGGCCCCGAGTGGCCTACCTTAATTAAATTTAAATATATACAATATCGTGATTGGTGGGCAATCTATATAGAGAAAGAGATTGACTGTTATATTATTTCATATGCTTGTACTTAGACGAATATGCGACTTGGTCAATATCTTATTGAAAGAAATATTCATATATGCCCGGGCGAAGAGTTAGATTACTAATAGAACCCGCGTCAAGATAGACCTAATCCGCTTCATTGCAGATATCGTGGAGTCCACTGGCTCCATAGCTCAATGCCGGACATAAAATATTCCAGACCTTTGATATACATTTCCAGTTCATGTGTCAAGCTTTCTGTACAAATCTCATCGTTAGATTGCTTGAGAGCGACCTCCAATTCCCGACAATAGCTATACATCAGCCGCTTGCAGGCTGTATATGGTAGCCCTGTCTCGTTGGCAAAAATGTAAATGGCAGAGACTGGGTGGGCACCATCGGTTTGGTTCGCCTGGTGGACTTTCCATTCTCTCTCCCAGCTATAGATATCATTCATAACACTGAAATGCCGAAATGCAATGCTTTCCAAAGCTGCGGTCTTTTTAAGTTCATTGGGAGTGAGATACAGCTTGGCGCCAAATCTAATAAGAGCTGTGAAGAACCTAAATCGCTGTCAGTGCTCAACAATAATATCCGACCATGAACAGTAGTAACAATACATACGGTTTTCCCACGTCTATCTCCCTAAATTTTAGGTATGATCCGAGAGTATTTATTGTGGCCCTCTCCTCAGATGTCATGGCCTGCAGAAGTTGACAAAATCCATGGGCAACATCATTTGCGAGAGCCTCGTCCATACTTCGCATGGCCATAACAGTGTCGTGGAGCATCCACTCAAGGCAGATATGTCTGTCTGGGCTGGCTGTTCCAAGGGCAACTTTCATGACCCGGTCTCGATATGACAACATTTGTGTAAAGCTCATTTTTTCAAGTTGATCTATCTAGAAGGTCAATAAGCGTCCAAACCCAACTTCCAGCCTAGAGACACACCATCAATGAGTAAAGATAAGTAAAGCATCTTGCATGTCACATCAATGCGATCATCTAGCGTCAATGGAAAGGAGTGACTAAAGGCACGCGATAACCCAACACTAAGGAACCCCTTTTTCTCCTTCGCGCTAGCAAAGCTCCAATTGTTACCAAAATAAGGCTCAACCTGAGCCTGAATTTGTTCCCATCCTAGTGGATGGGTTTTGGATTCTAGTTGGCTCGCTGGAATCTCGCAAGGAACATTTTGTGCTGTCGAGTACTGCCTAGCCGATTTGTTTGTTGAGTACATATAGGGTGAAAAGGTCGGCCGATTGACAGCCAATACTACCTCGAATCGGCTTTCATTTTTCAATTGGTTCCAGATGCATGCCCTTTGAAGTCGAAACATCGCAACTTGTACATTCCAGCCGGATTTTCTTTGGTCTATCAATTGCCCATAACAGATAAAACAGAAGCGGATAAATTACGCACGGACCATCTAAACGTGATGTCACTCACATCAACCGTGGTCCATGTCACTCTTCTTTTTTACGCTTATCTCTAATTTGCCCTTGTACAACCACATCTTATTATATCATATTAGAATCACATATTGCTGGATGCGATACTGGAAATCAGTCATACCCATCTGATCACCGGCGTTTGCAAAAGAGGCCACCAGCTTCATACTAACATATGGTTCCAACTTCCGCTACTGCCAGCCATCAAAGCTCTCTGCAGGTGGCCCTACGGCGCCTCAGTGCAATTAAAGTAGACAGTGGAATATCTCCCAGCAATTCTTTGAGTCTCTCAACAAAGGCTGGAATCATGAGCACTCCATCAAAGAACTCACAACGTGCGCCATGGCGCGATCTCCTTGATTCTCATCTCAAACAAACACCTGGGTATGAATTCACCGTTGCAACAATTGGTTACAATGCTCAACAACGCCCTGTACCTCGCTTGCGGACTTGCGGCTGCCGTGGTTTCTTCCCAGAACTTGAGCTCCACGCTAAAGGCCAGGAAGCTATGGATCAGCAGGTGGAAGGTGGTGGTAATCCACCCATATTCGAAAGTGACATGCTGTCATTCACCACAGATGCTCGGATGGAAAAGCTTCCTCAACTGGAGTCCTCAGGACATGCGATTGAGGCTGTGTTCTGGCTGAAGGGTCTCATGACTCAGTGGCGCATCAAGGGGACGGCATATGCAATTGGCGACCCAAGTGGAGAAGATGCACAGCAAGAGAAGACATCCCGAACCGAGATACGAAAGGCATTGAGGGTGAAAGGGGATACTGACAGTGATATTGTGAAGTGGACATGGGAAAATGCTGTCACTAAGTACTTTGCAAACCACTCCCCAATCGCAAGAGGTACGTTGTTTCTAAGTTTGTTACTGGCTGCAAGTGTTTTTATTCATACATTGCCCTTATTATAAATTCACAAGCCATGATGCCTGTCATCACCAGCGCATACTGACTGGGGATCTAGGCTCTTTTCGAAATCCTGCTCCTGGACAACCCAGATCCTCAGCACCCAGCCAACCAGATCTCAAACTGGGTCAAGAGGTTTTGGACCTCCATGACCCTGTTGCACGGTTGAATTTCCGAGTTGTGGTCATTTGCCCAGAGGAGGTTGAGCGTTTAGATCTTACTGATCAAGAGAATTGCAAAAGATGGAACTGGACATTGATTGATACAAAGGAGGGCTCTCAGTGGAATGAAGTTGAGCTGTGGCCATGATTCTACCAATAGTACTTGAAAGATGATTGTTATACACAATTGGAGGAGCTTGTATCCAAAAAAGAATAGGTCACCGCTGCCTTGGTTTGATATTTGTATGACACTACCTACCTATATATGCTAGATATGCTCATCTTGGGTAATAATGTTCCGTGTCTATAGGTATCAGTGGAAAATCTGTGAAAAGATCTTAAGTATCATGTTTGTAGTTTCCATGGGGTTTGTGTTGGAAGCTGCGTCGCGTGGCTGGGATTCCCAATTTGCTTGGTTTGACGTGTTGTCGTGTTGTCGTTTTGATTTATGGCTGTCGCATGCCTGAAAGAACCTTCACTTCTGCCAACTCGTCGCAACTCGCCGGCAGCGATTAATACGCGTCACACGCACGACAAATACCTTTCACTTCTCAATTAATCCCATCTCATTAGCAAACGTGAATTCCCTCAAACCTCATCTTTTCATCCACCTTATTCTATCATAATACTCACAGCCAGCACGTTCAAACAGTGTTTGACACCAAGATGTCTAGAAATAATCGTCCCTGTGCTAACTGTAAGGCCAAGAAGAAGCGGTGCACCCACCGTAACCAACCTGTCGAGGTCACCGAGGCTGAAGACGTTCCAGCCATCATGTCTCCCTCCGATCCCGCTGTTCCCACCCCTGCTCCCACTCCTGCTCCCACTCCTGCTCCTGCTGCTGTCTCTGCCGCTGTCCCTGCCCCCGGTGCTGCCACCCGGGGACGCCGCAAGGCAGCTGAGGCAGCTGTAGCTGCTGTAGCTGCTGTGGCCGCTGAGGCCAACCCCGAGGTACGTGACATAGATTTCTGACTTTTCTTTAGGTCTGTCACGCTAATACATGGATGCAGGAGATGAGCTCTGCCCCCGCCGACTCCAGCGACGAGCTTTCTTCCGTGCCCTCCGAGGCCGAGCAGAAGCCGGTGGTCAGGAAATCCACCAAGCGTGGTCGCCGTGTCAAGCCCACCGCGAAGTCTCAGGTCGAGGTCCCTGACTTCCCCGCCGACCCTGTTCAGGCCGCCTGCACCATGTCCGTCCACAAGGTCTGGGCCCGCAAGCTTGAGGCCAACCTCGAGGAACTCGAGAAGAACATGGAGGCCTTCGATAAGGCTCACCGCGCTACCATGGCCTCTGCCAAGGAGGTCCAGCGTACTGTCGCCGGCTGGATGCAGACTTGGGCTGCCACTGGTCGTTAAGTGTTGTTAACGTTCACCGTCGCACCTTCCAATGTCTTGCTCCTGATTCCTGTTCTCATGCTTTGGAAGTGAATATTTCTGAGATGTTGTTCTCGTGGGGGGATTCTACTGGTTTGAGGAAATTCTTCGTTCCCTGATATGGGATGTGCTCGACCAGGCTCACGTGGCAGGCCACGTGAGCCTGGGTCAGCACCCATGGATTGGTTTGTTTTGTTTGTCGGTGTCATTCGACACCTTAATCCATGGAATTTCGAAGTCGTCTCGTTCCCTGTAAACATCCCTATGAATCCGATATGTAATTCGTAGGCTATAATGATTTGCCTTTCCCAATCTTGGATAGTAGAACCCCCTTTGAGATCTATGTTATAAGTTATAAGTTACCAAACAAGGGCTCAGCATGAATTCGGTCCTATGCTAGACTTAAGAAACTCCAAAATGAGAATGTTTGAAAATTGTCGAGTCTGGACCTTAATGTTGTACAGGGAAGTCCCCTGTACGGAGTACAGTGAAGTTGACAATACCGCCAATACTTTGGATTTACACCGATCAACCAATCACAGTTGGCCATCAAGTAGTGGGATCCCCCGGGGGGCCCAACCACGGACTCTCCCGTAAGTTCCGCGGGATCGTCCGGGTGTTGTCCCCATTTTTTGGTATTTGACTTTCAACAATACAACTCGTATTTCCTTATGGTCCCCGAGTTCCCCGTTTGGTCCCCGAGGCCGTTTACGTGTCAAACCTTTCTTAGGAAAGGTACCCGTTCATATCAACAGGGTCCTCAAATCTACAACATAGAGTCCTTTTTTTTTTTTTTCTACATATACGGAGTATGTAATTCAATATGGCTCTTGCTCTTTGGTTGCTAGGAGACCTAACTTTCCGAGGAATGGGTGGCTTGGGAGTATTTAGATCATATGTTACACATTTTTTTCGGATTTGTTATCACTAAATAGAAGCTAAGGTAGTGTAGAAAGTCTGATGAAAAAGATAGCCAACTGACACATGCAGCTATCCTATTTTCACCGGAGAAGACAGTCCAATTACATATAAATCTTGAAATGCAGTTAGCCCTAGGACGGGCTATCAAATACGGGGGGGTTTCGTACTAAAACTGCCTAGCCCCCCCCCCCATATATAAATTTATAATTTAGTATGATCCACCAAACAAAGTATTTACCATACCATTACCATTATACCATTACCAAGTCTTCAATTTCTCTTTTCTTTCTGTTTTTCCCCCCCCCTCTGCTTCACCGTCACTTGCATTTGTGTCGCAGATCCTCCAAGGCTATTCAACGGGTTACTAAAGAAACCCATCTCTCCTTTTCCCGCCTTTGTCTCTACCCTGACGATTCCGGTCGAACTCACGATTTACGACGAAACGACCACCGGAACTCTAATACTTTGTTTAAATTTGAATGCGCACTAAGGGATATTTGTTATGGCCATGACAATGGATGCTTTAGGGGCCTTCACCCACATGAAAGACAACATTCCTACATGGATCACCCGCGTTTCAGAGCTTGCTACACACACACATAAGAAACACAATGAATATTCTGAAGCTTACAGACGCCATGCAAACTTGAAGCCTCGCCGACGGAAAAATAGCTCAGTTTGCTCCATTCATGCCGATGAACTCGTTCCGATCGCACAGAGAAAGACTCCCAGCCCAGAGCCTACGGAGACACAGGATGCGCCCGAGCAAGGTCAACGTTCAGGTCGCAAGCGCACTACAGATGAGGCCCCATCAGTCGAATCCAATGAACGACACGCCTTGGTAAGCACACGGCACAATGTCATCATCGAATATGATGGTCATACACAACAGACACTCGAAGCAATTGTACGGGATATCGGGATTGCCAGGAACAACATCAGACGGGGCCAGATGGCATTGATGCCGCGTACAGGGCTGCGTGCGGGCTTGTTGAGCAAAGGCATGAATCTACCAAGTTCACTGGGACAGGCAGGGCCACTTGCTTCTGTTCGCAGCACCCGGACTACAACTGGACTTGTCGGTGTCTCTGGAACCGGCGCACGAAAAGACTCTGCTTTTGACTTTGCCGACAAACAACTGGAACTTGCCCATTCGCTTTGCGAGACGGCAGCTTATCAAGTCCTTCGATCTGGCGACTGTGGGACGGAACTGGACGGTGTGGAGGAGAAGTTTAAGATGCTACTCGAGGCGGCTATCAACGAGGTCAACCGTATCACGGCAGAAAAGAAACAGCAAGAAGAACAAGAAGAACAGCAAGAAAAAGAAGGTCCCACCGAAGAAGGACCGCCCGAACCGGCCCCTACCCCCTCTGCGGCGCGACTCGCCACGGTTGCTGCCATTGCTACGAACAAGTCCTCAATGGCCACGTCAGGCGCCATTGAAGTGGATGATAGTTCATCTATTTCGGCTGAGTCGATTGACCTATCTGCATTCCGATCCACTCGATTCCGAGTCTAAAAACCCTGGCACAGCCAACACTTGACCTTATATTAGCGATTTAGCGTGTGTTGAAACCCTCCCAGCAAACCCATTACAGCCAGTTGATCCTTTTGAACTGTTGAGATCCCCATTTCTTTTTTCTTGGGCCTTTTTTTTTGGACATTTCTGCATCTTTGCGTTTCGATTTGCAGCTACGGGAGCGCACATACCAATTTTATCATTCATTCCCTTTGCGATTCATATTCTACTACTTACTATCTTTGACATATTCCGATGCCATTGTTTGGGATACCTATCTCCTGTCTGTCTCTTGCATCAACTCATGACTCATTCCCGGGGGAACACGGCGTTGGGACTGGGCGTTTTCATTTATTTATCTCTCTGTTGCTCTGCGTTACAGCCATTCTCAGTAAATATTTATGGCAGGAATTTGACTTTCCAGGAATTCAGCTTTGTTTTGCATATTGTTGTAGTCTACAAAGAATTGTATGTCAAAGACGTAACGGCAACATTCCACCAATTGTAAGTTCTTAAGGTATAAATGAATTTTAGTTCTTTTGTCTTCACTTCCCTGTAATAATCCTTGTTATATTGGTAATTTCCCAAGGGCCGTTGCTGCTCCCGAGACGGCAAGGCAACGGGATGCATGTCTTTCTCACTTGCCAAGCAAATGAACCCACAGGGATGAGCTCCGTTGTGGGGTCCGGGGGCCATTGATACCCAACCTTCCCGGTTCAGTAAACAGTCTGTTCTAGTGTGGATTACTCCGTATAGGTGGGGGCCATAGAGAAAACTTCAACTTGTGTACGGAGTATTCCGTACTTTATCTATATCCCACGTGTGACCAGATCTTCCTTGTTCACCACGGACATCCCGGCTGTCGGTGGCAATCTCCTGATATCCTCAATGTGTTTCGTATTAAAGTATAGCGGTACTATCTTCAATGATGTGCACACAGTACGGAGTATGCAGGTATATGCATGGCATATGCTACTACGGAGTATGAAGTACATTCTAAGATATTACTCCGTAAACGGACCTACTTTGTGCGTACAGAAACACAATGTATGTATGCATCTTTCTACCTGCATTTGTTCAAGGAAGTTTAACAAGGCATATTATGTGGCACCGGACGCTAGATGGGAGGCGTTTTTTTTAGTACAGGGTGTGCGTGGACATGATATTATCATGGTCTAGACACATATTCCGTCGATCATGAATATGGCAGTTGGAATAATATATATTATGATGGCTTCCACCTGGCAGGATGCATGTGCAGGGGTTTCTTACACAAAAGTACATACATCCCTGAACACAGCTTCTGATTATTTCTGTCTTATATGTTGTATTCCTTCTCATTCCAACCTTCCTAAACTGGGGAAACAGTTGTCTCACCTTAGAGTCAATATAGTAGAAACAATATATTAAGCTTGATATCCAAGCTCTTATTTTAATATTCTGTACTCCGTACGGAGTACATACGGAGGACAATATCCTCCTATAAATTCGTCCGTAAACCCCACTCTCAGCCGTCTTTTTACCTTCCCCTTTTGGGTGAGACGGATATTTATTCCTTTCTGACAGAAAAGTCCACAGAGAACGGATTTGAGCTTTTCTCCGTTTGTCTTCTATGCGAAATATATCTCCGTGTACAACATACGGAGTAGCACCCCTTAATAGGAGAGAGATCAGCTAACAAAAACAAAAGTGCAATTACAAGTATTTTTTAAAGTATTTTAATTTTGATTTGTATTTTTTTTAAAAAAAACTCTCACCCCCCACTAACCAGAATTGACAGGTGTCAAGCCATTGCGGTATCCTACCGGGAGCTAATTAGTTTTTCAAGGATGTCTTACGCTTGGCCCTTGAAAAATTCACAAGGATATGAATGAGGCGTATATCCTATATTAAACTCCTGCCCTCCTAGGCAAGAGTGCCGTAGGATTTTAGGGGAGAATCTTACGATTTCAATTGTTTCAGAGAAGATGTGTGTCAAATTGTGGCATTGTCAAATCTCGCTTCCAAAAGGTTCGTACAACATATATTCTATATGTGTGGTACTCCGTACGTGGCATAGAATATGTAGGCAAAATCCACAACACTTGAAAGAAGCTTACTCCATATCTGTACTCCGGACTCCGTACCTGGAGTGGAAGGTGTTTTGGGATTAAATACGAGTATGAGTTGTAACAAAAACACGTATTGATGAGTCTTCACAAAAGTACATGTCACATGTATACCTGTACTTTTGTAATCATTCAACATTGAAGTATTTACTATTTATCAATGATATCCCTTCTACAACATACGATATGCTCTGTACACAGTACAATGAACATGCATCGGGAATAGAGAATCAGACCATTGACACTTTCTCAGTCCGGTAATTATGGTTCATTTATTGGTTTGATGGACCTGAGAAGAACTCTATGCAATAAGGTCTAGAGGTATATATATTTTGTAGCTTGAAGAGACAAATAAGGAATTGAAGCTTGATAGTCAAGTTCCATGGTCTCCTTAGGATAGTTCAGGACTCCAAACTATATCTTAAATACAATCACAGCTACAAGGTATGGAACAAGACATAGAAGTCTTACGATGATATGCCATTGGAATTTCTTGGCTCTCTGATCTCAAAAAAAAAAACTGGTTGAAATCTCTCTCTTGCAGTCAATTGATGTTATAAAAACAGTATAAAAAAATACAAAAGTTAATGCATTGACGGGGAATCGAACCCCGGCCACTACTTATCACATAATGGAAGAGTAGTATTCTACCACTGAACTACCAAAGCTGTTTTGTTGATTGGCCTTCCTTGTAACGTATTGTGACTTCTAGAAATAGGAATCATTGAAGTAAATCAGACTGCTATCAAGTTGAGTTCTCGTATATCTAGAAGGAAGGCATTGACAGAAATCATATATTTTCATTGGAATCTGATTAGGACGTTGAATTCCTGCCCTATCTAACATATGGAATAAACGGATATCATCACTCATAACCCCTTGCTCCTTGTCTTTAACCCATTGAAATGCCCAATATAGCCCAACCCTGGAAGACAGACAGTACAAAATAAGAAGAATAAAACAATCAAGAGACAAATACAAATGCACAACTTTGTCTCACATCTCGTCGAAGGCACAGTCGGGATGCATGACGAAAAGGACCTTTCCGTCATTCTGGGTGTTGTCGTCAGTCCCATCTGTGAGACCAGACCCGGAGATGCGCAACAGGATTTTGTCCTATAGAGTAAGTTGTTAGTGACATGTGACAGAGATTCATAGATATTGCCATAGCAAAGGAAGAGCGACTAACCTTGACCATGCGTTTCAAGACCTTGCCTGCCAGCTCGCGCTCACGCTCGTAATCCTCTGCGGTGTTGAGTTCACCCTCGATTTGCTCCAAGTACCAGAGTACAAGATCTTCTTGTTCGACACCCTCGCCCGAGTTCACCTCGTCCTCGTTTACCCGCTTGACGATCTGGTTAAGGATCTTGGCGTACTTGTCATAAGTGATCTTAGTCTTCTGGCGTTCCGCCGGAGCAGGAGCTTGAACAGGTTCTGCGAAGTCGCGCATAGGGCTGTCACCCTCGTTGTCGCCATCGGCCATTTCCTGGTCGTCATCGGCGTGAGTGGTCTGAGTAGGGATATCATCGTCTTCAATCTCAACATCATCTTTCTCAACAGTCACGATACTCTGGCGGAGGAGATCATATGCCTCGATGACGAACTTGGGAACAATCTCCTCAACACAGTTGGCCTTGGCGACAGCCTCAGACAAACGGATCAAAGACTCCAGCTGACGAACGGTGATACGGTATGAAGAGCGGCCAATACCTCCCTGGGCGTCATTGGAGCGCAGCTCCTTGTATTTCTCGACCAGCAGTGCTTTTGCTTCTTCAGTGAAGACGGGGCGGAATGTGCGTGCGAACCGGATGTAACGCTGCAATTGTTCTGTGCTCAACTCGGGCTCAACGGCCTCGTCACGGTTCATGTGCACGTTGACAATGTGTTCGGCCAAACTGCGGTCAACAGACTCCTTTGGATCATCGCGAATAACAAAGAACACATCGAAACGACTCATAATAGGGGCACTGAAGTTCAAGTTGTTCCGAAGAGTTTGCTTCGGGTCGTATCGACCATTAACGGGATTAGCGGCAGCGAGGATGGATGCGCGGGCATTGAGGGTGGTATGGATACCAGCCTTGGCAATAGAGATTGTCTGCTGTTCCATGGCTTCGTGAATAGCGACCTGGTCGGCGATATCCATTTTGTCGAACTCGTCAATAGCACAGATACCACCACCGTTCTATATGGAGAATGTTAGCGATGAACCCACACTCTTAGTTTGAGCCACATCTGGAACATACCGCAAGCATCAGAGCACCAGCTTCAATGGTGAACTCGCCTGTCTCAGGATCCTTGACAACTGAAGCGGTCAAACCAGCTGCCGAAGAGGCTTTACCACTGGTGTATACTGCACGAGGATGCAACGAGCAGACGTATCTGAGGGACCTTGTTAATAACTAATTTCTATGTGTGAGGAGTTGGCGAGACTTACTTCAAGAACTGACTCTTACTGGTTGACGGATCACCAACAATACAGATGTTGATATCGCCACGAAGTTTCAGGCTCTCAATCGATGTCGACTTGCCAACACCACCAATCAACTGCAAAAGCAGACCCTTCTTGATTTGACGATGACCCCAGATCATGGGGGCAATCGAGTCCACAAGTCGGGAGTAAATATACTCGGAGTGCACTAGTCGCTTGAGATCCTGGACTTCAGCCGGTGTTAAGCTCTGCAGAAAAGCTTCTTGGGCTGATTCATCGGGAATATCCTCATCCTGGTTCTGGTTCAGGGATGCCAGGATATTATTTGACTGGCCACTCAGCTGCTGCTCCGGCTTCTGGCCAGGAGTCGTCGTGTCTGGGGTAACCATGCAAGAAAGGAAGGCCAGACGGTAAGTCAGATCGCGGACACCCAGAGACTTCAATCCAGAGACTCCGCTACCACCGGCCTCGTTACCGCGGAAGGAATTGTTATCGCGGACGGCCTCAGGGCGCACACCAGGAAGACCCAATTGGCTGACATCAGGAACGACAATCAAAGTGCCCGTAAAGACGCAGCGTTCACCGGCCTTAGCGCGATCGACCATCTCACCACGCAAGATGACATCCATTGTGCGTGGCATACTACCAGTCGGGATTTCATGTGATGATTCCTGGAGCTTGACCTTTTGCCAATCGACAAAGGTGCTCTTTCCGATATCCAGGCGCCATCCCACGCGATTGCCGCAGGTATCATTCGGGCACTCTGTTGGCTCCGTATATCTGAAAGTCTGTTCAATATTCGGGACAACAGTCTTGCAACCTTCACAAATAAAAGTTCCCAGCGACAATTCTGGTCTGACCTCTGAAGTTCTTGTGACGGTTCCAGAGACAGAAAGCAATTTTCCAATCTGATTCGTCCGAAGTTGACGTAGTCTGGAAACCAAAGGCAGGTTGTAAAATGCAAGGGCAAACAATTTGTCAGTTTGCTGGTGGCGAGTCTTCTCACGAATCTGACGCTCGAGGTCGGGGTTGTCTGAAACGCCTGCATATGCGGAGGCAACGGAGGTACTGGCTCGCGAAGAGGTGCTAGCGGTCATTCGGTGGGAAACGAAGTATTCTGGTTCATACTTCGCGATAAGATTGTGTAGTCCCTTGGTGAGGAACGGTTGGAATCGATAGTATTGACCGGCAATGGCATCCGCCAGGACGGGATTAAGGATATGTGTGAAATCAACGTAGAGAGTGGACAGCTCGAATTTCTTCATCCCCTTGATCTGAGCGATATAATACTTGTCACTAAGAAACTCTCCTGATGAGGGCGGTGCAGAAGATGAGGGTTCATCGATGTATGACTCGAGCAGCTCTTCAAATGCCTGTTGAACTTTCTCTGCCGCCTCGTCGACCACCGGCGGGGGACCCGCGGCATATGGATTCCGCATACGGCTGACTGTCGAACTTCCCCCTCCGACTACTTGGTCATCCGGAAAGGCATTCATATCACTCATAGGGCCATTGCTCTCCGAGCGTCGGGAACTGGGTAGATTGTCGGATCGGAGGTTCTCACGAGAAGGCGCAGAGCCTAGCTCGGACTGAATCACGGCATCGAAAAGGGAAGACATGGCAAAGAGCTAATGGCCCTGAAAATGGCCAGTATTAAAAAAATGGTACTAAGCTCTCACGTCTTGAGAGGGGAAAAAAAAGGAAATGTGGAGAGATGATATCGTAGACTCAATTTGCTATCTTAGTTTTTCGTGGGTCTCCTTCGCGGGTCTCCTTGGGCAACTAAGGCGCGACGCGAACGCGTCTTCGGAAAAATAGTTGATCCCACACCGACGCGTTAAGTGGTTTCCTTATATAATCGTCTACACTAATCCCATTTAGGTAATAGGTTTTCTTCATCTTCACTGCAAATAACATTCTGTGTTTTGCTTAGCGCCCCCACTATCGTTCCTATGAGGCGCACAAAACGTCAGCCCTCGGGTTTTCCCGAGGTTATGGCTTGATGTTTCTTCTAAATCCCGAAACAAGTTCACCTTGCATATGGCTATCAATAAGCGAACAGGGTAATATTGAGAACTGCAGGTTTAGTTCTCGTTTTAGCCTGAATTATTTGTCAATCTTAATATAAGAACTAGTTATAGATTTTAAGTGGGCTTCGGGTCGAGGGCTTGCGGTCTTATATCCTTATTTGTCATATCCGCGAGTGAAAAGGGGGTCTTGATTTGATATATCCCACATCCCGGGTACTACTCTGTACTTCGGTATACAACGTAATATATACAACATATTTGAAATGAAGTACTCCGTGTGTACTCCGTGAATCCAAGGCTATTTTTAAGTATGCGTATTCCGTATGGAGTAACTATGTTTTATAAGCAAGATATTAATAATTTTAGTTAATTTGTAATATACCATGTACCTTTCTTTGTACTCCGTACACCCTAAAGGTTAAGTCCTAATGAAACTCTCGGCTTTTAACCTACATAAAAGTACCAGTTCATGCTTGTCGGACATATGTATGCTTATAGTCGGTTTAATTAATTGCATCGGGGCAAGTTTATCCATTGGGTAAATGGTTGACACTTGGCGCTTATATAAGAACATCTCCCCCCCCGGGGTGCCCGCACTCGAGCATCTGAAACCCCGTTATTCCCTACCGGGGAATTATATCCCCCTCGCATTGTATTGCTTCGTAAGTTAAACTATTCTGTGCTAGCGTGTTTTCTTCAGCTTTCTTTGCATATTCTCCATGACCTGACACTATCATGGCATAGAACTTGTTTGTCTTGCGATGGTTTCTTTCATATCCCGAGTCCTTGGCTGGAGGAATCTTGGTGACCATCGGTTGGTTATGCAGCTTTAACTGCTTCACTGTGTCGACAAAGGAAATTTATATTCTCGCCCGACATGTCTGAAAACGAAAAGCGGTTAGTATCGACACTGACCAGGCCAAGCGCCGTGTCGTCGGGCCCGTCTGACACGGGTGCATCGGGTATGCCTCCTCCCGTCTTCACCAGCAGGGTCTCAACTTGCACAAATCAGCTAAAGCTTCTTAAATAGCACCATCAACCTCTAGTCCTCCAATAGCTAAACCCGGAAGGCGACGACGCGCCGCCGAATCGAAGAACAAATCCTCCAAGACTCAACACTTCTACTTTGTTGATCAGAACTCGTCATCCAAAGAAAAACGCGCTCATGTTATGCGCCACCATGTACAGGAAAAAAGGAAACAACGCAAAATGTCGGGAACACTCTCGACAAAGCAAATCCCAGATCATACCTCGTATTCACCAAAGAAAGAGGCAGGAAATGTTGAGACTCGACTTGAGTCGCCCCCGACAACTGTACAAAACTTCCCCCAAGGGGAAACTGCGGTATGGGAACCATTTTTCTCTAGTCAAGCATCTAGGCCACAGCCAAGGCTAGACTATCTTGGCGTTGGCTTAGCTGCAAATGATGATGGATTCAGATGCTAACGCTATCGTATTCTATAGCTTCAAATCAGATTCTCAAACATGAGGTCGGAACCATTTACTTCCACACTACCATACATCGGCTCCCCAATCACCATACTCGATGCTTCGCGAAGGGATCCGTTTGCCAGTCTCCCAATCCAATATGACAACAGTGATATTGAATTGGCTGACTATTGGAGGAACAAGTTGACATACTGGTCCGGGCAAAACCTTCACGTGAAAAACCAGATTTTCCGCACGGCTATGGGAAACCCTCTTTCATTCAAGGCAGTAGTGCTGTCATACTGCGCGCGGTGGAAAGCACAGCTATACAACATGGCTGACAGCACCGAAATTCAACGCCATGTTGGTCAAGCCGCGAAACTTATCGATGACGCGACCTCAGGCCCTGCGCTAATCAGAGTGGACGACCTTGCAATGGCCTTGGGTGGGATGGCCTTGCACGAAGGGCGCTTCGGGAGCAAGCAACTGGCCCAGATATATGTTGATCGCGCGGTTCAGGCTATGCGACCACGAACAGGAACCAATAAGCCTGTTGAAGTGTTTATCCACTATATCCGATATCTTATGATGCCAGAAGGCCTCGGGATCGGAATGGCTGAACAGGAATGGCTGATCACTTTTCTCCGAGGAGCCGAAGACCTCATGCGGCAACATAGCTCCCCCGAATACCTCCTCCAAGCACCATATAGACTCAAGGCTTTCCAGATGGAAAATCCTCTGTTTTCCCTACTTTCTAGTGGACCGCGACCCTCCCAAGTACCACATGAGTCGCGTGTATATGTGGTTCGTGACGCGCATACCCAAGAAGTCAGCCGAACGGCGGCGCTCATTTATATTACGGCTGCCCTGTGGGATTTCCAGGGGTCTCCAGAGAAGACCGACCGGTTCCTTCGCTTTTTATGTACTGCGACGAAACAGCACCATCTCGACCGTGACCCAGCTTGCGAAACCCTCTTATGGTTGCTGCTGGAGGAAGGACATGATTACGATTTACAAGACCCCGAACGTGGATGGTCCACTGGGGAGATGCTCAAGGCACACAAGCAACTACGGCCGGACCTACAATTCCAGTTTAATGAGATTCTCATGAGTTTCTTATCTTTTCAGACACCTATCCGCGGGGTTACTGATTTTGAAAAGGAGCTTCGACATTCTCAAACAAAATCTTTGATTTAATTCACAGCTGTTCCATATACGGTATCAAAGGCAGTGGGAATGTCTTGGCAGTCCTGGACCCGAGTACCAGGATAAGTCTAAGCGTCATTGAGTTCCAGTGGAGACTAAGGGGCAGGGCTATTTGGTGCCAGATTTTCAGATCATTTGATATTCTTCGCATCTATACGGAGTACTCCGTACATCAGAAAAAAAAAATAATTAATTAATTAAAGAATAAAATATTCAAATGTTGCCACATCAGAGATCGGGTCGCCATGAGTACCGAGCGCATGCGTAAACGCCGAGGTATCTCCACCGGAGCTAACCAGATACCACCCGTCGACGTACCGCGTCACCCACAGTTATCCACTACTTGTGAGATCAGATTGTGGTACAATTTGCCGTGACTCTTTAACGTTTAAGGTATATTGTACGGAGTACGGAGTAGGGTTTCATCACTTATCATCCATGATAGAGCCCGAAATCTTAAATGGAAGCTAACATTCATTGAGAGATATACATATGTACTATCATGGGGTACTTCGTACTCTATAAAGCTCTGTTGTCGTCTGAGGCGCAGCTGAGATTCAAGTTGTAGGTAAAGTTAGCGAGCCCTAAAATTGACAACACCCGATCCTCACTTCGACTCGCCAAGGGGTGCACATCTGGACCCACCGAACACACGGATGGTCAATAGTACACCCCACTAACCTTAGCGCCCTCTGTGGCCACAAATCCCGATCTTTATGTAGAAGGTATTGGTTCTAACTCAGATATGAGATTATCATTTGACGATCTCATGACTTGGAAATAGCGGGAATTGGCATGCAATGACACGACAGACAACAGTTGAAGCAAACAAAGCAGAAAGTGAAAAAAAGCAATATAGAAAAGAAAAACAACATAAAGGACACCTCGTGTCCTTCCAGACTGGGACATTGATCTGTGGAGACACAATATACATGTACCCCTGGATTCCCTAAGGACCAAAGATTAAATTCTCAAAACATTTCTCCAATGCCCAAATATGTGTGACCGAGGATTTTGTACGGAGTATTCGCAAGACGTTTCTTGTCTCACAGCATCCCTTGCGCAGTTACAACATAATTAATGAACATCCCTGTTAACTGAACGTCATGATCGTCATAGTTGTACGGCAAAGATGTGGCTGGGGTGTGGCGGACATACGCGAATGGATTGGAAAAGATTAATCGAATCCATAAAAAAGACATCCAATTGAACCACGGAACAATGGGGCCCTGAGGAGGAGATCTTTGGTTGCATCTCGACCATTGTGGGAAAAAGTCTGGATTACCCACTTTGCCACCCATGGTTTGCCCAGCGCTAAATGTACTATTAAGTTTCAACTGCAGAAAAAAATAAGAAAAAAAATAAATTAAAATACTTGAATGGGAAGTTTATCCAAATAACACGAAAACATAATCTAAAGATGCTCCAATTACGTAGCAGATCGCAGATCCTAGCCCCTCTCCTCCCTGTTGTCCATGGGTCCCTAAAACTTTAAGCTTGTCTCTCTTTTTTTTCCCTATCTTTTCTCTCTCTCTCACACACACCTGGGGAGACTTAACCCCCTCCTTCCCCTCGACCCTTCTCATGAATTTGAATCGCGTTTTGGAAATTTGAATTAACCATCGCGAATACCATAGACATGGCTAACGATGCCGTTCACTGGCTGGGCGCCAGGGACGATGCGGTAAGTCCTGTTGCACATCTGGTAAGCTAATTATTTACTAATCATACTATGTAGAGTGAGATCAAGGACACCACGCCGTCCCTGTCAGGCTTGATCACCGTCCTAGTCCCCGCGCTTATCTCCTTCGTTGTGATGGTGTTACTGTTCATCATCCTGCGCAAGAGCAATCGTAGGATGTACATGCCCCGAACCTACATTGGATACCTCCGTCCCTGGCAACGCACTCCCGACTCTCCGACCGGAGCATGGAACTGGATCAAGGCCATGTACCAGCTCCCTGATACCTACGTGCTGCAGCACCACTCGATGGACGCCTACCTCATGCTTCGTTTCCTCAAACTGTGCTCCGTCATCCTGTTTGTGGGGTGCTGTATCACTTTCCCCATCTTGTGGCCCGTCAATGCCACAGGTGGTAATAACAAGATTCAGCTGAACCTTCTGAGCATTTCGAACATCCACGAAACTCAATATGCTCGTTACTACGCCCATTGCTTCTGCGCCTGGATCTTTGTCGCCTTCGTCTTCTTCATGGTGACCCGCGAACACCTGTTCTATATTAATTTGCGCCAGGCGTACCTTTTCTCCCCCGCCTATGCTAGCCGCATCTCGTCTCGCACTGTTTTGTTTACAGCCGTCACCAAGGACCTCCTAAACAAGGACAAGCTTCGCACTATGTTCGGCCGCGACAAGGTCAAAAATGTCTGGATCGCAACTGATACCAAGGAGCTCGAGGAGAAGGTCAAGGAGCGTGATGCCGCTGCGATGAAGCTCGAGGGTGCGGAGACCAAGCTCATTGTGCTTGCTAACAAGGCGCGCAACAAGGCCATGAAGAAGCAGGGCTCGACTGAGAACCCCGAGACCGATGTGGTTGATGGCCAATTTGATGATGAGTCTGGTTCAGTCGCTGCCCGTTGGGTGGAGGCTAAGAACCGTCCCACCCACCGCCTCAAGATGCTTATTGGCAAGAAGGTCGACACTATCAACTGGGCTCGCTCGGAAATCGAGCGTCTTTCTCCCGAAATCGAGGAATTACAGGCCAAGCACCGTGCTGGAGAAACCGATCTGGTCTCCTCCGTCTTTGTTGAGTTCTACCACCAGGCTGATGCCCAGGCTTCCTTCCAATCCGTGGCCCACAACCTTCCCCTGCACATGAGCCCTCGCTATATTGGCTTAGACCCTACTCAGGTTATCTGGTCTAACCTCCGCATCAAGTGGTGGGAACGCCTCGGTCGCCACGCTGCCACTGTCGGCTTTGTTTGTGCTATGATCATCTTTTGGGCCATCCCTACTGCCGTTGTTGGTGCTATCTCCAACATTGACTCTTTGACTAAGATTGTTCCTTTCCTGAAGTTCATCGACAGTGTTCCGTCATGGATTAAGGGTGTGATTACCGGTCTCCTGCCCACTGTTATGATGGCTGTCCTCATGGCCCTGGTACCTATCATCCTTCGGCTGATGGCCAAGTTGGGAGGTGATCCTACTCTCGCCGCCGTTGAGCTGACCGTCCAGAACTGGTTCTTCGCTTTCCAAGTTGTTCAGGTCTTCCTGGTGGTCACCGTTGCCTCCTCAGCCGCCAGTGTCGTCGACAGTATCATCAAGAACCCCACTTCTGCCGCCTCGCTGCTGGCCCAGAAGATCCCTACCGCATCCAACTTCTACATCTCCTACATTATTCTACAGGGATTGTCTTTCAGCGCCGGTGCTCTTCTCCAGATTGTCGGCCTGATCCTCAGCAAGGTCCTGGGCAGGTTGCTGGATAGCACTCCTCGCAAGATGTACGCTCGTTGGTCAAGCTTGGCTGGTCTCGGATGGGGCACTGTCTACCCTGCCTTCACATTGTTGACCGTTGTTGGTATGTTAAACAACCCATGACCGGTTTATTTGATTATGATACTAACTTTATTATATAGCCATTGTCTACTCTTGCATCGCTCCGCTTGTCATGGGTTTCGGTACCATTGGTCTCTACCTGTTCTATTTCGCCTACCGCTACAACCTGTTGTATGTGTCGAACGCAACCATCGACACCCAGGGTAGGTGCTACACCCGTGGTCTGCAGCATCTGACTGTCGGCTGCTACCTGTCCATGGTTTGTCTGATTGGTCTGTTCGCCATTGGCACCGGTGCCAACAGGATGGCTCTTGGTCCTCTGATCTTGATGATCATCTTCTTGGTCTTTGTGATCCTGTTCCACCTCTCGATGAACACCGCTATGGAGCCCCTCCTCAACTACTTGCCCAAGAACCTCGAGTCAGAGGAGGAGGGTCTGCTCGCCGCTGAGAAGGTCAACAACCTCAGCGCCTTGAATGAGAAGTCCAAGTCCGAAGACCCGACCGTCGGTGCCTCCATCTCGGCCCCCCGCGACAGCGGGCTCGGCAATGTTGACAACGGTCTCGGCAGCGTCGACTCTGCCGAGAAAGGTCTCACTGAGACCCCGTCGCCAGCGCCCAAGCCGAACGTGTTCACCAAGTTCCTGCGCCCCGACCTGTACCACAGCTACCACGAGATGCGCAAGCTGGTCCCCGGTGCCGCTGACATTGTCTCTTATCCCGCCGAGGCCGAGCGTGATGCCTACTGCCACCCGTCCGTCACCTCGCAACCCCCTCTCCTCTGGATTCCCCGTGATCGTCTCGGAGTCAGCTCCCAGGAAGTCGCCCACACTATGCGCGTCATCCCCATCACGGACGAGGACGCCTATCTCGACGAGAACTGCAAGGTCAAGTGGAACGAGGAGAAGGGCGAGCCTCCCATCTACGAGGAGAAGATTGCCTACTAAGCGTCTTACATGCTCTCCCTCTATCTAGTCCTTTTCCGAGGATCTTGTCAAACGACATGTCTCGCCGGCCGATGAATGTACCCTGTTTATATGAATGTATCCAGACATGCCATCGTCGACCCGGTTTCTTCTGGTCTACTGTGATACCCAGCCGGTTAGTCCACGTGACTAGCCGGCCCTAACCCGGGCTTTTTTTCTTTTTTGTCCATCTAAGATTGGTCTGGAGCTTACACGCCCCGGCCTTTCGCTTTTCTTTCTATAATCTTTAAAGTAATCAATCGATGGTGCTTGTTCACGCTTCATGTCGATGATGTTATGTTGCGAGGATTTTGCCCATGAAATTGGAAATCTTGACCATGCTTGACGATTCTTGATTTTGAATATTTACTGCATGATGTATTATATTCGCCCGCCCACTTTGGTTAGGGTTGCCAATTATATGGATGAGTTTTCTTTCTTTCATGCTTCTATCTAGTAACTAGATGTTTATCCACAGATAGCGGCCACTGCTCCCATTGGCATTCATCTCTGCCTTGGAAATATTTCTATGTTTCAATTGTTACATCGTCTTGATAAAAAGTTCCCAAAGATTAATTCTCTATACTCAGCGATATAGGACTTGGATAGTCTGAATATAACGTTGGTTTAAGATGATATAAGACACATTCTAATTAGGGTTCCACTGTGGTGTCTTTCTAACGTTCCTCGATTGTCCTTTGAGATGTCTTTTGGGGTTTCTTTTAAGGTGTCTTTTTAGATGTCTTTTTAAATGTCATTTTAGATGTGTTGTGAGTGTAGGAGTTTGACAGGGCCACTTTAATCATCTTAGAGGGATCTTATAGGTTTGGTGTACTCTCATACTATCAGTAAGAATTACATTCTGTCTAAGTGTAATTATACTCTTACATAGCCATTAAGCGTCACCATGGAGCCATTTTCAACCAAATTACCTTTACGTAACGTCGTGGTGTAAGCTGATTAGGTCTATGATATTGGCATCCTTGTTGACCGGCAAAAAATCGGCGTCGTTCCTATGTAAATACAACGAGTGTCTTAGAAAGTTCCTCTGCACTAGAGATAAACGCCCATTCGAGCAACTAAGAGCTGCTCTGAAGTCTATCCTACGACGCACAATGCCATGGTCCATGCTATCTTTCCTTTTTTTGACGAGTTTTGGGGTTTCATTCTTTTTTTGGTGTTTTGTATTCCCTGAGACTGGTCGTCTTTTCTTTCGCTTGATTCTTGGTGTGTGTATCTCCCCATGCTTTTTCTGTGGAGCACCAGTAAGCTAACTCCGTTTCTTGGGAGGTGCAGGTCGAGTGCCTTTTCTTCTTCTGGGAACGACTTCGGGCGTGACTTCGGTGGTGGAATTGGACGCAGTTTTGGACGCTAAATGGACCCTAAATCCCTCCTTTGGGTCATCGGTAACTTCACCGAACATTTCCAGTAGTTCTTTGAGCGTGCTTCGATCCATGAGCACACGCTGACTCAGGACCTCGCTAATCTCTTTGGCTTTCCGTTTCTGGGTCCGATCCATCCAGTCATCAATGGAACCTTCGACCGTGAGCATAATGCATTCGACATCTCGCTGCTGGCCAAGTCGCCAAAGACGGAAAAATGCCTATATTTGCACGATTAGAACACTAGGGCCACAATGCTTCACGTGCCTCCACTTACCTGATCTTGGACAGCCTCATTCCACCATAGATCAACCAGGATACACTTGTTTGCCACAGAGAAATCAAGACCTAGACCACCGGTTTTAATCGAAGCAATCATAATCTTGGTCTCATCATCCTTGCGGAATTTGTCCAGATTGATTTCTCGTGACCTATTGGCCATTCGGCCCGTGATCTGGTGAAGCACTGTTAGATATGCGCTCTTTTTATGATTTCCAAAACACTTACTTCGGAGTATTTCCAGTCATGCACTTTACATAAGCACCGTAAAAGCCTGGTACTGTTGATATACTGTGTGAAAATCACGATTTTGGCCGTGCTGTCTTTTTCGGACCACTCTTTGACTTGAGCTGCAATTGCATCAAATTTGGCGCCCGGCATGGATTCCCCAAATGCCGCTATCCAATCTTGTCTCTGTTCGACTTCCTCAGAGGGAAGACCAGTGTCATTACCGGATTCATTTTCCATTTGGTCTTCGCTCTCATGTTCGCCATCGCCGGCGATCAGGTTATCTTCGGCCAGTAACCATTCCGAGAAAGTTTGACGAGCGTGTGTACCCTTCCGGCGTTTCTTAGTTCGCGCTTCGTTTGACGTTCCTGCCTCTGACCTGGCTGGTCGCTTTTGCTGGCCCGCCGGCCCAAGAGAGGAAGACTCAGTATCTTCCAGTTGAGGTGTGTGAAAGTCATCGTAAATTCCGTAGAATGCAGCGTTTCTAATCGAAGTGCCGCAGCTGCGGCACTCTCTATCGACACCATCTGTATTCCCTTCTTCGTCGGGGAGTGAGTCAAAACATTCCTCGCAATAAAGGTGGTTGCAGTCTGTGATAATAGCCCTTGTTGGGATGCCGTCACAGCCAGGACAGAACCAGGTCCGATGATCAAGCTCGTAGAAAGATTTTTTCTCAAAAAGATTCTTGTTCTTTTCTTTGAACGCTTCAACAAGCTTTGCAAGATTGCCGTCCGGCAGCGGTCGAAGTCTTTCGTTTTCTGTCCGAGAGCTCAGAGGAACCATAGGCATACTGGTTTGATACATGCCTGCAAGACAACATCTGGCAATCTTGCCTGACGGGGATGGTATTCCTGGACTTATTTCGTCTTTCACCCAGCCCTTTAGTTGTGTATCCAGTGGGCTGTTGAAATTGCACACTCGCTTGAGGTAATCTTCCGCGGTAAGTGGATGACTGGCAAACATCTGCAACTTGAGGATCATTGTCAAAATGCATTTGCTCTGCTTGCTCATTTGAGTAGCTATAACCTTTTTAGTAGCGAATTCGATTGATCATTACTTCGGAAGGCTGTCAAGCTCACCATTGACTTTCCTGATAAAACTCTCCGCGATTGCAGCGTATATCTGTTTTTCGACGGGGTAGAACTCAACCTTGACCTCCTTCAGGTCGAGTCGTTTGAGCTCGATTAGGGGTCGTCCCATATGGCGGCTTTCATGGGTTTTACGGTGAATAATGGCGCGAAGCATGTTGATCAAGCGGTCTTTAGTTTTAGCACTCCCCTAGATTGGCAAAGGATTGTTAAATGTGCACATTTGCTGAGCAAAACCAAGACTTACGTCCCAGAAGTTGTGCATGAAAACTTGGTAGGGGTGGCTGTTCGGCACCTCAACGAACGAAAATAGCGCGTAAAGTTCATCAACAGCGCTATATTCAAAAGTCAGCTTTAATTCCTCTGTATAGTTCATAGACAAGGCTTGTAGTCACTTGTGCAAAGGTGTCCCAGTCAAGACCCATTTGTAATTCCCACTTAAAGCACGAACTGCAATCGACGTTCTGGTCATTCTGTTCCTGATAAGGTGTCCTTCTGTGGCGGTAATGTTACTTAGCTTTGTAGTCTCATTATCTCCAATATCATGATTTACTTGCCATCGAGAATAATTCTGTGCCAGTTGATTCGATGAAAGACACCTGCCTTTTCATCATATACCTTCTCCCACCACTCTGCGACGTCTTCATCAGTCCAGAGTTCAGGGGGCACCTTCAGCTCAGGGTAGGAGGAACATATCTCCTGGTAAGTTGTTAACCTAGTAATCATTAGTAAAGATATAGAGTACCACGTGTAAGGAATGCTTACACAATGCCTTGATCTTTGAGATAGCGTTCGAGGTCATTGGTTTCCGCGCGTGAACCAGAGCAATGCACAATGGCCCTCCCGACGGCCTCTTGCTCACAATGTTGCTGAATTTGCGACATCCTGTGGAATTTGGCTTTTAGAGATTATTTAAAAAGTCTGAAAGAAGGGCCATACCAGGTCGATATCAAAATTCTCGGCGCAACAATCAGAGTTGGACCTTCTGGCTCAGTTGGCACCCTTCTGTTCACAATACATGCTAGAAATATTTAATACTCTGGTGACACGGTCTCTCAGTTGTATAATTCTTACCTAGTGCCGATAGGGTTTTGCCAAAGCCCATAACATCACAGAGTAAGCCGCCATTGGGCTTGCTCAACGAGGTTTCCCTCTTGCACTATGTTGATCAGTAAATGTGAGGTTCGAAAGATGGAATCATAACTCACCATCCAGGAGGCAGCCAATATCTGTTCTGAATGTCAGTACATTTGGTAAATGTAAATGTGGAGGGGGAGACAGACCTGATTCACCATGAGGCTTGTTCGCAGCCCTCTGACCTTCCATTTGCCTTGTCCGTCTGACCTTGCCGATGGGTTAAACGTCTGGGTCGCTTCATTCAGAATGGAGATATCTTCACGTGCTCCAGCCCTTTCTGCAACTGGGATATTGGCAATCATCTCTCTAAAAGCCTTTTGCTTGTTCTTCTCAGTAGAGACAAAGCCAGGAGGTAACGGATCACGTCCCTTTTCGCGACTACCATCGTTCTTGAAGATACTTCGGATCTCTTCCTTTGACAGCAATGTAGGTGGACGTTGACGTTGTTTCTGCTTCCTTTTTCCAGATGCTTGCTCCGTACCAGGCTGGATTTCATTGATCTTAGCGCGATTTTGAGCCCGTTCCTTCGAAAGCAACTGAGCAAGGCCAATCTCTTTGGCCTTTTTAATTCGTGCTTTTGACAATCGGGTACCAGGTGGTTTGGTTGAAGCAGCGATTTTCAAGTCTGCCAGTGTTTCCTCTGAGGGCCGAGGCTCGTTAAGTTGGGACTCCCCGGGTTGAGGTTGTTCTTCCAAACCAGAAGGCATATTTTCGCTCTCTGCTCCCTCTTCAAATTCTGCTTGGACAGTCAGATCAACAAGCTTATCAAGCTTGATCTTTCTCCTTCGTTCAAGCTCTTCCCCTCTCCGCTTTTCGAATTCAATCTGCTGTTCCATGGTGGGGGATTGCAGGCTTCGAAATTGCTTTTCGTATTCATTGAATCTAGGTCTGTTAGATCACTCTATTCATGAGTCTTTCTTAACACACTTACCCAGAAGCATCATCATCACCTGGCTCGAGGAGGTCGCTGGTATTGAAGGTGGTCGAGGGTGCGGAATCATCATCTTGTACGAACAAACTATCGACTGGTTGTTCGACTGTCTCAGCCGCCTTTTTCAGGGCCTTTTGATGCTGGTAAACAGCTATCAATAATTCAATTCGTGGCATTGGACGTCTTTGGGCTGACAAGCTGTCTTCTTCGGTGAGGTCAATAATCAGGCGGCCTTGGACTTGCTGATCGTTTTTGAAGTCTTCCGGTTCGATTTTGATATCTGGTTCATGTTTGATGTCGGGATCTTGTTTTATCGTCAATGACCTAAACCTGTCCCAGGTTTTGACCTCCTGGCCATTTTCATCCGGAAACTCTTTCTTGATCCGTGGATGGTTCGATCCAGTAGAAGTCGATTGTTCATTACCCGAGCTCTGTGATGCTGGGAAAAATGTGGGTCGTGGTATGTACTGAGTCCCCTCAGCCGGCCCGAAAGTGAGGTGACCATCGCTCAGGTTGAACTGGGATCGAGCAGTTTCAGGAACCCTTTTCTGCTGGGATTCTCTTCCCTTTTCAGAGGATTGCATTTTGGTGGTGTCAGGAATAAGGAGGAAATAGGCTAAGGCCAATGAAGAACAAAAACGGTTGGGTTGCGCTGTAGAGAGTAGTGCAGTGACGCGGGACTGAAGGAGGAGATATGGTGGATGTAGGGCTTGGAGGGAACAAGCGCTGTTTATAGCCGTCACCTTAGGTGATGAGGTATTGAAGACTAGATCGTAGAGGATAGTGTAACGATGGAGGATACGAAAGAGAAGTGATGAAGGATATATAGTGTGATATAGGAGAGAAGATATATGTATGGTGTAAAGAATGGGAGGGAACAACAACGATTATATGGCGAGGCTAATAGAAAGAAAAATATAAGTTGAGGTTGTAGAGAATAAGTTGAAAGATGTATATATAGTATGATAGAAGATAGAGCTCCGAATTTGAGAGAACTTAAGGAGGTAGAAGAAGCAATTAAAGGAAGACTGATTTAGCATTAGCAACAACAAAATGAGGTGTTCGACCAATATACGGGGGATGCGAAGGAGAGACGATTTACAGTCAACGAGGATATCATGAAAGACACCGAGAAAGAACTCAAGGAGTCGAAAACATCGAAAAAGATATCCAGTAAGAGATTGAAGAAGTTGGAAGATATACCGAAACACATATCGAATAAGATATTAAATATATCAATGCTGTTATACTTGTTACGGTTGCCAGATCTCTCAAAGCAAAAGCAAATGAAAGAGTGCATTCAACTCAAATATCAAAGACAGAGAAGAAAGAGAGAGAAAGCAAGAAAGCAAGAAGCAAAACTGGAAGTGGAAGCGAAAGCATCCACGGATAAGCATTATATCATCAATCGTCAAAAAAAGACCTATATAATAGATTTAGATAGATTTAAATAGGTTTAAATAGGTTTTGATAGGTTATTATTAGGTTATTAGATTTAACCCATTAGGTTTTAGGTCGGAGGCTCTGACCCAAAATGGGTTCTGCCGAAGTCTATATACCTAGGTATATGTTAAGGATCTGTGCCCCCATTGTACGGACCTTTATCCGTTACAGGTAGCTCGATTTCAGCTTGCCCTAGTCTTGCCGAACACTTCGAGACTGTCGGTTATACCATACCTCCGCCCAATCAGCCACTTTCTGGCGGAACAGCATCCGGTAGTCCCGTTCCTTTTTCTTATTGAGTTCGGCCATTTCGGCCTTGGTATTAGAGATTGTAATGGATAAACCATAAAAACTGGCAAAGCCAGATCTCGGAATATACTGGAAGTGCGGAAACCATCTGGGTTGACATGGTCATGGTGGTCTTTTTGGAAGAATGTTGGTTCTAATGTCCTTCCGCTTTGATTATATAGTTAATTGGTTTATGCCATGTTTAAACCTTTATAGGGATTTCATCGCTAGACGCCGATTTCAAGGCCGCCTTTAACGTAGACTCCTCCTGAGAGAAGTCCCGCTCGACGATGATCTCAATATCATCTATAAAATCTGCGGAATCTTCCCATATATTCTAGAGACCCCGGAAGGTCTTAACATGGGATGAGCCAGGCATCTTGTCGTTAGACTCTATCACAAACAAGTAAGCAGATGGGCGATCTCCCATTTCGGGTAGGGCTAAAGTAGGTAATCAAATAGCTAGGTCTAAATTATTCAATCTAATCGTGAGCTATGCTGCTAGCTGTCCTAAACCTAGTTAAACAACCTGCTAAAATGCCCGCTAAGCTACCTGCTGAATTACCTGCTAAATAAACTAATGGAATTCGATTAATGATAATTCTATTTTCTGTCTCGCTGAGATATAGACTCTTGAAGTGGGACCAGAAGGTCCCGTCCACCCGATTAGGTACCTAGGTACCTAATACTAATCATATAATATAACTCAAAATAGCCGGGTGATATCGTGCTGGCGCGAGCGAAGCGGACCCATTCGACAGAAAGGGATTTACCTAAGAACGGGTGAATCATGCGAGGGAGTTGACTGAGTCTGATTGATAACTCACAAAGATGAATGACGGCGATCTTAGCGGCGTTGTAGGCGGCCTGTATCGGGGGAAAGTTGACAATGTGACTGCTTATAGAGGAAGTAGCAACGAAACTTCCATATGTGAAGTTGGTAAGCTTGTTACCGTTGGCCTCAGTGCCTTCCTCTTTCTGGTAGCGCTAGTGCTCAGCAGCAGCCTTGGCACAATAGAAAGTACTGTCGAAATCAATGGCGACGACGTCGCGGTAGTGGCCGAGGCAACCATCAATCATGGGGCCCTGGGTCCAGGGAACACCAGCATTTGCAATAAAGACGTCGAGACGGCCATTGAAGTCCTTACTACGGTATTGATACAGTTTTTATGCCGTTTTGATAGAAACAACGGTAGTACATGCGTTGTTTCGGGTTCAATGGTATTACTACCGCATTCGAATTTTAAGGATCCCTGTATTGTAATGGCCTAACTTGCCGCGAGAATTACACGACGAGGGCCTCATATCCTTCTCTGCTTCATTTGTCTGTTGGCACCTCTTCCACCACTCACTCCGAGTCCTCAAGAGCTGTGAGTGGACGGGACGCTAGTTGTTTGGTAACAGCTTTCCGTTGGAAGTCATTGTATGCGCCCGATCCTTCATCGATGTATTTTTTGATGGACAAAGACTTGTCGCGTAGACATCATTCCTGTCATTTCCCGGGCTTCCTTCTCCTTGATTTCCGGGGGAGTCGGTTCGGAGCGTTCAGCTTCATAGCCCTCTCTGGTCTCTTCTCGGCGTGCGCTCTCTTCCTCTAGCGCTTGTATCTCGGCCCGGTCTAAGTAATGAGATTGGGCTCCATGAGCCAAACGTAGACGGAAATGTAGGTCGTAAAAGTCCAGCCGGAACGCTCGGACCCGCGCCTGGGCAAGCCCTTTTTCTGCAGATTGTAGTAGAAGATGCGATCGCCGAATACGCTTTGGCGTCACTTTCAAGAGCCTTCTTGCCTTAAGGGTGGAGTATAGTGTATTTCGATGTTGAGCTAAAATTTCATCTCGGACTGTGCTCAGCACACCGAAGTACCGCGAGAAATTCCACATGAGTTCCTGCAACCGGTGGTTGTCGCTCTCCTTTAGACCATGTCGTAGTGACTGAATGGGATGGAACGAAAATATCCCAGAGCGCTGGCCAATTTCTGCGCCACATTTGACTTAGCAAGCCCTGGATCTTGTCCGGGGAAACCCTGGTCCCGGAAAAGAGGAAGCAGGTGGATGCTTCAGAAGATTAGGAGGCTACCTGGCAGGCGAAGAAGCAGAAGAGAGGCAACTAGGGGACAGAGAATAACAGGGAGGACATACAGAACGATGGGTTTGAGCAGTGGCTAGTTTCAGCGGCGAGGGACATTTGCTTTCACGGTGGTTGCGCTGTTTAGGTGATTGGTAGTATACACTCATTTGACGTAGGAGAAGTGACGCTAGCTTTTACTGAATTATCTGCATAGAACTTCTGGTAGATGGAGATCACTTAGAAAACGCTGTAGTCTCGGAATGGGAGGGATAAGAGGAAGGGAAATATACAAATTTTCAGACTTGGTGAGTGTGAATCTTAATGCTAAGGCCTGTTTCTATGGTTAAAGCTATGTCTATGCTTCGTTTTACAATGTTTACACATGGATCGTTTGTTTGTAAATCATGATTCATCGGCTATCAATAAGTTCATCATACACGCCGTGAATCGTAAGACAAATGAAAAAGAGCACAAATCTGAAAGCAGATTGTGTCAAATAGAATGAAGATCACCGCTGGATAGAATCAACATCGTGCGATGCACCACCATGTCAGATCGCGAACGACCTCAGCGCAGAAGCCATATGTCCCCAGATTACTGGTACAGGTCCTCCTCATCCTCCTGCTGAAGCTCCTCGTCTTCCTCGAGAGGGACCTGGGGAGTCTCAGGACGGACAGGGTTGTCCTCGGGGGTAGTATCACGACCCTCGTGTCGCTGGAAGCGAAGGACACGGCGAATATCAGTGTTGAAGTTGGTAGGAGCCTGAACGTTAGCATCGTCACGCAAGGCCTGGCGACGGTTAGATCGGAATCTGCTAATCTGTCCTCGTTGGTAACTTGCTTCAATGTCCTGGATCTCCCGAATCTGGGTATCGGTCAGATTTCCATCACGCAAGGCATTCTCCTCTTCCTGAGTGGTTTGTGCGACGTCAACCCAGATAGTCCGCAGGACCTCTCGACCGCGGCGCATGTGGCGCTGGGGGCGTGGGGTGTCACGAGGCTGGACGAAATCAGACATTTCGCGGTTGAGTGGGAGACCAAAGGCATCGCGAGGACCGGTGGAAGCCTCATCCCAAGCGAGGTTGGGTCGAGTCTGTCCTTCATCATCCGAGCTAGAAATGTCAGACTGAGTGACGAAAATGTTTTCTTTATCCTCTTCGTCGGAGTCGAAGCCTTGGTGGACCGGACTGGGGTGAGGTGAGGGCTGATCGGGTGGGTCTTCGTAGATGGTGAAGTCCCAGTTGGATGGACGGTGCGACTCCCAAACGCGGGTGTTGGGGATGTCACTGGGAGTGATATCAGGCAGCTCATTAAAATCCATGGTACCGGTTTCGCGAGCCACGGCGCGAGCGCGACGATCCCGAGCAAATTGGATGAAATCCTCAGGGTTTTCGGGCTCTGGTGAAACTATATTTGGATGAGTTGTTAGTCCAATAATTTGAGAAGAAACAAATGGTATAAAAGGAAGAGACATACCGTGAGTTAGGATAGTCTCATCAATTGCGTTAGGGGTGCGGTCAGCTGAGTTGCAATGAGCAGGGTCTTTGTACCAAGGTAGAGGCGAAGGTCTCTCAATAGATTGACGCTTCTCCGGTGTTGTTGACACAGAGCTACGCCTGCGCTTTGTCCCGGTAGGATGGGTTACGATAGGATCGTCATCAAAATCGCTTTCAATGGAGGGTAGGACGAAGGGGAGTGCAGGATTGGTCCTGACGTGAGCGAGCTAGGTGAAGAGAGCGTCGAGTGTTAGCTTGGTGCGAGATAAATAAATCACGCGCGCGCGCAAACGGGGGAAACCACGAGACATGTACTTACCCCGTCGTCGTCCACTTCAATATTGACCTCCACATCTGCAGGCTCCGAGTCGGAAGTCTATTCAGCCATTCAATTAGCATTCAATGCCCTTCAACATTGCAAGTTTTTCTATTGCAGATCTCTCTAGATAAGAAGTCTGCCTAACTTATAAATATTAGCAAATCATACCTTGGAGAAACACATCTTGTAGTATCTTTGATTCAAAGGATTGAGTATTGGATGTGACCGGTTGGCTCAAGCACCTGGCTGTGTCTCGAGGATGTTAGCATGGGACCAAACAGGAGTTAAAAGAGCGCCAACAGGGTAATGGGTGTGACTGTTTGAACTACAGTATGAGAATTGAAGTCGTACCTTTATCTGTCCTCGATACTCGATGGCCTAACCCTTGTAGAGGTATTGTCGGCGCTCTGTCAGATGACGACAAGGGAGGGATAGGATCGAGTCACAAATTGGATTACATCTCTAAAAAGCTCTAAATCTAATTTTCTCACGCTTAGTCGTCGATGACATCGTCGACGACCTCGTCGACGCATTTCCTGCGCTTAGTCGACGATGCCAACGTTCTGGGCGGTGTTTGCCCACCCCATGAACTTGGAATTTACAGCTCATTTCAGGCTACCGTAAACTCAGTATGGCAAGGAAGTTAAATAATAAACATTAGTTTATGTTCCTTTTATCATTATATGGCCTGGGAAGGTAGTCGTTGTATATTTAGTTTTTTTTTTATAGATCGATGGGGGCAAGGTTCGTCACGTGAGATCACGTTATCAAGCCCAATCGGTACAAATTCAGGCTCAGTAGGGCATTGGAATATTAGTGTTACACTTAGAAGGCTAGTAATGTAAAAAGAAATAAAGGCTTGGTTAGGGATGTTACTACATAGATGCTGTTGAATATGGGAAGAACTACACAGTTTATTTTGCACTCCCCGCTAAACTAACTACTTTGTCTTCCCCCCGCTGGTCGCAGTAATTAACCAGCCCGTGTAAAACCACCATTACCACTTATTTATATCTAATAAAATATGAAATTACTAAGGTTAAATAGCACTTAATTCTGAGTACTTCAGTTTTTTTCACATAAAAATGGAGGCATATTGGTAGAGTGATGGGCGATGAACAAACTGCATATCCCCGCAAAAGGCCAGTTTATCATCCTGTTTTCTCACCTGAAAGTCGAGATAAATTGGTTGAAGCTGATTGATTCGTACGCATTAGACCATAACGATTAAAATGCAGTTTTTAAATGCTCGAAAAAACATGATCTGTAGTATTGTACTTTAATTATGTTGATAGGGTGGAAGGGGGACGACCCTTCCTTATCCACATAGAGTATTATGCCAGTTGCCGAGACATACCGGGAAATGTACTATATCTTTGAAGAAATAATGCCTCAAATGCAGTTCGCAGTGCTTCTACCCAAATTCCACTGTATGGCTCTTCATAGTCTAAGCAGCCTAAGACAGCAAAGACATCCGATGCAAACAAGTAACAAGACTGTACGCTAATATAACTAGCTGACTGGAACTGTAACAGATAAATGAATTACTGCAGGAAAGGGAGTATTACCTAGCGGCCCTTAATACAGTTAATATGAAACATTTTACAAGAATCACAGTCCCGAAGTGGATAGATTTGAGGCAGGTCAGCTATGGAAACAAAGTATGGATCTACCGGCAACCAGCGCGAAGAACAGAGACCCATTAAAGTCATAGTTGAAGACCATCAATCCACCTTGTCGGCACATATCAACCCCAAGTTGTAGTCGTCATGACTATACTCATCAGATCCAGCACCAGAGGACACAACACGAACACACCACCCCTTGAGAGATTTCAACACCAGGAAAAAATATGAATAGGAGAGGGAAAGAAAAGGCCCGGTAATAGATGCAGCAATATCACACCAGAGAAGCCAAAGCCAACTCAGCAAAGGCTCAAACGCGGAGTAAGGGCAGTTATTGAACACGGGCATCATTTTGCCGAAAAATCATGGGCAAATACATTTCAGAAAAGAAAAAAAAGGAAAAAAGAAAATGGGTATTTTGTTCTCTCAAGAGGCAGTGCGAAAGTGTCATGCGATCTGGCGTGGAGGGAAAATGAAAAACGAAGATCATAAGCCCCTGTACATCGGCTTCACCAAACTAGCGTAAATAATCATAAATGGTCATTAGGCAGTGGTAAATGGTGCGTAAATAAGCGAGGCGATAGAAATCCTTTTCTGGTATTTTCCGTTTATCTGAACTGGCCGGGACCGTTGGATTGGCCGAACATCTCTAGAAGGTGTCTAGACGATGGGGGAGGACCCTGTGGGCCAGAGTTGCCAGGTCCGAAGGGGCCGGGACCAAGTCCCATCATGGCCTCAGGATTTGGCGGCATGGGAGGGAAGCCTGGGGGAGGGCCATTCATATAACCCGGAGGTGGCATCATGCCTGGAGGCAGGCCACGAGGGAAGCCTTGACGCTCATTCATTGGAGGCGGGTTGCCAGGCATAGGAAGCATGCCAGGCGGGAAGTTAGGGTTCATGCCGCGGCCCGGAGTGGATATACCAGGAGGCGGGCCCATAGGGCTTGGTGCATTTCCCTGTTGTGGGACAGGCTGTCCTGTCCATCCAGGGGGTGGCAGATGCTCAAGACCTGGGGGTCGCTGGAGCGGCATGGGCGGCTGGTTCGCGCCCTGGGGAGGCCGTGAGCCACCCGGAGTAATAGGACCGCCTGGAGTCATGGGGCCTTGATTGCCCTGAGGGAACGGCATGTCGTCAAAGAATCCCATAGGCGGGCCATTTGCAGGTCGCCGGCGGAGGTGCTCGCTATCTGGTCGTTGCATATTTGCAATTGCCGGGTCATCGAGGAAAGTCGGTGTCTTTTGGGTAGAAAGCCCTGGTGGAGGACGTGGCATGCCTTCTGGCATCAGACCTGGAGGAGGGGCAATACCCGGGTTGGGAGGCTGCTGCGATGGATGACCCGCAGACGGCGGTCCGACTCGGACTTGTTGCATCAAACGAAGCAAGTGGGCCCTCTCCAGTGCCTGGGGATCCTTGGGGCCAACTTGGGCCATGGGATTCTCGGGGCCAGAGCCCATGTAGTCGGATCGGTGAGGGTGTTCCCTAGTAGGAGATGCCAAAGATAGGGCGGAATGTTGCTGCTCAGCGTGCATCATGGACATTGTCCGTTGCTGCTGGGGCATACCCATCTCGTGAGGCGTAGCATTCTCCGAACGTTGTCCACCAAGCATCTGTAGAATGCGCTGGAAGCCTTCCTGGTCCGCATTGTGGGATGGGAAAGGCATACTCTCAGGTGCCGGCTGGGGCTGCTGATAATGCTGAGGGTTGGGCGGGCCATTGATATAAGGCATCGGCTCAGGCTCTCTGGCAGGACTCTCTGGCATCGGGCTAAAGAGACCTGCAAAACGAGATGATTTTCCAGGCTTTCCGGGAAAGGGGGAGGGTTCCTTTTTGGCAACTGGGTCGGTAGCGACAGGAGTACTGACTTCTGGGGTCTGAGGCTGAGCCTTCGAGTCACCCAGGAGCCCGAAGAATCGCTCCATTGATTCATCGGACATGAACTGAGCACCGGAATTGCTGAAGATCTCACCATCAGTACGGCGGGTCTCCGGCTTTTGCTCTTCAACGTGTGCTTCTCTCTTCTCCTCCGCATGTGCCGGGGGTTGTGCGGATGGCCCAGATCCAGCCTTCATGCGCTCTTTCCAACGCTCAAAGTCCTCCTGGGTGTGTGCTCGGCGGGGTTCGTCTCGGTCATTGGCATCCAGCCATTCAGGTTCTTGTTCAAATTTGGCGCCGCGGTTCCACTCACGCTCGGTGCCTTGTCGGGTCTGGTTTTGGCGCCATTCTCGATTGCGCAACGGTGGTTTATCGTCATCCGCATCAGCGCCCGCGCCCGCGCTCGCGCCCTCTTGGGCCTGTTCGTCACGGAACCAGCTTCCTTCATATTTGGATCGTGGGGGCTGTCCTTCTTTCCGAGTGGGGAATCGGCCATCTTTGTCACGGGGAACCCGTTCAGAATTGGGATCGCGGGGCCCTTCTTTGTTTTCCCATCTGTCGAACTCGCCATTTCGTCTGGGCTTGCGCTCCTGTTCATCCGGGCCGAATGTACGACGTGGGCGTCCGGAATTCCAGTCTTCTCTCTCACCACGCCGGGCACTCAGTGGAGCAGGCTTGATCTCCCGTCGTTCCAACTCTTTATCCGTAGCATCACGGTCCTTCAGAAATCTGTCTCTAAAGTTGAATCGGTCATTCTTTGTTTCATCCGAATTATTTGGCTGCGCTGCTGGTCGGTCTGTCAGATCGAACGAGCCTTTGCCGCCAATGCGAGAGGAAGCGAAGGCGGTTTTCGGGGGGCCGAGTACAATGTCCTCTAAAAAAAGGAATCCAAATTAGTCAGTGCCTCTACTGCAGATCGATCAGGATACTTGATGATCGACGGAAAGGGAGATAATAATACCAGAATTAGATCCCCGAGAGATATGTTTGGCTTCAAAGAAGCTAGGTCTTCTACCCGTACCAGTCTCAGTCGGATTGTTAGCATCACGGGTGCCATGGGTTTTTCGTTGTGCGGTTGTTGGGTCAGGTTGAGGCCTAGAGATTGCGGTCAGTCTTGACCTTGACAGTGCGGGACAGCCGAAGAATTGCAAGCATCGGAACCAACATACATCCATTCTTCAATTGGGGGTAGGCCAGGAGGCTTTGCGACGAGGGGCGAGCCGCGGAGCCATATCAGCTCATCGATCTCGTACCGTCGCGCCATAGCGGCTCGGTCTGTGAAGTTGTGTGTGTGTGGTCTTCTTCAAGGTGATGATGGGTTCATTGGTTGAAGGAGTAATAAAACCAGATGATGGAATCAGATAAGGTATATGAAAGGAAGGTTTCAAGCAAAATATGGTGAATAGGAAGCAGGCAGCGGTGGGCGATTATTGGAAAGAGGTTGAATGAGGAGAAGCACACAAGCCACCTTGTGGCGATGGCGGTGACCAGAGTCTCGGGAGCTAACTTTCCACTCGCCAGTTGCTCAATAGTACTGTTAATGCCGGGCAACAATTATAATCGATGATAACACTCTCATATAAATTGGTCAATTGTCTAAATATCTAAGGTCAGCGACAAATGCGATATATTACAGTGCGAATCCTATATAATTAGATCGCGTTTTACCTTTATATTTGAAAGCTTTGGAATCATAGTCTAGATCTATATTCTAAATATGTAAAATCAGCGAGAATTGCGATGTATCATAGTGCAAATTCTTTGTAACTAGATCGCGTTCTATCTTTATATCTGAAAACTTTGGAATCACGGTATAGACCTATATTCTAAAGATCTAAGCTCAGTGACAATCGCGACTTTATTACAGAGCAAATCCTATGTAACTAGATCGCGTTCTATCTTTATATCTGAAAAATTTGGCAATATATATTCGTTGTTGTTTCAGACTTAATAATGTTACAAAATATTGGAAATTATGGTGTAGACCTATCCATAAAAAGCGTATCCAACTATTAATGTAGATTAGCACTTCCTCACCGCCGCAGATTTTTCCAGCAGAAACATTCCGCACCCTCCGCATCACCAAATTAAATCTGTTCGTTACCTCACTAACCTTACAAGGTTCTGACTGGACTACTGTCCTATTTCCCCCAAGGTCTTATTTTCCTAGTTCTTTCACTGCCCAGCCACCAAAATGGCATAGAGTGTTCCCCTCTCGAGGGTACCCCAAATCCGCACAAGCGACACCGCCTCCAGGTGTCTCAGGGGAACTAAGGAGAGATGGACATCGAGCACTACATTGAACAGACCTATTTCGAATCATCAGCTTCTTAAATACAAATCCCACAGCCCTTAAATTCAGTATCATGACCGCGAAGGAAGAACTTATAAAGTATTTCAACCGTAATATCCTCGACCAGTATGGCCTACCAGCGAAGTCACTTATTTCATATAGTGATTTAACTATCACCAGTGCTAGTTTTCCTCTACTTCGTGCTGTTTCTACGACTGATGGTTCAGCTTCAGTGCTCGTAAGGTATCGAAGATGACCTAGCTACGCCTCTCCTCCACCATAGCCCCTCAGATATGCTAGTAGAGATGATCAATGGGATCACTCTGATATCCGTAGTCTATTCACGATCCACTCGATAGCTGAGCTTGCCATTCCATTTAACCATCTGAAGGAAGGGATTGTCCACCTTCCCGACGAGGCTTTTGTAACTTTCCTTGACTTCCTTACCCTACTAGAGGTGCAAGGAGAACCGGGAGCTTCCGGTGCACGCAACCAAAGCTACAGCAAAGCGGCTCATATACTCCACCTTCGCCTGATTTAGTGTTAGGCGAGGAGCGTATAATACACTCAAGAATCTTTCGACCGCGTTATATGAGTTCTCTCTGCACTCTCTTCGCCGGTCTCAACCGGGTATCATTGACGCTCGCCAGCTCCCGACTCAACATTTGAGATCTTTGAAGAAGACAGGATCACCCTTCCTAAGGAGGCTGAGTTTCTCAGGGAGAAATTTGATGTACGCACGGGAGGGTTGTGGGACGTAAGTTGATATGTAAAATGGGTTGTACCATTTTGTGTTAGTAGAATAACAAGAGCCACGCAGAACGGGGATTGCCAATATTTGAATGGACAAGTTGATCATCCTGCCCTAGTCGAACCCAAATCCACATATGACAGCTAATGGCCCCCACACACGGGCCGTTTCTCCAATTCCTGAAGAAGGGGAAATTCTTAGATTAAAGAGGTTCAGTGATCTCCCCTACAAAGAATAAAAAGATGAGACTTTTCCCATAACCGCATGGTCAAAGCCCCCAACCCAAATCCAACCTGCTTTTCATTTTTATTCATCTCCAACAAAGGCATTGTTGGCTGTGCCGTGCCACCCCGCCTTCACCCGTTAGTATACATTAGCTTAGCGGAGATGCCTAGACACTCCCGTATTCCCCTACGAGAATAGTATGTGCTGTCAAAGCCCCATAACAACCCCTTCAATACCAATAAGCCCAAGTATCTGATTAAACAGCTGCATCCATTGGTCATTGCATAGTGATACCCACTATTCTCTGTAGACCCGAGAGGGACCCCGTACTTAGTTTGGCCTGCTTGGTCTGTTCGTCACTGTCCCTGTATATAGGTCAGTCGCCATTATAACCGCACTCCTCAACCTCATCACTGTTGCAACGAAATGGCCGGCTTTGCGACATATCTACTTGGGGCTCTCAGCGCGATCGTAATCGCCCGCTTGGTCCTCTCCCTCGTTAAACGCCCCTCACTGCCTCTACCACCAGGACCCAAGCCCTTACCTCTGATCGGGAATATTCACCAGCTACCAAAGAGCCTCCAGTGGCTGGAGTTTCACCACTGGAGCAAGAAGTATGGCCCGGTCATGCACCTCAGCATGGGCGGACAGCCACTCATCGTCCTCTCTAACTACCAGGCCGCACACGATCTCCTCAACCGCCGCAGCTTGCGATACTCGGATCGCCCACGTCTGGTCATGGCTGGTGAGCTGGTCACTAAGGGTATGCACATCCTCCTGCGACCATATAATGACCAGTACAAACTACACCAGAAGATGGAAGCCCCACTCCTACACTTGCGTGCTGCGACCAACTACCGCCCACTACAGGACCTCGAGTCACAGCAACTGCTATGGGATGTGCTAGGCGAGTGGGACAAGCTCGGCGAGAAGGGCGTAGACTTCCACCACCACTTCGAGCGCGCAATGGCCAGTACTATCTACTGCCTGAGCTACGGCTACCGGCTGCAAACGGGATACGAGCAGGAACTGATGGACGGAAAGCGCGCAATGGCGGAGTTTTCGCGCACCGGGGAGGTGGGCGCATATATTGTCGACTCGTTCCCGTCGCTGAATTACCTTCCCAAATTTCTGGCGCCGTGGAAGAAGGAGGGCGAGGAGCTATTTGAGCTGGAGCGACAGCTGCATATTGGGAACTTGAAGAAGGGACTGAGTAACCGCAAGTGGAACTTTTCGAAGCATATGAAGGAGTCGCCAGAGGCTGTGGGAATGCCTGAAATTGAGCTCGCGTTTGATCTGGGGATTCTTGCTGATGCTGGTTTGGATACTTCGACTGTTGCGCTGGACTGGTTTATCGTTGCTTGGATTACATGGGGCTCGAGTGGCTGGGTGAAAAAGGCGCAGCAGCTGCTGGACGAAGTCGTTGGAAAGGACCGCCTACCTAGCTTTGAAGACCGCCCCAAGCTGGCCTATATCGATGCTATTGGTGAGTTTCGGTTCTGATTCTAATAAAGGACAAGGTCTGACATGACATGACACAGTGAGCGAGACCCTCCGCTGGCGCCCCGTCTCCCCCCAGGGCGTGCCACACTTCACCAAAACCGAGGACGAGTACATGGGCTACCACATCCCCGCCAACTCGATTGTTCTCCCTAGCGGATTTAGTATCGCCCGTGATGAGGCTGTGTTCGGCGAGGACGTCGACAACTTTATCCCGGAGCGATGGCTCGCTGAGGAGTCTGACAAGGAGCAAATCGACGCCTGCGGCTTTAATACCTCTGCCCTCAAGGACTTACCGCATACGGGCTTCGGGTTCGGACGCAGAATCTGTACTGGCCGGTTCATCGCGCGCAATCAGCTGTTCATTCAGATGGCGCGCATGCTGTGGTCGTTTGATGTCGAGGCTGGCGTTTTGGATGAGGCCACGGGCGCGAGACACAAGGTCGATGATATGGACTGCACGGAGGGCTTCATCGTCATGCCCAAGCCATTTAGGTCTGTGATGCGCCCGAGGGGACAGTGGGTGCGCGATGCGATCCTGAAGGCGGGCACCACGCATAGCCTGGATCATTCGGCTATTTTGGAGGCGGCCAAGATTGGAAAGTCATGATGAATAAATATTTAGTCGCACCCACAATATTAACTACCTAGCGCCCGGAGTGGATCCGCTTTAATATATTTGGCTTATGTATAGTTCTAGCTGGGAACCTCAGAAAAGACTCTTCAGGTAGAACATTCCTAGGGGCTGGTCTCAAACGCAATGAGTCTGTGCGCGGCAGGATCCTCTAACCTTTCATCATCTCCTATGCATTTTTGAAACTATTCACCCACGTATATGAATTTACTATCCCTCGATTTTCCTCAATGTACTCAGTCGTCAGTACAAATTTGTCCGCAAGGAGCTCTTTGGCAAGAAAATTGCCATCTCTTACTCCTGGGCAGGTTCTTCGAGGCGTCCGTTGGAACTACCGCATTCTAGAGCATATCAAAGGAGATAACACGCACATTTCCAACATTTTTAAGGCCCAGGTTGTTCCACGGAACACTCGTGTCGCCACCAAAGTCCCCAAAGTCCCCCAATGGTTCGTTATATTGCCTTAAGCATATCAAGGCTCTAATGCTACCATACTCTTTAGGCTAACTCTGCCACCTAGGGCTTTGATCAAAGTAGCGTGGCCTAATGACGAAAATACCACCAAGTGCTTGCAACGTGAAGTTCTGACATATCGCCTTCCTGGTGTCGCCTCGGCGGAGTGCTTCCGGAAATTGTATGATATTATCGACGATAGCACTATCGCTTTAGAATGGTTGGATACTACTCTCGCAGAGGTGAAATACCATCCTGACATGAAAATCTACTCCCTTATCAAATCTGTTTTAAGAGCAGCGTTCACAAGCTGTGTCGTTCTAGAGGACCACAAACACGTGAATACAGGTAGAATGTTTGATCTTGAAGAGCTGGCATTTGCTAATGAGTCTAGACTTTAAACCTGCCAATATCCTGCTTTCTAATATCCAGACAGACCGTGTTATCGCTAAAGTGGGAGACTTAGGACTCGGTGAGCTAATATTGATATTGAACGGGAGATATACCTTTACTAATACGCTTATAGTTGTCCCAGTCGGCGAACTCTTTCATGCCCAACCATATGCTATGCGCGCCCCTGAAGTCTTCCTAGGCAAAGTGTGCACTGAGCTATCGCAGGTCTGGGCTATTGGCGCGATGCTACTTTGCTGGATCAAACCTGGTGTATTAGGCGCATGGGGCTGCCCTTTTCCTTTGATTAACGAAGCTTGGTCTATGGCAAAGATACAGCGGGTCTTTCCCCACTGGGAGATTCCAAGTCCTGAGATGATAGAGGACGTTATCCTTAAAACTGTAGTAAATTCTGCTCGATCTTTTAGTCAAGAGGTACCAGAACTACAAGCGATCTTACCTTTTGACAAGGAGACGAAAACGGTGGAGATACCGCAGGAGTTAACAGATCTTCTTCGGTTCATCCTGGTACCTGATCTGAAAACAAGACCGTCCGCCTCATCTGTGCTTGCATCGAGGGAATTTCAAAGGTTCGAAGATTATGTGAGCGTATAAATCTAACCAGGTTGGATTGCTGTTGCTGCTATGTTGTAAACAGGTAATTTATTGGTACAGAGAGCTAGTACTAATTAGGCAACTTGAAGTGTGGGGCACTTGTGGGACTTGCAATTACGGGGAAAACAGTGGAACCGCCTTTTTTAGTTATCAATTTCCTTATTTGTCTACGTTGTACGGAGTATATAAAAATGTTATGGGAAATGGAAAATGGTATTTCTGACTACTGGATAAGGAGATAAGGCGGTGAAGGGGGATATCAGGTGACTATAACTCTCCGGCCTTTTGTAGAGTATTCAAGAACACTGGTCCTAAATCTGTCACATAAGGAATCTCCTGTCTCTTTACTGGCTTAAAGGTCTTCAATTAGTCCTATCCCATATGTTTCGCAGTGCTTTTCGGCCTTTCGCTTCCTTTCCTAGCATCAGAAGCGGTCGTGCCGCGCGATATTTTCATCGGATCACAACAGATTTTGTCATTCATGATGTGAGAGGAAATTTAGTTACTAGAGAGGTGCCTGTTATTATTGGCGACCCGGGAGAGAGTTATGTTTTGATTGAGCGAGAGGTTGGCATTGCACTTCGTGCTGCTAGTCCCTTTACATCAGCTTCTGCAGCTAGTGCTGAAGATAGATGTAGGCTTACATTTTTCCATGATTCACAACACTTTGGGTTTGGTACGTTAATAGCGTACGGGAGCTTTATACAGCTAATGCTAACAGACCGTTTCTAGGTTCATCGAGTTATCCCCGCCTCTACGTTCCAAACCAAATGCCTCACCAAACAGAGGCAAATACGAGCCCTGCAACTTTGTTCCTGGACGGGAAGATGCACGAGTTAGTTCTAGATGGAACTCCTGATGGTATAATCCGGTCACAGATCCTCCCCATCTTACGTATACTGATCTATAATGCCTATCTAGCAACTTTTGCGGAGCATGCAAACACTACCATGCGGAACCTGGGAGGGGTGTTCAAGCAGCTGGAAGATATGTGATGTCAAGCTTGTTTTCCTTACAGCCATATCAAGGAATCGTCTGATATATGACCGTGGAGATGGTATGCTAATTTACGACTCGGATCTAGGAGAAGGGCTATTGGGAATGAGAAATCCCAATGTCATTGATGTTAATAGGGTAGTATCCTTACAGATGTACATGGTAATTCATAGTTGATGTTTTGAGATTACGTCAACCATGTTGACGAATAGTGTTAGGCTCGTACTCAGTATCCCTCCTCTAAAACTCCATGACTTCTGTAGTCGCTAGACTGAAAGGCTCTGAGAGACTTGAGACTTGTAATAATTTCCCAACTGCTTAGCGGTCCAATGATTGGTAACGACGGCGACTTGAGCATTTGCTAGCCCCTTGTTGTTTATGTCCTCCGTGACTGGTACATTCTTAAGGCAGTAGCCATTGATTTGTAAAAACATATCGGCGGCTGCTAAGGCAGTACGTTTGTTCCCATCCTGGAAAGCATGGTTTTTCATTATTTTCTCAGCAAGGTTTGCAGCAAGCTGAAAAACATCTTCCTCCTTTGCGTAATGTTTCATGTTTATCGGTGAATGGATTGCGGATTCTAGCATGCCTAGCTAGGTTGGGAACCGGTTGGGGAAGAATAATTTTGCATGAAGTAGCTGGACTTGGGCGGTTGTCAAAAATCGAATCGTTTTTGTGGCCATTCTGAAAGAAAGCAGAGGTGTATGTTCAAATGAATGTGATTTTCAACAAGCAACCTTTCATTAAATCCCCAGATAGTGTGGAGGAGGCAGTATTATATTCAAGTGGTTCCTCGCTTCAAAGAACAGATGAAAGGTGCAAATATTAGACCAGCCCAAGGGTGTATAATCACGTGACCTGTCACGTCTAGGCCAGTGGAATATAGCATGACTTATTCTTCTCGTGATTGCATATATAAACAACCCTTTTATTACTTTACTGAATGGCTTAATCCACTAGTACTTGAATGTAATAAAAGTTGAAAGTTAATTATCCAAACCTGGGAAATTATATATGGGGAACCATGTCTAAGTAATATGTGGATCAATGTTACCGACCTCGGAAGATACCCGACTTCTTTGTGTTATGTTGTACAGCTTCTGTATCAGGTCTGAGAATCAAAATAAGACAGCACACGATGGCCTAGGCCTAGACCTTTTATGAAACAATACGGTAGCGGTGGGGTGGCCTTATATAACGGTGTAAGTCTAGCATATTGCTGATATGGGTATGACTGGAAATAATAATCTGGTTACTAAGTGCGGGTTTCGGTAGATATACTACCGACTTACTCCGTAATGAGGTTGGGCTTTGAAGTCAAATCTCTCAAGGAAGTGGAATTGTGGGTTGGGGAAATTCCTAGAATATTTTTTAAGGGGAGAGAAATTTCTTTATTGGTTCGTAACCAGTTCGTGTTACCCACATGGCATTCGGCCGAAGCGGTTATGTCTCGGTCCCCTCACATATACGATCGGCAAGGTCCCTAACTCATCTCCTTTAAAAACTTTTGCTTTCAAATATTGTTCCTGACAATATGTCTGGTAACCCTGGAGCATTCCATAGCACTTACTCCTTTATCCATGATTGACACACGGCTCAGGGCAACTGAGCCCCTCAAGCCAGACTATATACTTAATCTTCAACAGGGAACACAGCAGATTCTCTGGATTGGATGCTGTGATAGTAATGCCAAAGAATCCACCGTCCTTAATATTCTCAGCGAAGAGATCTTTGTGCTCAGAAACCTTGGAAATATGATCATTAATGGCGACCTATCATGTGAGACTACTGTCAAACATGCCATTCTTGATCTTCAGGTATGCCCTTAATTCTAAATTCATTGCAAATTCGTTTTCTAACGCGTTTAGGTAAAACATATTGTCATTTGCGGCCATTATGGATGTCGCATTGTGAATACAACCTCAAGAGATGGATTGAAAGATCCATGGTCGAGGTAACTCCTTATACCTAAAAGTTCTTGTGAACCTACTCATAATCGGTATAGTAAACTCAATACTTTGCATTCGGCGCACGAGGAAGATCTCAATCAACTCGCAGTGTCGGAGCGGGGTCGACTTTTTGTTGAGTTGAATATTCTTGATCAGATCCGTTCGCTGCGCCAATTTCCTGAGGTGACAGATGCAATTACACTAGGGCGCTTGCATATCCATGGGCTGGTGTATGATTCAGAGACTGAAAAGGCCTGTCGGGTATTGGAAGGGCACCAGAGACATTAAACAGGTGAGGAATTCATTCCATGGTTTTCCTTCTCATTGGCTTTCTCGACGACACAGAAGTTCTTCAATTCTGGGCTTCTAATGCAAAGAAAAAGAAACAAGAACCAAAAGAAATCGATAAAAAGAGAAAAAACTATGACAGAGATGACTCACTGCCATGAAGCTATCGATAGCTCTATGGAGAGAAACAGGTCAAAAGAGGGATCTGAGAAATGCAGCCCGAGCAACAACAAACCCAATACCCGACTGGCATTTGACATCTATCAACATGATCATTTAATGCTCGGATTTCTGACCCGACGACAGACAATAGATTTTCTTCACGTCCTCCAACTCGGCTTCGAAATCGATCTTGAGATCTTTCAGCAGGCCGTCGCCGAGATCGAAGACCCATCCATGAACAATGGGATAATGGTTATCTTCATAGCTCTGCTGGACAGCAGCGGTCTTGATGATATTCCTACAGGATTCCATCACATTGAGTTCAATCAGACGATTGTATCGCGAGTGCTCATCGGGAATTCCGTCAAGTTCCTTCTCATGCAAGCGATAAACATCGCGGATGTTTCGGAGCCATGGGTTAAGCAGTCCCAGGTCAGCAGGTGTCAAGGCCGCCTTGACCCCACCACAATTGTAGTGGCCGCACACAATGATATGCTTGACCTTTAGGTGGCGCACAGCATAGTTGATCACCGACATGACGTTGAGGTCGACATTGGGCACCAGGTTGGCGATATTACGGTGAACGAAGACCTCGCCAGCTTCCAGACCCATGATTTCGTTGGCGGGGACACGGCTATCGCTACAGCCTATGTACCTGGTCGGATATGAATATTTGACCGGAATGTGGTAACAGCTATGTTACTTACAGGTAGTCTGGTGATTGGCCAGCAGAAAGCTTGTCGAAAAAGGTGGCATCGGTCTCTTTCTTCGACGAGACCCATTTCTTGTTGTTTTGGAAGATATGCTCCAGCGACTGGCGGAGATATCGGTGCATATTGGCTTTGGTGGCCATTTTGTTTGTACAAAGACGACTTGACAAAGGTGAATAGCGATTGGAGGGTTGGGAAGTCTCACAGAAGGGCAGTAAGCAGATATTCCGAATTGCTGGGGAAATCTGATCTGAGTCGAGGGGTTGAGATTATATAAGCACACGCCAAGACCACCCTTTATCGTCCAATGCCAAGCGAGATGTTCCTGAACTTCTTCCATGGCATCAATATTCTATTTATCAGATAATATATACCAATTTGCAATTGCGACCACATGATGGCGGATTCATCGTATGTTTGCAGACATGGGGTCCAATCAATGATGGTTCTGTATACGGCCATACCAACAGCAAGGATGGGACCACCCAACAATTTGGATGAAGAACTCAACAATTAATCAAATTTCCTAAATCTATCGTGTTTCGCATATTATATGCAGTTATATACGCCCAAAACAAAGTTTGAAGTCTTGCAGTGACATCCTGATTAATTCATGCATTTCAACCCGGTTTGGGTGTTTGATTCGACCATCCTTCATAAATGCTGCACCAACATCCTTGAATGCTGCAGTGAAGCCTAAGGCACCTAAGCTCATGCACGGCTAACCACCAAAGCGAGGCCTCGTCCATCTCTCTCGATCAGCTCACTCAACGATATGAGACCCTACCATTCATCGTCCACCAAAGCCTGACTTAACAATATGGACGCCAACGCACTCCTCGACCAGGTCCACGTGGTGCAGGGCCAGCTTTGGGTTGGACAAGGTGAATGAGACCCACATAACAGGCCGTACTTGCAAGTGGGTGTCGGCTTTCTATCCAGATAAGATATGACAAAGGAGGTGTTGTCAAGCACCAGGAGCGTCACCTATGAGCCTTAACACTTCTACACGGTGTATATCGCTACCAGCAGCAATTATTTTCTGGTTTGCATATCTTGCCGTGACAGCGATTCCCATCACATAAAGATCAATTTTATATCACATGAACCTGGGTACCATGTCATTTTCCCTTAACCATGCACTGATCTAGTCCTCATGTTTGACATCCACAGCTGGGCCAGAATACTCTTTCCGTCCCTTGACGACATACATGATGAGACTAAGAATGAAAACCGCCCCAAAGATCACGACACTCCAGTTGAAATTTTCAACAGTGACCGGCAGCTCACCTGGCCAGAATGACCAAAACATCGCGAAAACAGAGTAACACAGGCCAATAATGTTCACAGCCAATCCCCAGCTCGGACCCAGATCCCACCGACGAACAGGCAGGGATTCGGGATGCCGGATCTTTCGCCAGATCACACAGGTGATTGAGATCACGTAGGTGTACATCAAGGCCGCGGTGTTGAGAGAGATGATAGCATTGAATGCAGTATCAGAGCCGATGTTGATCAGAGAAAGCAGACAGCTGAAGGTGCAAGTGAGGGCGATCGCATTAATGGGGATCTTGCGCTTAGGGTCAATTTTGGCAATCCATCGAGAACAGGGAAGACCCTTGTCACGAGCAAAAGCCCATGTTTGACGGGAGGTGGACGCATTGAACATGATGTTGCTGAAAATGACTGGTAGCAAGATGATGACCGTTAACCCGTTGACTCCTGCCGTGTTCGTAGCCTGCTTGAACACGTAGAGGAATGGGAATCCGGTAGCGTCGTTGAGAGAATCCATAACTGATGGGGTGGCGAAGAGGTAGGCAATTAACAAGATAGCAGCCATGATTCCATTAATGAAATATCCCCAGGCCATAGCCCGTGGTACGTTCTTGCCGGCGTCCTTGATTTCTTCTGACATATGCGCACATGCATCGGAACCTTAGGGCTAGTTAGTCTCTTTCCACAGACTTCTCTCTGTATGGAAAGAAGAATAAACTCACTAAGACAGCCATAAATAGCTGAGATTTGTCCAACCATCACACTCAGTCCCATTGTAGGTAACCCTCCTATATTTTGCCAATCGGTGACGAAAACAGCTTCAGCAGATCGATGAGGAGACATAGCCCATAGGACAATCAAGATCACAATCCAGCAAAAGACGTGAAGGATCATCAAGACATTACTCAAGATTGGCATCAGTTCTGACGCATAGACATTGAAAATGTATGCCACCAGCACCATTGAAAACACAAGTAGAGTACCTTGCCAGCCTTTAGGATCATAATCTGGATTACGAACACTGATCAATCCCTGGATGATGGTGCCAGTGAGGAAGGATCCAGAAGCTGTTCCAGATTGCCATGCCAGTACAGACATCCAGCCAGTGATGTAGCTAAGGAACTTCTGATATCGCGGCGAGGAAAACTCCGATACCCAATGGTATTGGCCTCCATCGGTAGGTGCTATCGAAGCCATTTCCGACAAGGATGCAATAATGAATCCGAATCCAAAAAATGTCCAAATGTATGACCAGAACATGCCTGCTAGGCCACCATTTTCCAATCCTTGGTAGTTTGAACTAGAAGATGTTAATTTGTTTATCCTATATATTCCTTTGGAGAGGATACTCAATTGACTCACATGATCAGATATTCCCAAGTGGCTTGCAAGACTGATGCAAAGCTCAATGCCGCAAGAGGTCGCATGTTTCTCTAATTCACGGGATATCAGATATGAATGTTATATATGATATCCGAAGCGATCGAACAAACCTTGAACTCTTGAATTTTTCCCATGCGATTCATTTCATTATCGTCCAGTACCGTCCCACCATGGGAGGTCGTTGGATTCCTGTGATCTATACCCATGTCTAGCGTGTCCAATGCGGTCGCTTTGATCGAGGCACCCATGATCTAGTAAATACTGATCCAGGCAAAATATTTTGTAGAGATAGAATCAAGTTGACAATAAGGGGAGGAGGGAGTAAAGTATTAAATCCCTTACAGTGTTCATTCTAACGGCGTGTTTCGCTTTAAAATCATTTTGGACTTTTTATCGCGTAGATTGGCGCTTGTTTCAAAGAAGGCATGTTTTGCGGCACTAGACCAGGTGCTGCATCGACCTAACAATATTCGTTTGAGAATATAAAGTACCAAAAGCCACCTGGGACATTAGGGCTTAATTTTGTATCCATTCTCTCCTTTAGACGCATGTAAGAACATTATTTTACGTTAGATATGTTGAACACTAGTTCATTAAAGGGGATTGGTGTTAATTCTTCGAATTCTATAGGGAATCTTTCTGGATTCTAAAGAATGGAGTTATTTAATAGAAGGAAATCAAATCCTAGTTGTGGTTTTCTCCTTTTCTCTTCATCTATATCCTTGATATACCCTGTAAACGCTGTGATCCGGTTGGTTCTCTACATATAAACCCTGTCATTCTCCCATGAACACCCTTGTTCAATGCTACTGTGGCGCACTAGTAGCTCTCAGATCACCGAATTAATAAATCCTGTATTCCCAACGAACAAGGGTTGGTAGGAATGACCATTCGGTCCCGAGAGCTTCCCATTAACCATCTGCCATATCGATTAATCATCCCTCTAATATCTCAAATGTGAAAGTTTTCGCTCCCTGCTTTCTTTCCGTTTTGTACGGCCTTTTTATAATGTCGGCCAGTCCGACAACGTCGGCTACGGACGTGAGCCCTCCTCTCACGACGGATAATGACCATAACCATAGTGGACTGGTAGTGGTCATCACCGCGGTCAACTTGTCTCTAGTGTTGTTTTCTCTCGCAGCGCGCAGCTTCTCTTCGTACCATAGGAATAGTCTACAGCGAGACGATTATACATTCGGGGCTCTCGTGGTATAGTACAATCTACTCCATTCCAAACTAACAATACTCGCACTTCTTACCTCTGGACTAACAAATTAATAGCTCACAGCAATAATCCAGATCATAATTGTGTTTTGCCAGGTCCATTATGGGTGGGGAACCCCGATAGATGGCATCGATCCCACAAGCAAAGAGCAAATGTTGAAGGTAAGTCATGGAGAAATTTGAATCTTCGAGGACATTTAACATTATGAAGACAGTATATGCTGCCGATATCTTCTCCATTATCGTCCTCGGCCTTTCAAAGATGACAGCCTGCATGTTCTATAAAGGCCTATTCTCCCAGATACAACGTCAAATTTTCTACGTCGTTCTTCTGGTAATGGTCGCATGGACAATACTATCCGCATTTCTATTGGGAATTCGATGTTCTTCTAATCCCTGGTCTGAAATAACTGCCGCTGAGTGCAGTGGATTGGTATGTCTTGTTCCTGCCGCAAATGAGTATAACCACTGACTAGGCTACAGCGTCTCCGTTGGGAAGTCATTACAGCCCTTGACATTTCCACCGAGATCCTACTTCTTGTCTATGCGGCACTTGCAATACATAAAGTCAGGATCTCGACAATCAAAAAGATCGTCGTTTTTTGCGCTCTCGAGAGTCGGATTCTGTAGGACCATTCACTAGACGGTTTAGCAAGTCCTTTACTAAGATCATAATTAAATAGGCTCATCCCCATCTCGGCAGTTCGTCTGCATTTCATCCTAGGCCAACTCTCCTCGGAAGATCCCACTCTCTTCGGGTCCTTTGCCACAGCCTCAACGGAGATATATATAGGGCTAAGTGCCAGCTGCCTCTTAACGGCTTTTCTCAAGTCCTTCGTCGCAGTCTATGAGGATGATATTGGGATAACATATACGTATCGAAGGCCGTCAAAGTCTGACTCTCGCTCGAGAACTGCTATGCCGAAAGATACATCATCTCACCGGCTCTCCCGTGGTATGGGCACAGAGCGAGGAGCAAAGGGCTGGGAGCGAGAAGAAGATCCGATCATTGAATCCTATGAGGTCATTCAGGGGTTAGGAATTATGAAAACTGTACAGGTGAGCGTACAAGGCGAGTCTATAGAGCTACCAGAGCGAGGGGGACTATAAGTGTCTAATAAACTCTTCTTCCTGTCTCTTGCATTTAATCTACTATCTGATCACGGCGGGTCTGGTTAAATCTTAGAAGATTGAATATAATCATGAGTATCCTATTCTACTTATATCTAAAAGAAGACCTACAATGAAGACATCGCAGGACAGTGGCTACTATAGAAAGATCGACGGGCATATTCGACAGAGTGAATTTAACTACATATGCTCAAAAAGGCAAAAATGAAACGCCAATGATCCCAGCGTTCCAAACAATCTGCTATTATACAATCGAATCCTCAAACTTGCGCTTGAATCTCATCAACGACTCGCCCGAGAGTCCCATTACTCCAACCATCAACCCGCTCACGATCACATGTCTCATACAAAGCACGTGCAAGCGCCGCAAGCTGAGCAACCTCCTTCGCATTAGCCTCTGCAGCTTGGATCTGGATCCAACTGATCACGCCAGAACGGGTGATCAGAGTGGTGCTGCCACCGACCTGGGCGGCGCGGTACACAATGTGCAAAATCTTGCGTCGAGCTCCTGGGACGAGGGTTGGGGACTGGTAGAGGGATAGGATGCGTTCAAAGACGTTAGCCCGGCGGTAAACCTCCATATCCTAGATTCAAAGTGTTAGCAATTGTTTTTCTAAAGAGTAGAACTGTAAAATAGCAACTTACGGCCTCGGTGCGGAGTGCCTTGATAAACAGGTTCAAGAGCCAGTCGATCTCGTCGAAATACCCATCATCCAACTCGGGCTCGTGCAGCAGGATTTTATCGACCCAGTATGTTGGAATCTTCTCAACTTCCCAGGCCGGTGCCTTCTGCAGGAACTTGTTGACTTTACCGTAGACCTTGTGGAGGGGATCTGTGAGGACTGCCAGGCAGTTTGCGGCGCACTCGCCAACAATCCAAGGAACGGGCTTCTCCATGCCAATGTTGTTGACTGTCTCGAGGAGTTCACCGGATAGAGTAAACACCGTGCGCCATTCTGCGTAGGTAGATTCCTTGAGTTTGGCCATAAAGCGAATAATGTTGGCAAAGGCTTGTCTTCGGACTTCTTCGTGCTGAGAACAAAGGCAGAGCATCAACTCTGCGACATGACCCTGGTCCACTGCTTCTGCAATGTCCTCTCTTTCCCATTTGTTTAGGGCATTATGGGTCGTGCCTTCGGTGGGCAGGGGTCCAAATATCTCATCAAGGTCAACTGCAGAGGCTTTGTTGGATGAACTAGGCATGCTAGAGCCAGAGTCAATGTCCATTTTATCTTCATTATCAGCATCTTCTGCCCCCTTCAGGGACTTCTTAAGAAGAGACTTGGTTTTCTTGGTCTCAGTTGCTTCAACCAGCGCATCCCGAGTAGCTTTGAGTACCTTGGTGCTCTCACCTGCCTGCTTCAGATTACCCAGAAGACTTGCGATCCAGGCTCCAACAGCAGTTTCCACGGATGCATCTCCACTCTTGACGACAAATGGCCATTGCTCGACAATGGCAGCAACAAGCGCGCTAGTAGTTCTAGACGTATCCTCGGATAATGACTGTAGCAAATCCTGGTAGTGAACGGGCTTCTTGGCGACACGCGAGACACAGTTATCAAAGAAGACCAGCTGTTGATGCAAAGCATCAGCCTCAGAATTCTCAAGACTTGACAAGACAGATGCAAATGCGTGTGGGGAGCTCTGCAGAACAGAGTTATCAACCAGAACGGTCTTAAGCAGAGTAGAGATACGCCGCGAAGAGTCCTTATCGGAAGTTCCCATAAGAACCTTGAGAATCGAGGTGAAGGGTGAGTATTGCATTGATGCGGGCTTTTGCCACCAACGCAATGAGGCGGATTGTTGTGCGATCTGGAGAATGCTCTGAAGTTGGCTCAGAAGCGATTCGGAATCATCCGCGCTAACATCCGGGGCTTCCAGTCGCTTGAGGACATCCACCAAGACTAGTGAGACGTCAAAGTTTTCCTCCAGAGCAATGTCCGGCATCACTTCGTAGTAACAGGTCAAGAGCTCTGCAACGGCCTCCTGCTGGGTCAGGTCATCCTTTTCTGTTCTACGGAAGAGGACAACGACATCCTTGACAGCAGGGCACCGGCGGGAGAACTCTGCTAGCAACTTGGCAGAAGCCTGATTCCAGAATAGCTGGCCTTGGCCGTGATCCGCCTGGAAGATTTTGAGGACGGCTCGCAGCTTAGTGAAAGCGAGAGTCAGGATCCGCACAGCGAACAAAGTGATGATCTCCGCATTCTGGTTGAGGCAGCGGGTCATGATCTTCTGGTTAAGGGGGCGAGGGAGAATATTTTCAATGACGATAGAAACGGGCGGTGGCAGGATAGGTTGCTTATCCTTCCAGCCACAGTTGGCAGGGACAGGTAGCTGCACCGTTGAGAAAAGGAAAGCTGACTCGGCCATCCATGACGGGGTAACCTTGGGGTCTGAAATAAACATAACTTTTCTCGAGAAGTAATCAGCAATGAGCTCTGGTGCCACCTTAAAGATTGATACCAGCAGTTCAATCTGGAGACTATCCACATCAGGCCGAAGGCATTGGATGAGGAATGAAAGCGAACCATTCCGCACGGGGACAGAATCCCTGTATTTGTCGACATAGATGGGAGAATCAAGGCCCAATTCAATGCATGAATCATCATCAACAGCCAAGGTCTCTGGATCTGTTCCAGCAGGATACCAGCCGGTCTCGGGCAAGAGAACGCCGAGCCCAGCGGTTTTACACACATTCATCATGACCCGGTGGATCTCATTGGCGATGATAACTCCTCCAGCATTAGGTTCATCCGATTCTCGATCATATCCATAAAGTGTCACCAGTCGTTCAAGGTTGTGTCTGTTGAAAAACTTGCTCTTCGATTTGCGAGCGAGAGCGGAATCTTGTACGATGTCCCTCTCGATGGCCTTGATAATTTCTAGTACAGTCTCCCGCGAATCCTTTCGGATATATTCGAGGAAAGACCTGGTAATCTTGTGCTGTTCGATGATGTCGCCCTTCTCGGAGGCATGCTGAACTCTCAGGTTCGCTAGTAGGTATCGTTGAGCGTTGCGTCTGAGAGTTGACTTCTGCGACTCATCCTCTGTGCTCTCCTGTGCTTTGTTGGGGGTCAAGAAGACTTCCAATCGCTTGAAGGTAATGTACCGTCGGAGGTACAGCTGCCGCGCAACTGCTCCTCCGTCGAAAGTCACAATTTCTGTAAGCAAACGGAGACATGGGGAAATCAAGTGCTCTTTGGACTTGGTTGCTGTCAGACCACGGCTGAACAATCTCAGTTGATCTTTCTGTAGCAAATGTTTGCACAGCGCGATTCCGAATTCCCGGAATTCCAGTTCCGAGGAAATTGTCTTGAGGAAGATCGCAAGAACAGAAGGCACACTAGTCAATAAAGGCTCATTGTTATTGCTATCGCCGAATGACCACGATTGAATGAGGTCCGCAAAGCACACTGAGGTCTCATCCTCCTTTCCGGAGTTGGTGATTTGCTTATTGCAATACGCCTTAAGGACACGCAATTTCTCTGCTTTTTCGCTCGCTTGTTCCGTGTGTGCAATTGACACCAAGAACTCTTTAAACTTGATTATACCTATTTGCTAGTCAGTTTTGGTGTAGCTCTGGATGGCTTGCGATCTGCCTCACCTTGCTTTGCCAACGGGGCATTTTGCTGGACAGCCAACAGTCCACGCAACGAATCGGCAGACTTGATATTGGAGGTAACATTCGTTTTCTCTGGTTTAGGGTCATCAATCTTTCTTCTCTTCGCCCGAGAGGGATGTTCTGTGATGTGCGACATGATTTGATGAGTTGGTGTTGTAACTTATTTTTTTTTTATCTTCAGATCCGATACCATCGACATTTCCAGCTCTTTGATTGGTCAAAGTCTCCCCGCCCGGTACAAAAGTGTGGATACACCGCCTATTCCTGCCGGATTAATACAAAGGCGGTGTGTCATTAGCCTCCAAGTGGACCTCGGGAGACAACATTTACATCATTTCACTATTCTTCATATCGATACATTGATATATTTAATATAGCAGCTTAATTCGGCTAGCAGAAAGAGCTCTGTATGGGAACTACACTTAGCCTCTACTGGTGGCGATATGAATGACCCCGATACATACAATTTGCTTATTGACCTCCGCACTGGCTCATAAAGCTCAAAGCCCAACCCACAAATGGGCTGGGCTTTGGGCCCCCATAAAAGCCCAGACTGCTTATTGGAGTCACTGGCATTGTCAAAGCTGACAGGCTGTTCATTTCTATCCCCGAGTGTCTAATGCCGATCATTATATGAAGTAAGCCTTCATACTACACGACTCACAGGCAGTCAGCTCCGCCACATTGTCTAAAAGGGGCTAGGTCGAGGGATATAGCGTAGTATTTGACCACTGCCTTAGAGCCCTCCAGAGCTGTGTTAAGATTACTCTAGTAATTCATCCGGCCCCTATACATTACTATCATGATATCAACCCTGCTGTTTGCTAGTTTGCTTACTGTTTTACGTGGATATAAATACCCAGTCTCCCCAGATTTCTCCAATACAACTCTCTTCCTTCATCTCTTTCTCTCTCTCTCTCTCTCTCTCTCTCTCTCTCACACACACACACACACACACACATAGCATGCTCAACAAGCATACTCAACGAGAATACTACCTGCGCTAAACATCTTTGGACACTTCCTCTACACATAAATCAGCCATCCTCCCAGTCACAAGTTCAATCAAACATTGTCCTTGTTGTCCATTATGGCATTTATCATTCAACCCTGTTTCCCAGAAGATGCTCCAGGCCTTGCAACGACGATGATGGGTGCTCGTCTCACCGACCCTCACTGGAGATGTCTATGGGAGAACCCATCTACCGAAAGTATCATTCCTGGGGCCATCAAGCGCATTCCTTGGACTTTGATGACCAGCACAGAAACCAAACGGCATCAGAAGGTTATCGATGTCGAGACTGGTCAAGTGGTGGGGTATGCGCGATGGTCCCTCCCTCCAGCCATGGCAAAGAAAGGAGATGTTTGGTTGGAGGCACAGGTGGCCGAAATGACTCCAGCCGATCGCGCAGTGTATGAAAAACAGTATCAAGAGAACACCCAAAATGGGCAGCATATAGGCTTAAAGGGTGGTGAGATGATGAGTTATCGCAGTAGGCCTCTCGAAGAAGCCGATGCTCGAATTATGCTAGGTGGACCCTTCCTGAGTAAGATGCACACCGATCTATCATCATTAGACGGATGACTGATAACACTCTGCAGCTCTTGATTATTTGACGACAGACCCTTCTTTCTGGCGCCGAGGTATCGGGAGAATGCTTGTGCAAAGCGGACTACACATCGCAGATCAACACGGGATAAAAACCTATGTGATGTCGGAAACGGCTGGACTGAAGCTATATCTTAGTCTTGGATTTCAGCTGGTAGATACGGTATCGGTGGACTACTCCCAGTATGGCGGAACGGAGCCTGTGGTGATGTATTTCCTTGTTCGCGAGCCATCTCAAGCAGAGTCCGTAAGTGCATAATGATAACATGGACTATACGTCTCTTATTTTTTTCCCTTTTCATTTTCTTTGAAGGTCATGCTATAATATACAAGTTCAAGTGAGAAGTTGACTTATGTTATAGTGCTGAGCGCTACGAGAACAATGCCTTGTTACAGTTATATAGAGTGTTCTTTGTGTTAGGACGAATACTCGTGCATCGCTAATTTCTTATCATATATCAGTCCTATAGCCTATAGCACCTGTCTCTAGTTTTGGTGTACATCTCATGATATTTTTATTGTTCGAGGGTTCTCACCTTTCATCCCATCTTGTCAACTAAAAACTAATTTCAAGGGGCTATTTGTACGATCTAATTCTTCGAGCTACTTCCTGCTATTCCTGGCCCTCCAATTGCTCACCTTCCTCAACTTCCTCAACTTCCTCAACTTCCTCAACTTCCTCAACTTCCTCAACTTCCTCAACTTCCTCAACTTCCTCAACTTCCTCAACTTCCTCAACTTCCTCAACTTCCTCAACTTCCTCAACTTCTTCCAGTTCTTCGACCTATCCTCACATCAATATCTTCAACTCCATCATCTCATCGTGTAAGCCATGGCTGACCACTCCTCCGTCGCCGCCATGAAAGCCAAAATGGCTGAACTGAAGAACCTCATACAGGATATCGCAGCCCTTGATACCGAGATAGCCAGTGCCGGACCTCATAAACGGATTCAATTGTGTCAGGAGAGGATGGGAAAGACCTCCCGGATGGAGAGTCTCATTGAACACATACAGTGCAAGATTGATGCAATGGACGTCCTCTGCCAGAAGACCATGAATCGTCGGCTTCGCCAAATTATGGAGGACATGGGCTATCAGATGAACGTGAATAATATCAATACCAAAACAGCCACTGCTGGAACTAAGTATGGAAATGAAGAATCGGTAAGCTGAAAGACCATTTGACAATCCTACTCTATAGAATTTACTAACATGACCAGATGAATTCCGCTTTGGATGACGATTGGGTTTTGGTTGCGAAGGATGAGGACTCGTTCTAAGACTTAGTGGACTGGAGTTTTGTCTATCTTGTAGTCTGAAATACATTTGATCACTTGTCATTGTAAAACAATTGGCTCGGAGTAGAAAGCAATAAATCAACATTTTTCCACTCTAGCGTTTCCTTTCTATCAAGGATTTTTGCTGGTTGCTAGGATTTCAAACTGCAGTATTGCGTAATCTTAAGTGGTAGAGCAACTAGTAGGTATTCTCTTCTAGATATTATACAAGGACTAGATTAAAAAAAAAGACTCTAATATTTTAAGCTAAATGATTCATGCAAAAGCACAATGGTAGAGAGATATGAGACGCAAAAAAGAAGCACGCAACCACAGCTGGTATCTTCGAAAACAAAAATCAACCCCAAGTTCCACCACCACCACCTCTGCCCTGCCGCCGCTGGGCAGAAATACGCCAATCGTCTTCGCCAGCAAAGCGGTTGTGCAAAGGCTGAATGCGCTCCGCCTTCTTGCGCTTCGACAATCGATCTGTAGGTGCAACCTTGAAGAAAGTAGGCGCCGCCTCCACGAGCCATTTCGGCTCAATAGCAGTAGTGCAGTGCATGTACTCCTTAGTCGTGAGGACCAAGGTGTGGTAAATGACGTGCTCGGACGGTTTGCCGAACATCGCGGAGCTGGGGTGCATGTACACGGGCGTTCCTTCCACCAGGGTCTTGTATCCTTCCTGGGGATCTTTGCGCGCTGCGTTGCGGAAAAAGCCGGTGCACAGGGACTGTCGGACTTTCATGGTATCCCGGCCGCAAGAGACGATGCGATGCTTGTAACGGTTCATGATGCCCAGCAGTTGCTGGCGTACATCTTGGGCGCGCTTGATCTGTCGTGCTTGGATGAAGTTCTCGAAACACCAAGAGTTATTGAAGCCTGCGTTCTTCCACCCGTTGTAGACATTGAGGAGGGTCAGATGATCGCCGTGCGGATCGTGGAATTTGGACTTCTTCTGGTCTGCTTGTTGCTGCTTTTCTTTGGGGCGGTAGAAGACAGACTGGATTGACAGCATGGCGACAATGCTAAGCATTTCCTCCGAGCAGCCCGAATCCACAGATGCAATGAGCACCTTGGCAAGCGCAGGCTCCATGGGGAAATCAGCCATCTTTCGTCCGAGTCGAGTCAAGAGACCCTCATCGTCAAGTGCGGACAAGGCATACAGTTCTTCAAGAGCTGTCAACATAGTGTTGGTAGGCGGTGGGTCCATGAAATCGAAGTGGAGGAGATCGTTGATACCCATTGCTTTGAGCATGAGAATGGTATGTGAGAGATTCTGACGCTGAATTTCGGGAATACTTGTTGGCAGCATTTCGGACTGATAGGCAGCCTCCGTGTACAATCGGAAACACTTTCCAGGTCCTGTTCTTCCAGCACGGCCAGCTCTTTGCTTAGCTTGCGCTTGGGAAATTGGGGTTACCACAAGGGAATCCATGCCGAGCTTCGGATCGTAGGCGTTTTGCTTCACGAAGCCGGGATCAATGACATAGTAAATCTGATCAATTGTGATCGATGTCTCCGCAATATTGGTTGCAATGACAACTTTACGTCCGCCTGGGGGTGCTGGATCGAAAATCCTACTCTGCATCTCACTAGGCAGTGCAGAATAGACAGGTAAGATAACCAGTTCAGGGACTGTAGGCCCTAAGGCTTTCATGCGCTCGAATAAAATTTCACATGCTGTATCAATCTCTTCTTGACCAGTTAAGAAGAGCAGAATGTCACCTTGCGGTTCTGTCAAGTGAATTTGCATAACAGTGATGAGTGCAGCATCCAGATAATCGGATTCAGGCTCTTTGGAGTACATGACTTCGACAGGGAAAGTTCGGCCGGGGATGGAGAAGATAGGACAGCCGTGGAAGTATTCGGAGAACTTTTCAGCGTCCAGTGTGGCGGATGTGATAATCAATCTTAGATCGGGTCTTCGTTTGACTGTCTTTTTCAACAATCCGAACAGGATATCAGTCGCGATCGTCCGCTCGTGCGCTTCGTCAAGCATGATAACGGAATATCTCTTGAGGTCTGGATCCAGAAGAATTTCTCTCTGGAGCATTCCATCGGTCATGTACTTGATCTTGGTGTCTGGGCTGGTACAATCCTCGAATCGGATGGTATACCCAACCTCTGCTCCGAGCTTGCAACCAACTTCCTCGGCCACACGTTTAGCCACCGACATGGCAGCAACACGGCGAGGCTGGGTACACCCAATAATTCCGTTGTTTCCATATCCGCCCTCGGCCAGGTACTGCGTCAATTGCGTAGTTTTTCCAGAACCTGTATCTCCGACAACAATCATCATTTGATTGTCCTTCACTGCATCCAGCAACTGCTTCCGGAACTTGTAGACTGGCAGACTCTCGCGTTGTTGTTTAATAGACATGTTCGTCCGCTTTCCGAAAGATGTGTTCTTGCCCATCGTCGCTCTCTTCCACTCCGGTACAGCCTCGTCCTGCTTGGGCTGCTGAGCACTCCGTAGATCAGCAGCAAACTTTCGCTCTTCCGGAGCAACCATGGGGTCCTGCCATTGAGCGTTCAGATCGACATCCGCCGCCTTTTCAGCCGCCTTATCTTGTAATTCTTGCTGCTTCAATTCGCGTCTCTCCTTAGCAAGGTTAGTGCCTGCCATTGCAGAACGGTTCATTGAACCATCGGGAGCCTTGACAACACGAATAGGAGAAAGTTCGAGGGATTGTTTCGTCTGGCCAGCCAAGAAAGGAGGTTCCTCGTCTTTGACCTCAATATCGATATCTTCCTCCTCTTCGAAAGTGCCTTCGCCGGTGAGTGTTGCATTATATTCCTCGTCGATGTCAGGATAATCTGCTGCAGATACAACACCGGAGGCAATCAATTGTCTGATCTCCCACCGCTCTGGCGAAGTCATGCGCTTTCGGTTCCTCATTGGCCGACCTCCAGACCCTTCAATGACAGGCACATCGGAGGCGAGGCTGCCATATTTGTCATCTGCGAATCCACCATCGAGGCGTTCCATATTTGCACCAGAGGCAAGGCGCTTCTGGGGAACAAGATCCCTGCCTGTCACTTGATCCACCTCCTTCATGGACAGTCCGATGCGAGTGCCTTCGATACTAGCCACTTTGACTTTGACCGGTTGGCCCCGCGAGACCAAATCTGAGGGGTGATTTACTCGTGCTCCTTCTTGCATTGCTGAAACGTGGACAAGACCATCTACCTTGCCCCTGACGCCCTTTAGATTCACAAAAGCACCGAAATCTTTCACACCCGTTACGGTTCCATCGTAGATTTTGAAAAGAACGGGGTGGTCATCCAGCTCAACACGAGGAGGACGGCGGAAATCGTCATCCTCGTCGCGATCACGGTGTCTCCGGCGATCGCTATGGCCATTGCGACGGCTGTCTTCCCGGTGGTTGTATTTCCCAATCGATCTACCGAACTCGTCCACGAGATCATCGTTTTTGTTATACCGCGTGGCACTGCGAGACCTTGATCGCGAGCGGTATTTGTCCCTGCGCCGCCCACGGTCATAATCGTTGTGTTCGGGGCTGCGGCTCCGCTTCCTAGTTCCGCGGTCGTTTCTCGGTGCGTGCGGTTTCTCGTCCTTCGCTTTTCCTGCCAGGCCCTCAAGCATAGCGAAAGTGTCGTCCATCGCGCCTGCTTGTGCATCGGCCTCGTCCGCCGCTTGGCGATCTGTGTAGTCTTCCTCAGCCCAGCGTTTCTCTGTATCGGGGACCGCAAGGCCTCTGAACACGCGGGACTTTTGCTCCAGAGCATCAAGTAAATCCATATCTTCGTTCTCATGAGAAGCTTCCTGGTCATTTTCCTTTTTCTTTCCCTTGTACTTGGGGTGCATCGTGAGCACCATGCGGTCGATACTCTCCAAGAGACTCTGAGGGAATTCGCCGCCCATATCGTCGAAAAATTTCTTGAACTCGGAAAATTTGCCATTGCATTTGAGGTGCTGATCGATCACGAACTCTGCGAGAGTCTTGTCGGCGATTCCCATGTGGTTCTCGAACTCGTTCGTCACGCGCGAGACGAGCGAGAACAGCTCTAGAGACTCGAGGTCATCCATGATGGGTGGAACAAAAGAGGTCCAGCCAAATAAAAGATAGAGCCAGCAAAACTGGACCAGTGACTTGTAGATTGGCGAGCGCGCAAAACACTGCCTGTAGCTCTTGGAGACAGTTCGGGATCTTGAAGGCGGAAAATTAGTGCTGCCGAAGTTGCCACCGATAAGATAAGGCGGTATCTTCGTTTTATATCCAAAAATTTGATGTTCAGGAACTCAGTGAGACTTAATCAAACATTTATAGTGACAATAATAAAAGTTGGAGATATTCAACGTCAAGGCAGAAGTAGATGCAACCTTGAAAGAACCTACAATAGGTCAAAAAGAAACAGTAAGGAAATCTACAGACATTAGGTATTGTGTATTGGAGATCGGTTTTATACATCTAATATACATATTTCATACATATCTATCACTCTCTGGGGACTTCTGTGTCATAGTATGACTCTGTTGGGTCAGACTCCGAGTCTTCCAAGTCGGGGGATGAGCCCTGTTCTTCGCCCTCTGTGTCCGGTGATGACTCAAATAATGATAGTTCGGCGTCGGTCGATTCACCCTCTGCAGTCTCTGCAACCTCAGAAGCAACTTCTTCGGGCAGATTGATTTCCATTTCACCTCCTTCACCAGAGGGTTTCATCCAGTCTCCAGCAACTCCCATACGTTCCTGCTCCAACAACTGTTTCTGCAGCGCAATCTGGCGCTTCAGAGAAGCACCCTTCCGGAGTCTCTTATTAGCGGAGAATTCAGTCAATGCTCGAACCATCCGCTCTTCGACAAGTTCCTTGACGTGACTTGCCAGAGTTCGGTCAGTGAAGACACCACCGAATCGGAAACTGAGCCAAAGGTACAAAATAACTGCCCTATGAAGGCTCTCCAGATCATGCAAGTAGTCGTTGCTGCCAGAAACGGGCTGCTCAATGACTTCCAGGTTGAGATATGAGATATCCAACAA